GTTACAATGTTCTGTATTTATTTTCATATTCCATTTAAATATTATAATGTTGTTTTTGTTTTTGTCAGCTACTTTTTGGTGGGATTTCTTGTTATTTTGTTATGCTCTCTATAATTTTGTTTGATGAGGTTGAATAAATAATAATAATAATTGTGATTGGTTGCCTCTCAAATTTCCCTCTTGGTACAAAGTCAGCAATACATTTCAATGAAATACAATCCTGCTACGTTTGGGATAGAGAGTGCAATAAATTCATTGAAAGGTGCACGCGATCAAATTGGGAAGGGAAAAAAAACAACACAACCTCATAAATATGGCCTTCAATCACTTAAATTACATCCCCAAGGCATGGAGTCGCACTTGTGCACTGCTTAAAACACCAAAAGCACTCCCATGGTCTATTTTCAGTGAGAATGTTAATCATTAAAAACCGACAAGGCAGCGAAGATCCATCACGTGTGACCTCCTTGCGATGAACTAACCTGACTTCTATTTTTTGCCCACCAACGAGGACAAGATAAAATCCAACTCGTATGTTGACAAAGAGAGCGAAGTCTTTTAGGCTCAGGCTGAGGGTGCGATAATTTGACAGATAGGGAACTGTGATTTGACACTGTAATCCTTAAACCACCGAGGTGATAAGGACCGGAATACAAAAATGCACAGGATTGAATTTAGTTTTGGTTTATAAAAGCAAAAAAAAAAGGAAACAAATGAATCCATGATGGATAATTAATATTATCCAATGGATATCGTCAGTTTATTTATCAAGACAGTGACAGGGCCATGAGTAATTGCTTGCTAAATTTAATAACAAGAGCGGCAATAACTGTGATAAACAATGTACATGTACATGTACATGTACCATACATACTTGGGGAAAACACATCATAGCTTACAGCTTCACATGCAGATGTGGCACATAATGATATTATCGGTAAAATCAATAAAAGAAGCCGGGATACAGAATGATGAAGACACACAGACACACATCAAACCCGGAGTAATAATATGACACACGGCGGGAATTCATTAGACAAGGTAGGCAGGAGTCATAAAGAGGCGAGATATAAATAGATATCACTTGTAGTGCTTCACACAGTTCACACGTAAGTGCATAAATGATGCATTAATTTAATACACATTGTGATACATGTACATGGCTTAAGGAATGTTTTTTTTTTTTTTTCCATATAATTTTATTATTGAAGCTATATTGATTTCTTTTTAATAAGTGTGTGTAAAATTGATTTTGTGGCAAAGGTCTGGTGATGAATGAAAAAAAAAGGAAAAATCTCTCTTGATATTTTTTTTGGGGGGGGGGGCCTTAAAACCCTAACCCCATTAATATTCCAAAAATCCTCCAGGCGGTTTTGGAAGATTTTGGAGCATTGAGGCTGAATGGTGAATGCTGAAGTGTTGGTTTAACTGGAAGGATGCATTGTGCATGTGTCAAGTTCGTAGGCTTTACCATACATTGTTTATGTCCAATCATCCTGCATAATTGAGCCAGGATGCTTGGTATCATGTGCACTGCTTCTAAATGTCATCAACACTCTCTAACTCAACCTATGAACAGTGAATGTTGGAGGATTTTTGGAGGATTGAGGCAATGGTCACCCCTCCACTGAACAAATTCAAGAAATAATGGAGGATTTTGGAGGATTGAGGCTGAATCCATTTGTTACATTGGAGAATTTTGCAGGATTGAGGATGGTTTCTAGCCAAAAGGGCCTAGGGGTTAGGTTAATGAAGAATTGTATGGACTGCAGAATTGTGCTATACTAGTAATTATACATACTTCAAGAAGTAAGGGAGGAGTGTATCAATGAACCAGCTTGTCTGCCCTGAATGAATAATCTTTTGAGTTGTGGTCATGAAAACAATGTTCATTTGCCCCCCCCCCCCCCAATTTTTTGTGTTTTAATATTGCAACAAGAAATGACACTGGCACATCTAACATTTGGTGAATTTGACCAGAAGTTGACCAGTGCTGTGAACGTCATTAATTAATCCGATAAACGCTTAAATCTTAAAACTGCAGACTATTCGAACTTAGCCCATCATTATCAACAGGCACATTGTAAATATTATGCAGATCTATAATCTTGTCAACTTTATGTGTACAATGTGTACTGGTACGTATATGTAGGTGGTGTTGAAAACAAACATTTTTTATTTGAGCTTTTCTATATTTGCATGCAAATGTAAATGTTCCATATGAAGGACATGATAGTTATGAATGTGTACACTTGATTAATGATTACCAAAATAAATTCAACTCACCAAATAATTACTGTACATTGTACCTGAAAATTCTGGTAGTATCAAGATGCATGTGAAATGTTTGTGCACAGAGAATGTACACTTTATATGGCTCGAGTTTTACATGTATTTTAATAAGAATTGTACTGAAAAATACCAAGCACTTCACATAGTAGTGAACATAATTGGATTTTCATGCATTATTCTGAAAAGCTGGCAAAATGAAATAATGAAATTTTCATCATGCTATGCGACAAATGTTTAGAGCTCTGGTCAAAATTTCTTTAAATAAAAATCCTTGTTTTTTTCTCGGATTGACAGCATGCACCATTCTCATTCAGGTGCCACGATTATAATCCTACTTTGAATTTAACCTTAGGTTCTACAGACCGTATTGCCAATACAAACTTGGTGTTTCTGCACAACAGAGCACTTTGGGAAGGCAACTGAAGGGGCAATCTCTTCCTACAATCCTATTCATCTTGGCCATGATACTACAAATACCATTGTCAGGCTCCTCAAATAAAAGATGAAAGCTTTTGGTAATCCCCCAAAATCCACCTCAGTGCACTTACCCAAATTGAACAGTGTACTCAACAAGGGAGAATTGTAGATATTAATAGTTGTAACGTAAAAGACAAACAAACAAACAAACAAAATGGGACAAAGAAATTTAGTTTTATAACTAAATTAACAATCAAAATGCAAGATGCAAACAATGTTTCATTACATCATACATGTAACTGTAGGCCTGCATACATTGATTGGAAATACCTTTATTGTTGATCCCATCAGTGATACAATAATCTTAGCACAAGATAAAACACTTGAGAAAACTTGGACATAGAACAAATATTAAGAGTAGGAAGGAGTTACTTTAGACCTAAGACTCAGGCAAAGGAACAGGGGGAAACCCTGAAAGGACCTGGCAAAGTAAAAACAAAACAGAGAAAAACTGATAGGGACGCTAGTACGACAGACCAAATCCCAAATGTCAGAAAAGGAGTTCTAGCGCCCCAGTGCAGGTGGTTATACGTCAGGACGCAACATTCGGTAATTGTGTAGTTTTATGAACCATTCAGTATAAAAGAATGAAAAGACACAGTTTTCTGTTTTTGGGAGTTAGGCATAATACCTATTTGGCTATGATACAACTTGCAAGCAGGAAAAGTCACTTTAAGAGTGTTTCACTGTTTGGATATGTTGGATGATCTACCCCATGTACACTGTGACTGTAAATAATTTGCTTAAACCATGTTGAAATTGAAGAATATCGGCTAGCTTAATTTTGTGGAGAGAGAGCTGCACTCCTGCAGGGTTTTCTTTATGAATGGAACTTGTAAATGATAATAAGCGGTGTCCTAAACTACACGATTTATCATGGGAAAATGTCCATACTCGATCGCCACTTTAACTGCCGCCAAACATATCAATTTTCACCTCACCTTGTGATTTCAACCAAGAGGAATCCAGGAAGCTGTGTAAATGCGAAAAAAAATCAGGCAAAATGTGTTTTTAGAGCACATTTTGGATGCACACGTCGTGCAGACTAACTTGAAGCAGCCGGTCAAAACTGATTGTAGTGGCTGAAAGACAGCGGTACGTTATACGCATGACGTCGCATGAGCCGGCCAATGATAGTGCAATACGTCATTATGAATATTTATTTTCTCATGAATATTTAGTTTATTTCAATGGATACTTCAAATACGTCCAAAGATTGATTATTGCAACAGCGATCGTGCGCGGCCTAGCGGTTAAGAGTCTCGTGTATCAAGCAAGCGTCAGAGGTTCGAATCTCGATGAAGTAACTGACTGATTAATAAATAGAAATTAAGGAAAGGAGAGGGTGAGAGTAGAGGAGGGAAAGTGGAGGAATATATTTTAATAACCATAAAAGTTGTAACTTTTGGCGCTAGAAAATTAATTGAAAAAAGTGGCGATCGAGCACGGAACTTTTTCCTTTATCATGTTTATACCCAACATTCTTTCCCAAATGTGCGCTGAACAGCAAACTGCAGCAGTCATGGCATTGGCAGTTTCTACATATAGTCGTGTTCCCTAACGTGGCGCACTTCGGAGCTTACCCAACTTTCCTCGTGTAGTGTTGCCAAACCTCTTTGTTGATAAACCTCAAATTCATGCAGTGAAATGCTGGTACTTTTACCTTTTTAATGCTATTTAACCTCTGTGAACATTTTCAGTTTCATAAAATTTAATCCGAAATGCAAAAACGGTTGCGTCCGGAAATTGGGCACAAATTGGCGGAGTGTTCCCTAACGTGGCGCACTTGAATAAATCTCAGAAAATTCTAAATTAACATTTAAGAATTTCTGTAAACTTGATAAATTCTGATAAATCATTATTATCTTTACTTACAAACCCAGCCAGATGTTTGTCAGAAAATTATTTTCTTATTTTTCGGGGCATTTTCAAAGGGTTCACTTTGCACTTAAAAATAAAATCGGAAAATCACGCCAAAATAATATTTTCTAAGTTGAACTTTGTAACGGGTAAATAAACTCGCGATTTATGAACGGGAGTGTTTAGAACTTGATGAAATTTCACTTTCTGTGAAATTTCAGTTTAAACTTTTGCTCTAGCTAGGCGCTACAGGCGAAAAATAAAAGTGCGCCACGCGTTAGGCCTAGGCTAGGGGCCGCGCCACGTTAGGGTACATCAACAATATACCGTTATTACCGGTATCAATGTGCAGGCTGACAAAATCTACTCACCACGCGACGTGAATAACGAACAGTGTACAGCCAGGCAAGACCAAATCATCGCTTCCCAGCGACCATCGCCTTCTTAAAGCCACCAAACCAGGCATCTTGCTTAACAACTAGTACTTCCAAATGATCAGATCACATCTTGAAAGTCTCTGCCACAAAACAGGTCGGCTAGCACTCCGATATATGGTCAAATTTCAACCTGGTTGTGCACACGGTCGTGCAGGGAAATCGGCAAATCAAACGGACCGCATAATACAATGTGTCACGTAAATGTTATCGAGGAAAAATCATAAGTAGAGGGCGCTCTAAAGTGTTTATGGTATTAAACTTTTGGGGCCGGGGCCGTCGACCGAACCTGTATGCAGTACCGTCGTTTGACAAAATTGCAAACATTTTGAGATTTAGAGGGCGCCATAACACTTTAATGGACACTCAGAGTTAAGTTCTCAATTAAAGACAAATTATGCTTTATTCTGAAAAAGGAGTTTGATTTTGCGCTGCGAGAGCCGAATTATTGTTTGACAGCCAATTCGATTTTTTTTGTGAAGAAATAATTCCATAACTAAACGAAGGAGGATTTTTTTCGGTCGATATCTCATTAGAAAGTGAATAACTTTGGTATTGCTGGGAAAATAGCACTTGAACAAAATATGTATATAAATATATATTTCGAGGTAAAAAGCGAAAAAAGCACGGGACTACATCTTAAAACTGGGCCATTTATTATACATGTGTATGTACATGTACATGTACACTGAAAGTAAGTCCAGATAAACATAAATTAAGGAACAGATCCCCATTCCTAGTACGGGCGTCTGATCTGCCGTAAAAGGGGGGACATCATGAGTCAGTTACGAAATTGGTATGCAAAAAAAATATCCTACAATTTCCTCAATTCATTTATTACCGTCGGGGAAAAAAACATGATATTGAAAACAACGAAGTTGCCCGGAAAACTTAAGATATTAAGATTGTGCTTCATCTTCATCGATTTAGTCAGCACATTGTATCGGAATACATCACGCGTATACACTGCGTGTGGATGAGCTGAACTTGAAAATGTGGCGTTGTTTTTAAGAGTGGTGCAGGAGACTTGATTTGAAACGTTCAGTGGTAGGCTATAGACTGCTGGCTATATTTGCTGGTAAGTTGTTCCAATCGATGATGGTGGAGATGAAGAATGAATCCCTGTTTGCCTTCAGTTTTGTGGCTAAGCTGCCGAAATTTCTGAATGTGACCCCCTTGAAGTTCATGACTGTGGATGGTCATTTCCTTGCTCTATATGGTCATATTGATCCGGGGGTTAAGCGTGGATTAGGGTCAGCAGAAAATGTTTTTGCATTTTCTTGTCACTTGGACCGTAGATCAATTTTCCGAAGGTTGCCACCTGGGCACCCTTGAGCATTTTTTTAAAACAATTAATATGCAAATTAGCTTCCGCCATTAGGAAGAATGAAGGAAATACTTTTAATGAAAAAAATGGTAGGTTTTAGTTCCAACTCCAAAATATCCGAAAATTATCCAAGATGATGAAGTAGACAATTATTGTCCTTGATGGAGGTAGGTTTTTTCATGAGTGTGATCTTCACAGACTAGTTTTTTTTTATGAAAGGTGAGTGCATTATACTATACTGCGAATGGCGCCTCTACAACTTGACCGCAATGTTGCAAGGGCGCCCTCACTCATGCTACGTCACTACGTCTTTTCAAGGACTCCGTACGTACAGTACATGTCACACACTAGCACTGTACATTTACATTGTATATTTTCTTATTGAACTAATGGAGAAAACATGTCTGCTTGGAATGCTGTCTCGACGACTCCACGGAACAAAATTTCACTTTGTGGCATCACCGGTGTTTTATGGAATGTAGTTCAAGTTACTGTGAAGGAAACGAAGTCCTAATTCATCTACACCGTCGTTTTGGCGCGGTAATTTCTTGGGAAACAAGAGGTAAACGTTGAACAGTGATTCATTTTTGACAATGTGATTTAAACTTTCTAGCCAACATGACCAAATCACATCCTGCCTGCTGATTTAGTCAGTGATTGCTGCATGTGATATGGCACTGTTAGTTTAAAACCAGATAGTGGATATTTTGCCGGAGGTAATGACGATTACTAAAGGTTTGCCGGCGGCAATCCATATCAACAGAGGGCGCTGTACTCTTTAAAATAGGGCTGAATTATAAGATGTATTAAATTCCCACCAAAAGTTGTGTAGCACGTTTGGTGTAATGGTTAAGCAAAGGCTCTAGTAAGCGGGATGATTCGCGCTCGATTCCGACCGCACCACATTTTAAACTTTTTTTTTCTCATCCCCAAATAAATAAGAATATTCTTCTTTTATTATTTTAACATGTCTCAAACATTTTTTGCAGAGTATTACATTTTCTTTTTCAGATTTGTGGCTCTGGAGGATTTTTTTTAAAAGGGAAATAAAGTCCGAAATTATAAAATGGTCTGAATCCCATCTTGAGAATACGAGGTAACAACGATAATTTTGGCATGGAGCCAGACTAAAACTTGTCACCGGAAAATGTTTAAGTACAAAAAAACAGTAACTGCGCATGTTCAGTGCATATCCGGCAAACTAACGTTTACTAAAGGTTGGCCGTCTCCGGCAAAATATACACTGCCTTAAAACAAATACTCACATAGTCCATAGATAAGGAGATTGATGTTCAGCTTATGGCTTTAATAATCTTGCTGGGAAAGATTCCCATATCCAGCCATCACTTGTCACCCTGTGCACAAACCAGCGTATGAGCATGAGACTGGTCTGAAAATTTCTAAGTAGGCCTAGGCCTACATGTAGCTTGTACGGCCGAAGTGTTTTGTCAGTAAATACTTCAATATTTTCCCTGCTAAATTGACTTTTTATGACATATTATTACTTTCTGATGGCTGACAGTTCACTGAAGGGATAGATTAATGATGGCCAGACATGCCAGATATGGGAATCTTTCCTCTTGCTGGACTTTTTAAGTTTTTGCAGTGGCTATCGTTACGGCAGCCATAACGTGTTTTGCCATACCGTAATGATAGCAGTTGAAAAATCACGTTCGGCTGCCGTAACGATAGCCACTATGTTACGGTTTTTAGACCTACATGTCTCATTTATGTACTTTGTACACAACACTGCAACTGTACAAGGGGAGGCCCGAAGGGTCAGTACTTACATACATACTTGGTAGGTAAATGATGAATGAGGGAATTATGAACAGGGCCTACTTTTAGCCGGTGGCCCAAATTTAGGAGAGAATTATAACTGAGCAGCACGACATACATTCTGATGCCACTTTGTGACTGTAGTGCCATGATTGTGTACAAAGTCTTTGGGGAGTTGTAACATTTTTCCAAGTATTTTTCGGAAAGATTTCCATATAAGAAGTTCACTAATTTTCCTCTGTATTGACTAACAAGCCCCCAGATAGCAATTTCGTGTCATCAAAGTCAATTTGAGCAGTGAGAAAATACAGGCATTTTCTTAGAAAACACTTAGAATTTTTCAGTCCAATCTCATAGGGTTTAGTTGAGTGAACTTCGTATATGGAAATCTTTCCCAGACGAGTCTAGTCACAGACTCCCATGTTTGTTGCTTACACAGTAGTATTAAATGGGCACGATCCATTTACCGGATTATAAGGTCAAATCATTTAATTGCTTTTATGATCATTAATTTTCAAATTTTTTCCTATTTGATTTTTTTTCGCCGAACTCAATTTCTCCCTTGACAAAATAAGCCCAGACAGGAAACAGAATAATAAATTTTTTAAAAGGATGTCACATTATTATTAATTGTTGAAGTTCCTAAATGATGTGCCCAGAAGTGACACGTTCCTTTAAAATCTTACTTGTTTTGTTGGCCAACTTTCACATTTAAGCTAGTGATGCTTCATTTAAATGTAATCAGTAGTCCTTATTGTCAGTGAACAAAAGATGTACGCTATGCCTATTGAAGCGATATAAAAAGCATTGACAATGACATACACTTTTTTTGTAAATATGACCGACCAACATTGAACTTGATGGGAGAAAAACTTGGTGGCATCAGATTACTACATTCTACCACAAACATGCCATCCCATTTTTTTCTTTTCGCTTTTTAGAACCAAAAATCATCAAGCATGTGGTATTTTCATCAGCAGAACTCCCAGTAAATTTCCAATTTATCCAGGTAAATTTAATACAAGTTCTGTCTGGTATGTCCTTGGCTTAAAAAAAAAAGTATCGGAAATACATGTACAGTGATGGTTCCTGAATTCATAGAACTCCCAATAGAAATAAATATTAAATTCCAGATGGAGATTTAATACATTTTGTATATACCGGTAGCTCCATGGTCCCAAGCACTAACTTTAAAGGCATATTATCAAAAAAACTTTAACCTGGATTAAAGATCATACTGGTACTATTAACCCTAACTACGCTGAATCCATCAAAATCCATATACCGGTAGGGTCCCTGTTTTGGAGTATTTCGGCGGATTCGGGATACCTCTATATTGAAAACGGGGGGATTTGATGGATTCAGGATTGTAAGCCTAGCGGTACTGCAGGATTTTGATGGATTCAGGATATACCTCCATACTAAGCACTGAGCTGACACAATAGGTGGATTTTGGTGGATTCAGGATACTTTCTAGTAAAAGTGCTCAAGGGGTTAGGGTCAAAACACCATGTGAAATTATTCCATCTGGCTTGCTGCCATTTTGAAGAAATCAAGAAAAGTAGGTAATTTCCAAGGATAAGTCAAGTGACTGATTTTTTTTGGAAATAAAGAGTGCCAAAGTTTAAATCGTTTTTCGTGATCAAAACACTATGCATGGATTTTCACTGTTTCTCAAAAACTGTAATATCCACTGAGTTCAGCAGGTTCAGTTTTGAGCATTCTTCTTTGGATTTGGAGTGGTGTTATAATTGGAAATGGACAAAATGCGTGAAAAGGACAATGATCCTACATATAGAAAGATGTATGCATGTAAGGTCCAAATTACTAAGACTTGTAAATGTCCTGAAATCTCTTTGTACCACTCTCCTACGTGATTTCATGGCTTTCTGGTTTCATGACTGTTGTGTCATGTGCCTGTAGTTTTGGAATGTTCAGCCAAATTGAAGAATTTATGTAGTTTGATGTCTTACATGGGTCCCGTGCGCAAGCAAGAGAGGGCGCTGTCTGACCACTTTCGAGAGCCCGGTAGACGTGACACACTGGGTGTGTGTACTTATTCACGCGCGTAAAGCACCAAGTACATGAGTGCACGCTTACTTTAAAACGTGTGTATAAAGCCATGGCCTCTTTGTGTGGGCATCAGACGTCGTCGGCAATTCATTTGAATGTCTCTCCCAGTGGTCTCCCCCAACTCTCCCTTTCTTACAGTTGAGGGGGTACTTGTACACGGAACCCACAGGCATTCATTGTTATACACAATTTACAGAAATCTTCCATAATACATGTTTCGGATATGTTCTTGGCTAAAGAAAATGTTGGGAAAACAGTGTTATGTACTTTGCCCGCAAAGCCGCTTTAGGGCCCGATTGAAGTGAAAACATCAAATGATGGCCATGATCAATCCACAAATCAATGTTAAGGCTGAGCATACAGCAGCAAAGCCAATAAATAATAGATCTCACCTGATCCCTGTTAATATATTAAAAAATCAATTGCTATACACACCTGAATATTGGTTAAATGTCCATAATTCCCCTATTCATTTAGAGTGTTCTTTCACTATAATTCAACACCGGTGAATTATTTAATAGGTACCAGTATCTCTGACTAATGGTTGAATGCACATGTACATGTATGCTTGGTAAAATTTTGATTTGTTCTCTGATTTTCAATTTTTCATCCAGCTTGCTCACATTGAAACGAGATGAAACATTTTATACCAGTAATTTAAAGTGGGTCATGATTTTTTTATTGCTCTTGCATGCTGTATGCAAAACAATATGCCTTTTGGCCTACATTTAAATAACCAGGTGGCGTTATCTGTTCCTTGATTTAACTTAATAAACATGCTCAACCATTTAAACAGGACTTTGGGTGTAGGAAAGTTTATAAAACATTGTCACCAGAAAAAAATTCAGTCAATATCAACCTTATCTATTGTTTAATCCCTGGAACTATGTCAATACCTGTTGCTTCATCTACATGTACACTTGGTATGTGGAATGTGATGATACATTGTACAGTAAGTACATTTTTCCTAACATGCCAGTAAATTGTGTAATCATTTACTTTCGAGTTTCACTTGGGGAAACAAGTTATTATCAGTGTTTACAATACCAGCTACTATCAGAATAGGATAGTGCTGAACATTTAGAGTTCAAGCACTTAGTGTACATGTATGAGTGCATGTCTACATTTAAGCCGTATTTTATGCTTTTTCGATAGGTACACTGACGTGTTTTCAAGATTGGACCATTCATGCTCCTAAGTCCTAGCACTGTGTTCTTTCTTCATGGGAACATCGTAATGCGCCAATGGAGTGGGACATGCCTTGGACATCTCTTCAGGCCTGTGATTTATTACTGTGGCTTTTATCTTGAAAACTCGCTGCATCTGTGAATGTGACAATGGCACCCAGGAGTCTTCATAAAATCTAACTGCAGACGGTGGCCCACCAGTGACCCATGAAGAGGTATATCTCTTGTCTGCACTCAGCGGGGTTGATATGCAACGCCTTCTGCCTGGCATCATGAAGAAAGCCAGGGGGCCCAAGTTAAAACTCCGCTACCAGCGCTACTACATCATTCTATTCTCCATAATCCTGTTTGGGCTGGTCACGACCGGTCTGCTCCAGTTTTGGCCGCACTTCATCATGGAGAGCGAGGTGGAACACCGGAGCAGCTACGTCATTCCGGACCTCTCCAATCTCCCAGATGTCCGGATCTCAAGAAATATACCACTGCCGGAAAAGGGAGACCTGAAATGCCGCTACTACAACTGCTTTGACGTTTACCGGTGCGGTTACAACCTGAACCGCATCGGTGTGTACATTTATCCTTTACTGAAATACGTGGACGAGGACGGGACGAGGATTGCGAACACGATATCCAAAGAGTTTTACGAGATTCTCGTGACGATTGCAGAGAGTCCGTTTTTCACGGCGGACCCAGAGAAAGCTTGTTTGTTTGTGCCTGCTATTGACTTATTAAATCAAGACGCCTTCAGAGTCAAGGAGATGGGACAGGTTCTTGCTCAACTCCCCAAGTAAGTGCTTGCTAAGATAATGTACATTTTAACCCTCATATGCAAACATACCCTCTGTGCAAAGTTGTCATTTCAGTCAAAATCAGTCAAGTGACTGTTTTTAACAGTTACAAATGTAAAAGCTTCCAGCCTACATAAAGCAGGATCGACTGGCTGTGACTGTTTTTAAGTAACTTGATAGAGCTATGCTTTGACTGTAGGTGAGTGATAAGCCAGCTGCGCCTACCACTTGGCTGCTTTTGTCAGTTGACTGAATGTGACTTGTCACAGTGCTTGCTTTCTTGAAATAAGAGCTGACTGTTGGTGATTGATTTTTTGACTGTCTGTGACTGTTCAGACAGCAGGAGGGTTTACAATAAAATAATGAACGTTAATTTCATTCCCCACCTGGTTCCCAGGCCACAATGCTTTGAACACATTGTGACAACAACCTCCATACTCATTGTGACAACAACCTCAATACTTTAGCAGTTAGAAGTTTGCACATAATTCATGTACAAACACTGTTATGCATGAACTGTACAGGCACTGGTATGTGTACACATAAATCTGTTGACTTCAACAGTGCCAGTAGTAGGCTACTACTGTACATTTTTACACGTTATGTACATGTATGTATCCTGTATTCGGTCAATGTACATCCTGTATTCCATCAATGCATCCTTGAATGCTAAACCAAACCAAAGAGGATTTAAAATTCCTCATTTTTTTTGTCCACAACTGTTTGCTCAATATGTGCTCAAACTATTCTATGCAACGCTAATCTCCCGCAAGAAATCCCATCTTTTCACGCTGGTAAAACCTCTTGCGCAGTACAAACCTCCATCGCCGGGATAGAAGAGCAGACAACAAAGAAATCTGTCATTTACAGGAAAGTTTCTGAAGGTGGGATAAAAACTGCATTGAATCACAGATCCTGGAGGATCTACGATGGAATGCAGGCCTAAACCCAGCAAAATGGATGATGAAGCCTAAAAAATGGTAAACTAAATACACAGTGTATGTAAAAAGAAACCTCTTTCAGTTAACATTGTAGAGTTTGAGCTGTTCATGTACATATACACCAGTAGTACACTGTATCTCTATGGACAAATGCATTGACACAATTTAGGGTACATTTTAAATTATTGTGGTAGGTTGAGATGTGGCTATTTATCAAAAATCACAGCTTTACAATTACTCAATTAGTAGATTGAAGTTAAGTTGCCAATTTTTTTTTCTTCAAAACCTCAAGATTGTTCTACTGTTGGTATCGAGAAAATGACATAATCACAGCGCTCCGATTCACAAAATTTTAGCCTAGCCCGACATGTATTCTGTCTTTGGTTGAGAGGAATGGTAAATGCACTCAAAATTCTACAAAGATTTATGAAATGGCCTTCAAAATCTTACAGTGGCGCAGCATTGAGCACCTCAGTTTGGATGAGCATGGAAATCGTTTATGGTAAATGTCTCACTCTTATAACTTGAAGAGGAAAGAAATTTATTGTCTGAGTACGTATTGATGGTATTACTTTATGAATTTGCTTACATCATGTACCGGAGTATACAACCTGCCAAATACATGTACACGCATACATGTTGTACACTGTACCGGTACATGTCCATGTACATGTACAGCCTGACAATTTACGGTTCTCCAATATCCAAATGTTGGATTTTGTATGATTATGAAGCATTGAAGACTACAGTTCATTGAAGACTACAGTTCCCAGACACCATTACTTATGGTGTCCCAATTACACAGCATATGGCATCGGTTAATATTGCACTGTGTGATGTCGGATTTAGAAAGGGTCCTTAAAAAAAAATGCCTGGAGCGCTATAGGTCAGAACAAATACTGTACAGTTGTGATGTGGAAAATCTCCCCGGGGATAGTTTCGTGTTCTCATTATTGATGATTATCGCAGAAAAAGAAATCGATGCACTCCTTACGATTTTACTCATGCTGGTCATGCTGGTGGCAAACGTACATGTTCTTGTAATTAAATGCCACATTAGCTCAGGCAGTAAATTCATTACGCGCAGGGATTTCAATCGAGTGTGGAACTTGCGACCCACAGTTGAAAAAGGTTACATTTTGGGGATGATAAAACGTACCCGGGAAAGGGTGAAAACCAAATTTGATTATAGACCCAAAGGGGCATTTTAGCATTTCAATGGCTTTTAGTATTGATTCCGGGAACAATCCAAGTCTATAGCAGAATGTAAAGAAAGTTGACCTCCTTCGGTCATTGACTACTGTATGTACAATATGCAACAAAAGCCCATGCATAATTTTTCATGCGAGGGTTTTTTTATCCTCAACTAACCCACGGAGTTGGTCGGTGATTAAATGTATGTCAACGCAGGGCTCATATTCAGCTACTTGTTGGTGCATATCAATTGCTATCATGTCCCAGACTGACTGGAGCTCTGAATCCAGGCCTAGTTTGCATTCGCCTTCCGGCGAATGTCTGTGTGCTGTGTCTATGGAGATAAGTCACTTGCCGTAAATCATCTTAAGTTATGTTTTCATCTGAATAATATCATCATGCCACATGGAAAATTTCACAGGGGATCTTGTTCTGCCTCAGTTTTTATACCGATTAAGGGTCATTCGGTGTCAATTCAACTCGATTTTTCACCCGACCCTCTCAGATTTAACCGGTATTTGGTGTGATGATTGGTCCATATGAGACACCCCCCCCCCCTCCCCTCAGTACTGAAATCTTGTGTCATTTGGTTTGTTAGTTTTTTAGATGCACGTCAACGAACTTTTAAGAAAGAATGAACTTTTGACTAATTAGCATGACCTCCAACTTGAAATACTTGTGATCTCCAAAACTATTGCAGCCAAGATGTACATCATATTAAAACTCTTTGAATGACCTCCATTTCATAAAATAAAACCAAAATCGTAGCATGGAGTGCTAACATTTAAAAAAAAAAAAAGAATTTGAAGCGTTCTTGTTTTCATAATTCAAGGTTAAAGGTCGTTTCGTTACACATTTTCTCCGCGCTTCATGCTACGATTTTTGGATTAATTTCATTCAAAGAGCTTAATATGACAAGAAAAGTGGATTTTTTTATCAGTTTCCAATGATGGTCAGCCGACCATCGTTGGAAAAAACTGACTTTTTTCCAATACTGCCTTCAATTTATCAAATTTAAGTAGTCCACATTTTATTTGCAATCGGTTACACATCTGTGAATGGGTGCAAGCCAGTTAGTCTGGTTCCCTGACCTGATGATTCCCAGATGTCTGTAAATTGATCTTTTACGTCTGAAGTAGGGTCAGGGAACCAGACTACAAGAACAGCATTTTTTTCTTGGTTTTTCCCGCTTCTATGAACCCAAAACATTAAACAGGTCAGTGTAACAATATTTGCTATAAAATACTAACCCCCAATCCATCCATTTCTGAAAATTACAGCAAAAGCAAATGTAGAAGGTCTACATACATGTACAATGTATATATGTACGATATGTTGTATAATTCCTTGAAATCCTTGAAATAATTTGTTCAGCCAGACTCTGGAATGCCAGACTGAAAACAGGTGCAATTCACCTGGACAATTCCATCAAGAAAGTAGGCATGGCTGAAAAATGGAACATATATGAAATCTCCAAAACTACAAGCATCACAACCTCAAATTTTAAAGGGGACAACATTTGAGTGATTTGGCAGCGAGATGGAATATGGTCAAGTGTATTTTTGTCAAAAAAACACACTGCTTTTTGGGGAGCTACAATTATTGATTTTAGGTAGTCATTTTGGTACCTTGTATTTACAAGTACAATGCAATGTATGCAAGTGGTATTGTCATGATTGTGAGTTTTTTTCTGAGGCAGAGAGAAAGGTTCGTATTTGTTTCCCATTTTTTGGTTTGATTATTAGTTTTTTATATGTTTTAAACACTTAAGTTGTACCAAAGATGGGCGGACAAACTGTAACATGAGTTTACCTTATTAACGTGAGTTGCCGAAATATATCCCTCTAGTTATGTCACGATTGACTGTTTTTTAATAATTGAAATGGTAGCATATATATGACTTACACCCCAGGTAAGATTTTTCCATTAGTGTGCAGTATGAGGAAATTTTCAAATGGGTTTTTTACTGATTGCAAAACCAACTGAAGATTATTTTGTTGGCCTCTGTTTTGTAGTGAAGTCAATTAAGATGCTTTGACTTTATCCCTAACCTTCCCAAATCCCCCAAAATCTTGCAAAATCAAGGATTTTGCAGGATTGAGGCTATTTTTTAGGATGCAATGTGTCAAGGTCTTGGGCCTGAGCCTGACCAATTGTGTCGTTGATGCTCAACCGTGCAAAAATTTAGACCAGATCATACTTGAAATCCTCCGCACTGTCCAGGATGTCACGTGCTGACTCTGTCTCAACATAATTACTGACAGTGATTGCTGAAGAATTTTGCAGGATTGAGGCAGCGGTCACCCCTCCAAAGACCACATTCAAGAAGGATTTTGCAGGATTGAGGTTGGATCCTAGCAAAAATGCCTAGGGAGTTAATGTTAAAAAATGACAGCACTGACTTGACGGAAGACCCCCTCCAAATGTAACGTGAGTTACCATGGAATTGCCCATCTTTGTTTCTAGGTGGCATGGAGGCACCAACCATCTCTTATTCAACATGCTGCCGGGATCGCCACCCGACTTCAACACTGCCCTCGATGTCCGGCGAGGGAAATCTCTTCTAGCTGGGGGCGGGTTCTCAACCTGGACCTACCGCCCTAGCTTTGATGTCAGTATTCCTGTCTATAATTCAGATGTAGCAAAAGTTTATTTATCTGCCAAACCAGAAGGGTGAGTACATAAATGTAAATAAAAAAAATAAATAAAAAAAATAAGAATTTTTTTTTATTTTCCAGTCTTTGTTGCACTTCAGTTTTTATTTTGGACTAGCTAATTTGAAGTTCGAATCAGGGGTTTGATTCCAGCTGCTTGTCATATATTGTGTCCTTGGGATCCATTGGAAAACCACTTCACCGCACTTGCTGTACCACCTCTCTCCACCCAGGAGTATAATGGGTTCCGGCATTAGCTGGGGAGTAACCTATTCTCAGTCGTTTCATGCTACTGAAACTGGAGATAAACGCCGGCCTGATGGGCCACGATGGCTCGTGACAGATTTTACTAATAGGAAGTTCATGTTGTGTTGAATAAGCGATCTGACATTTGTATTGTTGGTTTCTCAGAGAGTAGCCACTCATGTAATGTGACCCCGCCTACATTGTACACACGTGTAATGGTATATTTAGACAGTGGCAAAAATTGAACATATAGTGTGATCACACTCGTTTTAATTATACTCCCCCCCCCCCCCCCCCAGTATTACTCTTTAAAAATGCATAAAATTTCAAATAATGATGTCGGAAAAGTATGTCTTGCAGTGCAATGTATTGTTTCAACCTTCAAATATGAATAGAAAGAAAACATTCAACACTGCTTTTCACCATTTTTTACACTGTGTATGTACTTCTCGAAAATGCATAACTTCCAATGCATACTCCAGATATAACTTCCAATCATACATGGTGCATGACACTGTTCTAGACATATATATATAGTATGCACCTTGATGACCTCAAAATTTTGAATGATTGCCGAGTACATTTTGTAATTTCCTTTCAGTGTCAAATATATAAACGACTGCCTAGTTAGTTTGTAGTGTCAAGGCCCTCCCAAGAGAAAACTCAAACTCAGTCATTTCCGCAGTGCCTGCAATTTCATGCTTTCACTTCCCCTTTCTGGTTTCTAATCTCTTGTATGACTTCCTCTCCTCCCATTTCCAGCTATGTGAAACCTTTTTTAGCTATATCAGCACAAGCTGGAATTCACTTAGATTTTAGAGACGAGCTGAACGCGATCTCAGCAGATCATGAAGACTTTCTAGTGCTGGACAAATGCCCAGATATTTCTGCATCGTCCAAAATGTGCAAGGACGTAACACAGTACCGGTACAGCTATCCACACGTACTGCAGGTGAGTTGTGTTGAAATTCTCTTGAAAACAATTCCTAGTTTCAATTCGGGTGATTCACAATGCAGTGCGCCACCAAGAGTTTGCCACGGAGTGTTCATTTTTCCAAGTGCATTGTGGGAGATGGTCGACAAATTCGCAGCGCGGGACATTTGAAATTGTTAGTTTTTCCGGTCAGCGGTTTCGTAAGCGAATGATTCGAGAATCTTTTTGCCCATTTCTTTTCTTGTTATCAATGTGGTGTTTTTTGTAAGGCGGCAGAACGCTATGCCCCAATCTATGACATTAGCTCAAGTTGTCTACCGACATTCATTCAAATGGGCTATGTTTTGTCGACCGTAAACATGAAAAATGGACTCTCCGTGGCAAACTATTGGTGGCGCACTGCATTGTGAATCGCCCGAATTAAATAAAGAGAACTTGAAGAGCGGGGCTTCACTACAAATTTACAGAGTTCGACCTTAACATTTTTTTTTTGACTAGCCAGCCGGGCTACTGAAACAGACTCCTAACTAGCCCGCGGGCATTTTCACTAGCCAGCATGTTTTCTTTTATATAGAGTGTCTCACAAACAACAATGTGCGTACTTGTAAAACATGTATCCTGAGGCAATCTTGTCAGTGTTTTTAATTAACAGATATAATCATTTAACCTTAAACAGTTAATAAAATTAGACCCAAATTGATACTGGTCTGCTTTCTGAATGTATTTCTTCCTGTCTTTTCATCTTTGCCGTAGTCCAGTAATGTTTTACTTGCCAGCCAGGCTACTTAAGGAATAGTTTGACTAGCCCGCCGCAGTTTTGACTAGCATTTGGCTAGCGGGCTATCGCTAAAGTCGAACCCTGACTTAGCTGTCGAGCACTATGTTGGTCATCTCTAATTTTGTCAGTGTCTTTGTACAAGGGGCACCAGTGATGACCTCACAAGTACATGTGATGACCTCACAAGTACATGTGATGACCTCACAAGTACATGTGATGACCTCACAAGTACATGTGATGACCTCACAAGTACATGTGATGACCTCACAAGTACATGTGATGACCTCACAAGTACATGTGATGACTGCACAAGTACATGTGATGACTGCACAAGTACATGTACTTCGACTACAACACTAGTCAGGGATCACTCAGAGAGGATGCAGCTTTTTTTTTTGAAGTCAAAATAAAACTGACTAGATATTATCCCTTTGTGGACAGGAATTGTAATGTTTTATAAATGTCCTAACCAAACCATCTTTAGAAAATATGGATATGAGGAAGTTTCTGGTCGTTGTATTTTTCACAGGAAGTACATAACTTGTTGCTTGTTCACAGAACATAAATTCTATTTAATTTGTACAATGTACATAAAAAGCTCATTGAAACATGCCTTTTAAATTAGATGATAGAAGTCCTTGAATTCAGACAGGCATTCAAAACATTTTTGTGATTCAGAACAAGACTGAATTATGGATGTTGTTACCATGGTAGCAAGCTAATTTAAGGCATTGCATATTGAACACGATACTACAGTCAAGCAATTACGGCTGCAATTAAGAAGGTAATATTCTCACTGGGAACTCTTTCTCGTCTTGCATTGCAATGATTTTCTAAATGAGGAAGTCGGTTCTGTATATTGTGGTTCTCCAAGTTAATCAAGTCGTCAATTAAAAAAGCCATTGTGAAGCCCAGCGCATTAGCAGCAGTCATTAAGGGATTGCACTCAATACTCCAAAGACGATTAGGAAGGTTCAGGGACCGTCTTTGATTCAACTTATTTCCTTACATCTTGAATAATCAGATGGACGATTTAAGTTTACATTTTTCAGTCTGTAGTTGCTTTGTTTCTTGTTGCTTGTTATTAGCCCTAACTACCCTGAATCCTTCAAAATCCTCCTTGCCAAAGTGGAGGAATTTGGAGGATTGAGGTTACATGGCAAAAGTGCGTTACTGATTTCATAGGATACACTTTGTCAAGGTCTTGGGCCGGACCTTGTGTTATTTTTGCTCAGCCATGCATATGCTTGAAATCCTCCGTACTGCTCCAGGATGTCACTGGCCAAGCCTCAACACATTGACAGTCACTGCCGCAGGATTCAGGCGGTGGTCACCCCTCCTCGGACCATATTCAAGAAATTATGGAGGAATTTGCAGGATTGAGGCTACATGTATATGCTATTTTTCGATGAGGCCAATTGGAGGATTTTGCAGGATTGAGGCTATATCCTAGCAAAAAGGACTAGGGAGTTAGGGTTAAGTCATTGTACATGTATATAATGATAAATTAAAGTAGAGTAGCGGATCTAGAGCGGGCGTTGGAAAGGGGGGGAGGCTGCAATCTCCCCGTTCAGCCACTGACTAATCTTATGGAATTAGTAAAATAAAACAATAAATGGAATGCTAAAGTTCTTAAATGTATTCTTGAATTGCCTTACATTGCAAGAGAAAGCATTCTAGATTTCAAAACTTTCTGGGGGGATGCCCACGGATCCCCCTAGTAGGGCGTACTTTCGACACGCCTCAGACCGATTCCCCCTTTTATATTAGCCCTGTTTCCTGAAAGCTAGATCCGCCCTGAAGTACATGTAACCCTAACCCGGATCCTTTGTAACTCACCAGGTTTGAGAGGATTTTGCTCTAACTTGCAGGATTTAGGGAGTTAGAGCCTAGCCAATATTACTTCACCTTGGACTTGATAGCCCTTGGAAAAAAAATGTGACCTTTGGGTTTTGCACAGTGGTTGATTTAAAGCGGATTCAGGAAAGTTTCCGGCAAAAAAGCTAGGGGAGTAAGGTTTAAAGCTGTATACATGTGGGATCATTTGCTTTTCTTGCATTATGTTTGTTTCCAACACTAACAGCCCAAAATCCACAGAAGAATGTTCAAAACCTAACCTGTTGAAGTTTCAGCTCGGTTTCAGCTCAATTTTCAAAAATCAGTCATGTTTGAAAATCACCTGCATTTCTTGATTTCTTAGAGAGACTCAGGAGTGCCTCAAACTCATTGCTGCCGTACACCTTGCGCTCATGCCAGGATGATGTAGATTTATGCACATTCTGTATGAAATTAATCATGCATACTTCACACCTTGGTGCATGAATCAGTATGCCCACGCAGCGTGTCCCAGCACCCATGAGTGATCACCGAGCCCCATCTGCTGTCATGCACAGAGTCTGTAGCAAACCTGCAGGGTACCAACTGGGCCCAATTTCGTGGTGCTGCTAAGTTCATGATTTTTTTTGCTGTCAGAGCCTCTGCCAATTTCAAGGAGCAAGCCCAACAAAAGGCAGGCTAGCCTCAGAAGGAAAACAATTCAGTAACATAAGAATAGCACTCTGTAAATATACTCTGTGCGTAAGCAACCATTAGCATATCCACGCCATGCAATAGTACTTAGTCCTAACCCCAAAGGCCCTTTTGGCTAGAAACCATCCTCAATCCTCCAAAATCTCCAAAATTTTGCAGTTATGTTTAAATGAAGGATACCCACTGCCTCAATCCTTCAAATCCTCCAACAGCCCAGCCCCTCATAATGCATTCAGCTTCAATCCTTCAAAATCCTCCTCTTCTTCAAACACCATTCAGCCTCAATCCTCCAAAATCAACCGATACTGAATGTTCATTCATCCTCAATCCTCCAAAATCCTCCTCTTCTATAAACAACATTCAACTTCAATCCTCCAAAATCCATCAAAACAGCCGGTAGGACTTTGGAGGATTGAGGAAGGGTAGGGTTAAGGTTAGCACAACTTTTTACTACAAGATACACAACTTTTCTGCTAACTGATAAGCAGTGCCATGACATTGGCCCCTGACTTTCAAAGCTAATGTCATGTCTGCAAAAAGGTCTCCAGTGCTACGGCTAGATCTATTGTCAACATTTCCTCACATTGTTGTAAATGTGGAAGAGCTAGATATTACCCCTAGATAAGAAATTTGGATGTGGCCTAACATTCCCTTCCTTGTCTTTGACTCTCTTGCAGGAAGCCACGTTTTGTATCGTCCTTCGCCGAGCTCGTCTAGGTCAGGCTGCCCTCAGCGATGCCCTACAGGCTGGCTGTATTCCTGTCATCATGAGTGATACCTACATCTTGCCATTCTCTGAAGTACTCGACTGGCAAAGGTATGTCATTTGCTGCAGGATAAGACTAACCTTCACCTTCTTACAGTTGTGGGCCCCATCTGTGAAGAAAAAAACAACAAAACAAGGTCATTGCATTTGTTCAAAGCTGCAGGTTATCTTAAAGGCAATATACAACATTTGCAAACATCAAAAAACAAAACTACCAAATTATTATGAAATACCTTACTGGAATGTTAATGAGGGGGATGAACCTGTGTTCTCAGGAACGGATTGCCCATCTTTCTTTAGAAGCGATTGAAATGCTGCTGTGGCGGATCGCCAAACCTCCACAGCGAGTCTGTTACCTTCCCAGCATTGAGTAATGCCGGTACCCTTGAGGTAAAGCGCCTTACTCAAGGGCGCAACACACATGGCCACGGCGGGGCTCGAACACACAACCTCACGATCATGAATACTGTGCTCCACTGCTAGACCACACGTGCCTGGATGTGGTGAATGCATACAAAGTGGAAATTTGTTTGGAGAACAAAATCCATTTTTGAGGAGCATGGAGTATGCAACTTTTAGTCTTCAAATAAAAATTGCCATCATTTAGGTAAAAATTGTATGGGCAAGGTACACATAAAACTGGTAAGCTCTAAAAAAAGAGATATATTTTGCATTTGTAGAGAATTTTCATCAATGTTACTTGATCTTTTATCTCCACAGAGCTGCCCTAATTGTCGAAGAGGCTTTACTTCCCAACTTACCGTCCATTCTTAAAAAGATCTCCCCATCTCAGATCAAGGAGATGCAGAGACAAGTGCATTTCTATTGGCAACAGTACTTCAAATCCATCAAGGATATCACCTTGACGACACTACAGATCATTAATGACAGAATGTATCCTTATACCGCTAAGGATTACACCTACTGGAATGAACCCAGACCACGGGTGAGTTAGAAAGATGAACAACATAGACTTGATCTTATTCCAATCAAATTGTCAGCATTTCAGGAAATAGTTTTCTGAAAATGATTTTTTGACATATTTGTCAATGTTGGAGTTGAGTGTGTCACAAGTCCAGTCACGAGTATGAGGGGATGAACAATAACAAAGGAATGCTATTGTCACAGTTCATTTGACTAACTTGTGACTTGAAATAGCTTGTGCCTTAGAGGTGGATAGCTCAGTTGGTAGAGTACCGGAACAGCAATCTGGGGGTGGCACAATCGAACCCTGCCCCAGTCATTTTCTTTGTTCAACTTAAAACTGAAGCCTTTGACTTGAGTTTAGAGACTGGTTGACTTGTGAAGACGTGATGATCTGGACTACAGCACTGATTATAAATTCACCACTTTTATATGGGCCATTCTGTAAAACGTCCTTTTGTAGCCCTTTTCTATCGGTTTTTGGTAGCAGGAACTCGTTTGAGTCTGAAAAAGTACAAGGGAGAAAATGCTGTCAGAAACATTGATTGAAATCCAATCTATTCCAAATCCATCTTAGCCCATTGTTGTAGAAAGTTTTTGCAATGTCAAGTTTTAGAGTCGACACTACCCTGGTAACCATAATATTTGTATGTTAATAAGGAATCATACTGTGTATGGGGACCAGTGAAATGCACCTCTATTGTGCTTGTAAGGAGTGTAGATGTAGACTCTGTTTGCAACATAATGGCGATATCTGTAAATTTTAAACCAATTAGTTTTTAACAATTCTTGACGATATTTTCTTTGGGATCAGGTTGGCGTCATCAGTCCGTTGTTTTTGCCGCTGATCCCGCCCAAATCGGAAGGCTTCACTGCCGTAGTGCTGACGTACGATCGTGAGGAGAGTTTGTTTGAAGTCATCCGTCGTATCTCACAGACGCCAAGTCTCTCCAAGGTCCTGGTTGTCTGGAACAACCAGGAGAAATCACCGCCTGCAGGTATGGTCCAACAGTCATTATCATGCAGAATAGATGATAAGCCCCGCCCCCATTAAGCCCTGCCCCCATGATGTTTGGACCAATCACAGCCTTGGCTGTACAGCCAAAGGTCTGACAAAAGTCTGACATGCATACCCTCATGCATAATGCATGTGGGTGTAACACAAAGTGTGGCAATGGGGAGATGCACATGTTTCCTAAGTGCAAAGTGGGCGTGGCTAATAACCAAATCTGGAACAGTCTATTTCTTTCTAAATTTTCGAAAATGGTTCCTAAAATTTCATTTATTTTCAATTTCACATTTGTGTATTTTTTTTGTAAAGTCACAGCATTCTGCATGCTTATCTTTAATGATCAGTTCTCATTTAATAAATATCAGTCCTATTCAGAATCTATGATATTTTGTAACATTCGTTTAATACTGAATATAAAGCCATTACTGTGTAAATACTGGTCGTTTGTATGGGTGGGTTTTCTTTCTATTGAGAACCCTTCTGTTGCAAGAATGAAACCATTTTACCTTTGTGAAAGATTTTTTTAGATCAAAATTGTTTGAATAGATTTTAAACTTGATTTTAAAAAATTCTTGACAACTGCCTAAAAGATAACTTGGATAATATGCAGCAATGGCAACTCATAAATGTTAATCAATCGATTACTTTCAGAAAGTAGTCATTGTCTGAGTTAAATAAGCTATCTCCATCATCGGCTAGTGGTTTCCTGAGAAAGCAGGTCATGCTTTTCCTTTTTCAATTTATCCCCGTCTCCTGGAAATGAGTCGTCCGTCTGCACTTTCATAAAATAAATACAGATTGCTTCTAAATGCTTGGCTTTGACCTCTTTTCGAAGTGCTGCACTGACTTTAGTGCTTTCTCGTTTAAATCCTCACACTAGTTAACATTGCACGCTATAAATGGAAATTCAGTAATAAAATAAACTGGAATGACTGAATCATATGGATTGCATTTATAGTTTTGGTTTTTCTTACACAAGAAGGAAGTGAAGAAGGAAAACGACAAAAAGGAAATTGCCTTCTGTTTCATGAATTTTTTCTTGAAGAACGGCGTACAATTAGTTAATAGGCATGCAATTCCCCAGATCAGCTGTTTCTTCATTTTGCACTTCACATTTATGCCATTAACCCTAACCGCCCTGAATCCTCCAAAATCCTTTTTGCAAATTGGAGGAATTTGTAGGATTAAGGTTGCATGACAAAAGTGCGTTGCTGATTTCGGAGGACGCACTGTGTCAAGGTCTTGGGCCGGACCCTGTGTTGTTTATGCTCAGCCTAGCATAAATTTAGTCCTTGATTATTCTTGAATCCTCCGCACTGCTCCAGGATGTCACTGCCTCAACCCATTGACAGTCATAGCCGGAGGATTTTGCAGGATTCAGGCAGTGGTCACCTCTCCACGAACCATATTCAAGAAATACTGGAGGAATTTGCAGGATTGAGGCTATATGCTATTTTTCCATGAGGCCAATTTGAGGATTTTGCAGGATTGAGGCTACATCCTAGCAAAAAGGCCTAGGGAGTTAGGGTTAAACATTGAAAAACACTGCATAAAGTCTGGTAAAGCTTGGAATTTCCTCTTTCTGCTTTATATGTGTGTTACTTCCCAGTTTCGTGCCTGAGTTAACATAAATCCACAATGTTAATTCACCAGATGGCTTGCTTGCAAAGTTGAAAAAAAATTGAAATAAAAAGTGAAGAAAAAAATACTGGATCAGTGAATGTTACATGATTCCTACATTGAATTCAAATCCTCAAGGCAATATTTTTTTTTTTTTTGTAGTTGAGAAGTGGCCCAAGATCAACAAGCCACTTAAAGTCGTACAGACCAAAGAGAACAAGCTGAGTAATCGGTTCTACCCTTACGACGAGATTGAGACAGAGTGTGTCTTGGCTATCGACGACGATATCCTGATGCTGACACCGGATGAACTGGAATTTGGCTACGAGGTAAAACATGCATCCATTTCAGTCCACTTTGACCAGTTACTTTACAGAATTTTTTAGGTGACCGTGGAAGATCAAACTTGATTCTTTCCTTTACTTAGAGCCTAAATTTTCTGAAGTATACATTCTGTCGTAACTTGGTGTCTCGATGACCTTTCTCTACATTCAATTTTTTTTTTTTTTGAAGGTATGGAGGGAGTTTCCAGACCGTTTGATAGGCTATCCTGCCAGACTTCATCTATGGGACGAGACTTTACTCAAATGGAAATACGAGTCGGAGTGGACTAACGACATCTCTATTGTGCTCACCGGAGCAGCATTCTACCATAAGGTATGACCTCTGGCCCGGGTCAGGTCAAAGTTGTCACACGCATCCCTGCTTTGGCCTGGGTTCTCATTTGGGTCGAGGTGGATTGCTTTAAAACTTGCTGTCTTGAGTGTAGTTTTTTTTTGCCAAGTTTTGGATAAGCCAATATCTTTCACATCAAGATGCTAACCCCAATCAGGAGTAATAATATTTGTGCTTTCTGTATTTGTTTGTTTGCCTACTTACAATTGCTACCTTTAACCTAAGTGGAGAGTAAACCAAGGTTATGTGCTGCAAGTCGTCTAGCCAGTATTGAAGGGTGGCCTGGTGTCCACCCCATTAATCTTGATTAAACAGACAAACTATCATAAGTTTACCGGTAGTAACAATGACATTTATCTGTAAATTTGGTCCCCCTGTGTAGTATTTCAGCTTTCTGTACACCCACAAGATGTCGCCCCACATCAAGTCTTGGGTGGACGACCACATGAACTGCGAGGACCTGGCCATGAACTTCCTCATCGCCAACGCCACGGGCAAACCGCCGATGAAAGTCACTCCTCGCAAGAAGTTCAAGTGTCCCGAGTGTTCCAACATCATCTCGGCCGACCTGACGCACATGGTGGAGCGGTCGGAGTGCGTGTCGGAGTTCGCTAAGGTCTACGGGATGGTGCCGCTCAAGACGGTTCAATTCCGCGCCGATCCGGTGCTTTACAAGGACGATATACCGGAAGAACTGAAGCGATTCCCGAATATAGGAAGCTTATAGCACCTGCTTCAAGGTATAGGTATTTATAACTTGATAATTCCCATAGATGTGTACTGTTTTATTCAAAAAGTCGTCTTGTCAACAAACATTTTTCTTCAATTTGCAAGACTGTTTGTTGGAAATCTTCTCTTTTTTCAAAATACGGGCATGTCAAAAGAGACAATACATACTTTTTTTGTGAAACTCAAGACGCCCATCCCTTTGTGGAAATATGGACAAATTATGCATATGTGCTAACCAAAAAATTGTGATATTTGAGTTTTTTTTGTTTTAATTACTATGCAATTGTACCGCTTTGCTTGTGAAGCAAAGCTTTTGCAGTTTGGGGAGTTTTTGAGGCATCCAATGTCACCATTTAAGAAATTTGTTCAAAATTCTTTCAAAACTTTTTTAGCTAATTAAAGACCTGTATTTACGTTTAATACTTTTGATCGAGTAACTTCACAAGTGAAGTACAAAATACGCCAATCTATGATTGGTTCGATTGGACAGTCAATAATTGGACATAATTTGTCTTTCTTCAAATCACAACAAATGGATTCCAAGGCAGTACTTAAGCTAAATGCAAATGGAACTTCTTTAATTTCATGTGTTTTTTCCCCCTGAAAATCAAAAGAATCCTAAAAACTAACCTTGTCGAATTTCAGCAGACTTGACAACATTCTTTCAAGAAAACATTGGAACCTATGCACATGAAACCCTTTCGTTAAAACAGCTTTACAATTCAAGCTTATCCGCTTATTCCCTTATGTACGTGTACAGAGAGTGATCTTCACTTATTTCTGAGCTTCTGATGACGTTTTCTCCCCAACGAAACATTTCGTCTTAAGTTTTGTTTTCTTACTTTGACTTCTGAAAAACTAAGGCAATAAAGACATTTCTCATCAGCAAAATGTAAAAAAAAGCTGAAAATGGGCCTTCATATTCTACATTATATATGTGAATTTTCTCAAGTAAAGACTAGCAAACATGCATAGCATTGAATATTCAATATTCATAAGTACATGTACTTAATAAAGCACAATTAACACTCGCCTAAATACTGACAATGTTTCTATGTACAGAGTAAACCTGACCGTTTTTTACAACTGTAAGTTATTTTTTAGGTATATTATGTAAATAATAAAGTATTTTTTCGACATTAAAGGACTTACTTGAGATATAACTGTTAAAATTTTTGTAATTACTTTTGTAATAGTACTGTTCCTACTTACTGTGGATAGACAACCTAGACTTGTACATGTCTGTCACCAAGCATTAGTCTGTAAAGATACCAACATCCTAAGATATTTAAAAGACAGTTAGTTGGTTTTTAAAAAAAAGTAGGTGCTGTATGTACCAAAAGTATTGACGTTGATAAAAAAAAAAATTGCTTTTATTTTATGTACATGTGTAAGCATAAAATTGATTAGGATGGATTACGGTATTTCAATTGATACCTTAACAAATGTGTGTGGTTGTACAAAATAGTTTTTTGAAGACCGTTTTTGCTTAATTTGAGCCGAAAGTGTGTCCTATTGCCAAAGAGTGTCAAGCAGGTGCTGTATTGATGTCAATTAGGTATTAGATTTTTTTAAACAGACATAATTTCTTAAAACTCCCAAATCCTGCAAATCCAAAACTTTGGCCAGGTTCATGGAGCTGATATACAAATGTAAGCACAAACAAATATTTGCCAAGCTGAAGCAGATTACCAGCCAAAGTGTTAAACTGTATGTGAGGCGTTATGGCGAAATGCGACAGGCTGCAGTGAAGGAAAATGCTTAAAAACAAACTGAAATCGGGGTGATTTTTTGTCTCGATTTTTAAATTTATTCATATTTGTAATCTTTGATATGTCTACTACACATGCGTTTATATAGTCTAATATTTGTGGAATAAAATTGTTTTTAAGGAAAAACAAATGGCATCTTTCATTTTCACGAACACAAAACCCGAAACTTTTAAAGGCCTTTTTTCAGTATTTTACTTTTCTGACATGTCAGTAAATGCAAACTTTAAACAGCCATTACTCGACAATGGAATGTCCCATTGAAGTGCAACAAACAGTATTGTGAGGAGAACTTTATTCTCTTTCCTAATAACCACAAAAGCTTGCTTCACTCTGCCCAGTTCTGTCTCATTTTGCCAGAGAGCCTCATGTACATGTATAGGGTTTAATATCCAAGCACGAGCCCAAATTATGCAGGCAGTTTAAATACAGTGTTGAGTTGAAATAGTTTAAGGCTGTGTCCCAGCATAATAGACTGTTCCGTTAAAGAGGTTGTGGAATGCTCAAAGACATTTCTGTCATTTTTCGGATATATGTAGCCTAAGGTGTGATGAAATAAAAACGACTATTGTTTCTGTCATAAAATGAGTACAAAAGGTACTTTTGAGAGCTGTTTTTCAAGTCCTGTCATGCCTGTTTCGACCCGAACGTGCAATTTGTGTAAAAGTCGTCGTTGCGGGCAGCAAACAAAACTCAGTAAATCGTGACGTAATAAACAGGACTCCCGATGCAGAGTAGCATAAGTGAGTCATGTTTATTACGTCACGATTTACTGTGTTTTGTTTGCTGCCCGCAACGACGACTTTTACACAAATTGCAGGTTCGGGTCGAAACAGGACCTGAAAAATAGCTCTCAAAAGTAACCTTTGTTCTCATTTCATGACAGAAACAATAGTCGTTTTTATTTCATCACACCTTAGGCTACATATACCCAAAAAATGACGGAAATGTCTTCGAGCATTCCACAACCTCTTTAAGGCTGTGTCCCAGCATAATAGACTGTTCCGTTAAGTCCTGCCCAAAGGTGTTTCTGACATGCGTGCACGGCCGACACATGCAGTGTGGTATTGGACAGGCCCACGTGTTGTTGCCCGACATGTGCAGCGAACTGGACCTAATGGTTTGGTCTATTGCCAGGGAGTTAAAGTTACATACAAAAAATAAGAGGCATGCATTTTAAACTGTAGACTAATTTATACGACATAGCTAATAGGATTTGTGTTCTGTTCCGCCACCAACCACTTGTTTTTACATGGCTGTTATATCTTTCTTTCTTTCTTTTTTTTTTTTTTTATAACTGAGCATTTCAGCTTCTCAGATTACAAGACTAAAGTAATGCTGCACATTGGACATTATTTGCATGCGGCATTTGAGACATAAAATAAATGTATAAATTCATTTGCTAACTTGATAGCCTTAAAGGGAATATACATCATTTGCTTTTGCTGTAATTTTCAGAAATGGATGGAATTGGGGGGTTGGAAATATATAGCAAATATAGTTACACTGACTTTTTTGAGGTTTTGGGTTCGAAAATGCTATAAAAACCAAGAAAAACAATCATTTTCCTGTAGTCTGGTTCCCTGACTCCATATAAGAAGAAACAGAGCAGTTTACATACATTGGGGAATTGTAAGGTCAGGGAACCAGTCTAGCTGGGTTGTACCCGGTCATAGGTGTGTAATCGATTGCAAAACAAGTGCGATGGTCAATTGGGGCCAGTATTTGAAAAAAAGCCAGTGTTTTCCAATGCTGGTCGGCCGACCAGCGTTGGAAATTGATACAAAAATACCACTTTTCTTGAAAATGACAGTGTACCAGGTGCCATGTTTTTACAGGATGCTTTACACTGTCATTCACTAACAGTCCAGCAAGGTATTTCAAAATGATTTGGTAGTTTTATTTTTTGATGTTTGCAAATGTTGTTTTTTCCCTTTAACTGAGCCGAACCCTTGCGTGGACATTTTAGTAACGGGCAATTCCAGCAATATGAAAGGAAGTGTAATGGCCGTGACGGAACCAATTAGTCATCATATAGCATGTTATTAATGATTCAGGGAAGTGATCCAAAACTCCTTGTCTGTAATCTCCTTTGCCATTACAAGATGGAGGATAAGATTTGAAAAATTGTAAACGTCGATGTACATGTCGATGTACATCTCTTTAAAAAAAAAAAAATTATGAAAAAAAAGTGAAAATGTAATTAAGGACATGTTGATGCATGTAATAACTTCGAATTGATGAATGTGATCTAAACTGTTTGATATCTTAATAACAAGCTCCACTTACAAGTCACGATGGAAATTTGAATCTGTTGATTTTTCATCTAAAAGTGTAACCGAACTCCCATAGCCAGACTGTTTAGTATATCTTTTAACACAAGGCCCAATTCCTTATCACAGAACCACCAATCATCTATAGTAGTGTCCTATGACACTGTACTCCAACGGTGTACAGATGAAAGTATTGATGACAAATCTAGCTTGCGGCGTTGCAGTTCCCTTCAAGCAGCAAATGTGGAAAAGATTAACCGGACGAGCAATTGTCCCGTTTATTTTGAGCCCCTCGTTCCCTGCTCTGTAAAATGCAAGGCTTTGTTATTGCAATTGACTTGTGCAGTGGCTTTCAAATCAATGTTTGTAATGGAGGTACATACAGTATTAAGTAATGAACATACAGTGAATTTTTACTGGGTGGTCATGAATCACAGTGTAAGTAAGGCATATTGGATGCTCTTGGTTTGTTGGATATCACAGTGGAACGCTGCTGTAACGAACATCACAGAATCCACAGAAAATGTTCGTAATAGTGATCGTTCGGTATAGCGATTTTGAGCTGCCGGTACTTAAAATGGCAACAGGTGGCTTTTCTCTTCTGTTTCTTTGTGGAAATAATAGCCACCTATCACTCATCAACATTCAAACCGATACACCATGGGTCGTTTGACATTTGGGCATTAAACATGGCCCCAATAGCATTGAATATACCTGGCAGATTTTTGTTAATCTTTTGACTTTTTCAACTTTTGACTTTTCGACTTTTTCAATGTTTAGTACGTTTTGTTCATGGTGTATAAGCATGGTGTTCGGTATAGCCGAATGTTTGGTATAGCGGTGTTCGGTACAGCGGTGTTCCACCTTGTCACCTGTCATCACAAATGAGCATAAAGTCGTATTTTATTCAAAATCGAGGCAGGGATGAACAGGGCTCTATAGCCTGATTTCCTTTAGTTTGTTAATGCCTTATAATATTAATCCTTGGTTAAAAATAGAATATCATTTTAATATTGCACATCTGGAGGGTTAAGCTTGGGTGGGGGGACCTTTGGTTTTTACAGCTCATAAGTTTAATTCTTTGAGTGATTGATTGAGCCCACCAATTGTTACTTCAAAGGAGGCATTTCCAATTTTTGCGTACAAAGAATTGATTGGATTTGACTGATGCAGTTGGGTTCCTATTTAAGACTGGGATTAAAAAGATGGCTTAGAGTTCAGTTGACAGATGAAACACATGAAAAACAGAAAATAGAGTTGGGGAAAATAAACATTTTCTGTGACACAAATTAAACAAACCGTCACCTGACTTTGGCAAAAATATATTTTGGGTAAAAGATCATGTGACTTTAGGCACAGTTTGTGGTGACAAGTGGCAAATTACTACTTATTACATTATAAAATTGCTTCTGGAAAAAAATTAACAAATCTACTTTAAAATAGTTTTATCTTGTAAATTGAATTCCTCACCTTATTATGTAAAAAAAAATACCTTTAAAATGGAGAAAGTATTGAAATAGCTGTTAAAACTTTATAATAATCATATCACTGCCACATATAATTTTACTTACATTTAAAATCAAATGATTAAAAAAAAAAGCAACAGGCTGACTATAAATAAAAATGATGTAATGTGTATACATTTGGGCTATAAATAGAAACTGATGTAATCCTTGACATAGAGAGTTTTGGTCCATTATACTTGCTGTAAATCATATGTACATGTACACATTTTGCTGCATAGTTTTGTATACCAGCAGTCTTGGTGTTGAAAACTCCACTTACGTATGGCGAGACAGTCGTTGCTTCAATTATGCTCAGGGTTTATCATTTTACAATAAAAAGTGAACATTTTGTACATAAATGAATGACTCCTGCCTGGGTTTTTGTTTGTTTGTATTTAAATAAACGAAAGAACATATTTGCAAAGATAGAATTACCGGTATATTCATTTCAAAATGTGTACTCTTTTGTTTGCACCTTAAAATTGTGTTTCATTAATTGCAATTTATTTCCATTTTTGTTTTAATTATGTAATAAATTCCTAACTTGGTACCTTTTGACAAATGGAAAAATCCATCGACCACAGATCAGAAGATATTAATGAAAGGACAATACACATGCCAACGTCTCAAAGGTTCTTACATTTGAGGTGCCCATGCATTTTAGCAAGTTGTAAACACCGTATCAGTCGAAAGAACACCGAGTACAAGCGTTAGACCGGCATGCCAGCGTAACATCAGTAATAAATAAAGGTTTGCGGAAACACCATGTGCGAATAATTTCTCAACTAAGAGAATGGTTCTGAATAATAAAGAACCAGAGGTATAAACTCTGGTTCTTTTTCAGAACCATTCTCTTAGTTGAGAAATTATTCGCACATGATGTTTCCGCAAATGTTTCATTATTTAGTATCTCCAACATGCAAAGCCTCAAATCTTACTTAACATCAGTAATGGCTTGTAATTCTGGTCATTCATTGGAAAAAGAGGCAAGAAAAAATAAATTCAGGAAGCAGTTTGAAGAGCCCAACTTATGTGAAACAGAGTCTTGCTGCCACTTGAGTGCCAATTTAATATCCGGTAAAACCATTATCCCATTAGCACTTGTATTACGTTGTATGACAATGTCTTCATATTCCCTGATGAATTCTCCAAACCATACAGGCAGGGCGGATTGGGGCGTAACTGGTACCAATTAGTTTAGGGGTGTGTACGGTAGATCTGAACACACCTTTAAAATGCGATTTTACCTTGTGGCTAGGATGGCGTAGCACCGCGGCGACGTGACGGGATCAAAGAGTCGGACTAATGCTGCACTACGGACGCTCTTCTGTGGATTGGACACGGGATGAAAATAAAGCTTTGAACTGAAAGGAAACCCCATTGCAATGTACAGGGGTTCGGTCAATCTTGCTACATTACTGTTTTAGGGGCTGCTTAATGATGATAATACGGGTATTTTTTCAATACAACTTAGAAGTCAAACAAAAGTGTAGGTACATGTAACTCTATAGACAAATCCAGATACATGACACATGTCTGGTGTTTTTTTCTCTTAAAAAACCCCCATTTTTCAACAAATATTAGAAGTCAAATAGAAGTGATCAATTTTTTTAATGAAGGAACTGTTCTCTGGTATTAGCAGTGTGGCAATAAGTAGTTTGGAGACCACAACCACCCCCACCCACAACAACCACCCTCCCCCACCCACCAATAAAAAAAACCCACTTATTGATAAAATGATAAGAGAAAAGGGGCAAATTTTCAACTTGATGTACAAATTCTGAACCAGAACATAAATGACAAGCTTTCTCTTTCGTGAGAGGGTAGGTATTTTGGAATCAAAATTTCAATGAATCTCACTGATCTTGATTGAAAATGTTCAGCTGCGTGCAAGACTGAGAAATATTACCTGTTCCTGAAGGTAGCAGAGTCTATCCAGCATGAAGAGGCCCTCTATAGTCGGGGAGAGGGCAACCCTGAGTTGGTTGAGCGCTTGTAGCTGGCAGAAGTATGGCTGGTAACGCTCGGCATAGGCGCTGATCTCCACATCGGAAAGCTATCAGAATATGGCAAATGCGACTATGTCTCATCAATGGATAGCACAATAAAGGTAATTGGGCAAATCAAACCATTCACAGGATGAAATTTGTGTCAGGGTGATGTAAATTGAATATTGGATTTTGCCTTCCTATGAATAAATACATTGGTTGCGGTACCCGCTGCTATATCAGATTGGAACCAGCCAACCGACCCCAGCAAGCTCGGTGGTCCAGTGGTAAGAATCTGCACTAGTAAGCAGGTAGTCGGTTCGAGACCCAATATTCAATTTATTTGACTAAGCTAGCTATGCACAATGGTATTTCTGTACTGTCATGCTGTATGTAATCTTGAAAGCAAGGTTGGAGAAAGATGGCCTTGACCAGTTCAAATCATACCAGAGTTGATTTTGATCATATTCTAGCTTCATATTTTTGGTTTACCTAGAATCTCTTTTCTTCTTCAGAAATAATTGTTGCTTACTATTTAAAAAAAAATATATTTTGCCCCCCCCCCCCATTTCCTTTTCGTGAATATTTTAACCCTAACCCTTCAAAATGCAGCTGCACGTTTTGTTGGATTCTGTTGGAGCGAGGACTGCCATAGTAATCTGATTGTGCTTTACATGGGGTCAGGCATACCACCATAATCAGAGTCCAACAGTTTGGGTGATGAGTTACCATATGGCATTGGATTTTGCGAGAGTGTAGAAGGTTCCTAGTAAATCACTCAAGGCGGATAGGGTTAATGGGAAAGTTGCTGCAAAGTGGTTAATTGGAGAAACAAAAATACACAGCAGATAGGAAAAAGGTAGATGAATAACGGACTGACAGATGACAAATAAAGGACTGACAGATGAAGGAAAACTGAGAGGTAACAGCAAGGTTTTTATACCTTAGAGTCATCAAACTGGAGTTTCTTCAGAGCTTTTCTGGCATATTCAAGGAAGCTTCGACACTTTGGAGCAAGCTTTCCAACATTTTCTGACCTGAATAGAGAAGCGTCATTTTTAAATTTTAATCAAATTATCAGAAAATTTATCAACTATAATCTCTTCTATATGTAAATCTATCTTACAACCCCAAGTCTATTAAGTTGTCACTGAATCCAAATATCTGCCCCTAAATCACTGCAACACCAAAGAACAATTTTCTACCTCGGCAATGTAACACTTTTAACAGGAAGAGAGAAGCAATCAGGCCCGGCAAAAACCATAAGCATAAACATTATCTACGATTGTGTTTTTTTCTTGTGTCCCCCCTAGCAGGTACTGAGGCCCACACCCCCCCCACCCCCTAATTCCCAAAGCTGGCGACGGTGCTGGAAGCAACACTTCCATTTTCAATTAAAAGGCAAATGTTAATAATCTCCTAATTGTGCTGTCTAGCATTTACGTTCAGAAAGCAATATCTTTTAGGTATTGATATTTTACGCACATCGTAGGCAGTCTGTAGTGGTCTCGGAGTAACACCTGTAGCACACTTCGATAGAACAGTCCCATAGCAGGCACGACTTGAGATGTGGCTATTCTATCTGCAGCCTGGATGTGAACCAAAAAAACAAGAACAAAAATGGATTATGGAAATAGAAGCAGTTTGATTTTAGGCATAATTTGGGCATTAGATAGTCTCTTCCCAAGTTGTTTGACTTAATCTCAGGGCTCAGGGTGCACTTCAAACTCGTTAATGACGACTTGATTGGAGATTAATCTCCGAACAGGATTAACCCTAACCCCTTGAGCACTTTTACTAGAAAGTATCCTGAATCCGCCAAAATCCACCTATTGTGTCATGCACAAAAATGTTGGTGTTGGTGACTGCTCAGTATGGAGGTATCCTGAATCCATCAAAACCCTGCAGTACCGCTATAGGCTTACAATCCTGAATCCATCAGAATCCCTTGGTTTTCAATATATGCTGAATCCGCAGAAATACTCCAAAACAGGGGTATGGATTTTGATGGATTCAGGGTGGTTAGGGTTAAAGGACCCTGTCATGTATCTTTTCACTTTAACTCCAAATTTGTTTTAACCTGTTTCTCTTCGGTCTGCAAATGAAGGACATGAATTTATAAAATGCCACTGAAAAACCGCTTTCTAAAACAGAAGCAACAATGATCCCTGTGTCTCACCATACTGGCGAGCATCCGCGCTGGCCTGGTCACCTTGATGCCCTTTGACCTCAGGAAGTGACTCATGGGAAATCCGCATGCCTCCGGCTTGGTCTCCGGGACGTGCCAGCCCCCAGTCTCAAATTCCTCCGAGAGTTTCTGGTAACAGCATCCGACATTCAGGAGCACCCGGGCCGTGTCATTGTGAACAAACAGACGCAGTGTCGAGGGGGCAAGATCTCCACACGTATGCAGGCCAATTAACATAAATGGCTGCTGACAGAAAATTAATAACTTCAAACAGTTATCAGAAAAAAAATACTCAATTTTGTGTAAAGGAATCTACGTTCCATGACCATTGCTTAAAGAGGTTGTGGAATGCTCGAAGACATTTCCGTCATTTTTCGGGTATATGTAGCCTAAGGTGTGATGAAATAAAAACGACTATTGTTTCTGTCATAAAATGAGTACAAAAGATACTTTTGAGAGCTTTTTTTCAAGTCCTGTCATGCCTGTTTCGACCCGAACGTGCAATTTGTGTAAAAGTCGTCGTTGCGGGCAGCAAACAAAACACAGTAAATCGTGACGTAATAAACAGGACTCCCTATGCAGAGTAGCGTAAACGAGTCCTGTTTATTACGTCACGATTTACTGTGTTTTGTTTGCTGCCCGCAACGACGACTTTTACACAAATTGCACGTTTGGGTCGAAACAGGACCTGAAAAATAGCTCTCAAAAGTACCCTTTGTACTCATTTCATGGCAGAAACAATAGTCGTTTTTATTATATCATCACACCTTAGGCTACATATACCCAAAAAATGACAGAAATGTTTTCGAGCATTCCACAACCTCTTTAAGAGCGTAGCCTAACCAACTGTTTGCTCAAAAATAGAATTTGTGACGGCACATATTGAGTTGCATTCAGCCCATGCTTACGAAGCAAAGGTTTTCGAAAAACCACTTACAGAAATCTGCTAAGCACTGAATATTTTGGCTTAGCAAAAACAGATCACCAGCAAAACTGTCATAGGATGTCTCTTGCTTGTGACTGGTTCCCTAACTAATGTTTGATTAGCACTTTTTTTGCAAAGCAATATTTCTGCTTAGCATCTCCATGAAATTAGGCCCAGCTGATGACATCCGATAGCCTTGGTCACGGCGTTTGACGATATAGTCCAATGGTTGGCCGCAAACAGTTGCCCTATACTCACACGTACTTCACGAAACGCAAACAGCAACCTCACGTGGCTAGGCTACAATATGCAAATCAGCAGGTGCTGAAGGAATGCCTTGGAGCATCCGTGTTTGTTTTATCTCTATTTTGTCGCTGGATTTCCAGCGACGACCTCGTATGCAAATAAAGATGAGATTATATTATTCATACTTGGTCATGGAGGTTCATATTTTACATGGAAAGAGAGCTGGATAGTGTGGCTACATTCCCCAACAAGTTTGGAGTCCGCTCACGAAATATAACACAATATTAATCAATCCAGGGACAAAATAACGAAAATTGTTCGAAAAAGTTAGGCCATGGCCCATGGATGTTCCAAGGTGTTCATTCAGCACCAGCTGATTTGCTTTGTAGCCTAGCTGTGTGAGGTCGCTGTTCATGCAGTACGTGTGAGTGCATAGTGTACGGCTACTGTTGTTTGCAGCCAACCAGCGATCATCAGACTCTATCGTTGAACGCCTTGACCAATATTGGACTGCCTTCATCATCAATCTGTAGCTCTCCGTCTCCACATTGTCTCCTTATTGTGACCTGTTAATCACGTGCAAGTCCTGAATTACTCTATTTACATCTCAACATACCACTTCATTTTCCTGTTCAGCCTCCTCTGAATTTCTAGACACCACACTAGCAAGACTGGTGCTTGGTTCAACAAACGCAGTGACTGAACAGAAGCGAGATCCATTCTTTGTTGTGTTATTTTTTCCATGCGATGAAGTACTGAAAGCAGCGGTACTCTCTACCGCTTCAGGGGTTGTCCGTTTCTTTTCTTTCTTGTGTGTGTTGTGATTAGTTTGACTATAAGTATAAACGGGCGACTTTTGTTCAGGTAGAGAATCCTGATCATCATTCGAGTATAAATCAATCTGTTGAAGGTCCTCACTTAGGCCACTCCCATCATTTGAGTCTGTCATCTCAGTTGATGTCAATATACCTGGTGATTGGCTGTCAGGCTGATGCATATTCAGTAGCCCCTGATTTACATCACTGGATGAACATTCTGATTGGCTGATAGGTAATACATTCACCATCTGACTTGTTAAACCTTCAGAAGTGCTTTCTGATTGGCCAGGCATATTCTTCAATCCTTGAGATCCACTTGAATCCTTCTCTACTGAAGGCTCACAAGTGTTGTCCGGACAATTCAAAAACCTTTGCATATTCTTTAGCTTGTGAGTACGCTTAGTGTATATTTCTCTAAAGGCCTCTTTTGGATTTTCAAATTTGCTGGAACTTTGCTGAATCTTCATGCTGTGCTGTGAAATGCCCGCCCACTTTTTCTGCAATTTGTGACTTCTGTCTCTGGCGCCATGGGTGTTTGTATCTGATGAGTCAATTCCGATAACGTCTAATCCATGTTGCAAGGAGAGATACTGCCCGAGATAACCTTTACCACTGCCAATATCAACCACCTATATTAGAGAAAAAAACATGAATTTAAAATAAGCACTTATCTTTTTCATTTTACAATCAAAATTTCAAATTTCAAAATATCTGGAAAAAAATAGGGAATCTGGTCAAAACAAAACCATGAATCAGTAGACCAGCAAAAGGTTGCAAATGTCAGTTATACAAAAATATGTAATAAAGCATTTAATCTTCTGCATGATCCGGAAAACATTATTTAAATTATTTTTCTACAAACAGAAAAATGTCAATTTTGAGACGTTTTAATAAATAACATGTATGAAAAGGTCCAAAGTTAAAGGCCTACTTTGGAATAAAGTCACAATGAATTCACTCGCTATTTTCTTTGTTCAGTATTTCATCAATGTTTTGGAGAAGCTTTCCTCCCCTTGTTCATGTTGTTAGTTGCACCCGATCATTTAAATGAGTCAAACTTTCTCGATTCACCTTTTGAAGTTCATGAATTCCAGCCAATTTGGCAGTGAAACGTGACATCTCTTCAACCTCATGTGATTTTTTAATGTTCATTAACGCCTTAGGCTGCACCACTGATGATGAGGATGACCTCTCCTGATTTTGACTGTCGTCGCGTTGTTCATGATCTTTTTTCCCGACAGTCTGAGTTAGTTGGCTCAAAACGCTGTCTACTTCACATAAAACACCACTATTTTCCAATCGATGATCCACGCATTCATTTATAAATTCGTGAATTGCACAAAGTTCTCTTTCACCGTCTTTCGGTGGCGGTAGCTGACCGGCAGGGAGGCGTGCCATTTCCGTCTCCGTGAGTTGAACGATTTCCCGAGCTACATCGCCGAAATGACGAACAACAACGCACTCCCACATTTTCTCCGTAAAGAAACTCACTGTGTTTACTCTTACAACCCACTGATGATTATCTAGGAACGCTACAAACTTCTCAATTATTTTTTCAACCCTTTGACGGTTTGTACCGTTCATTTCAGTGGCCATGGTGATGTCAACGAATCACTTTAGTACAGTCGCACTCGTTGACGTATTTACACTCAATGGGCGCAGCCATCTTGAACATTACATGATAATTTCCCGAGAGGGCGCTGCAGTGCCCTCTCGGTGTAATAGTGTTGTAGACATAAGCTGTATACCCCACTTCCAAAATATTAGGAAAAATACTCACAACTCTCCAAGGTGTTTGAAAAACACGTCAAATATAAGCTTATTTCATCACCTTTCATTTTTCTTCAGGTAGTTTTTCGGGGTAATTCCATGACTTTTGATAAAGCGCAATTTTAGGGTTCAATTTCATCCAAATTTCACGAAAATACAAACTCGCAGTCCGATCCTGTTCACGCGACTAGCACCATTCTGGTTTTTTTGGGCAACCCACAAGTTCATGGCCCACAAAATGCTCCAATAGTAATACAGTATTTACTGGCATGCAACCATGGGCGGCGCCAGGATTTTTTTCTAGAGCGGGGGCAAAGCACATTATTTCCTCAAATCCATGTACTTTCATAGCATATTTTTTCGAGGGCGGAGGGGGAGGGGGGGCGCATAATTTTTCCCACTGCACCCCCATTGACACCCTTGTTACGGATGCCCATGTTGTTAAAGGTGCATTATATTAACAGTAATAATACTTTTGCGTTATTTCGCATTACTATTTTCCTACTTTTAACGCGCGCTTGATTCGAAATATGGTAAGATGCTACTTGTATTCTATTTTTCGTCATTCTGCTGATGAGTGCCTTATGGTACGAAACAGTCTGTTCAGAAGAGAGATATGCCAAAGTTTGTTTAACTCATATTCTGAATTTATTGCATGTTTATAGCTCTACAGAGATGTATCGAGCACTGTGAATTGTGATAGAAGACGATTTCGTTGGATATATATATATATATATATATATATATATATCCAATGAAATCGTCTTCTATCACAATTCACAGTGCTCGATACATCTCTGTAGAGCTATAAACATGCAATAAATTCAGAATATTAGTTAAACAAACTTTGGCATATCTCTTTCTGAACAGACTGTTTCGTACCATAAGGCACTCATCAGCAGAATGACGAAAAATAGAATACAAGTAGCATCTTACCTTATTTCGAATCAAGCGCGCGCACGCGTTACGCGCGTTACGTCATTGAAGTTAGTACGCGCTTACGTCACTGAAGTAAGAACACATCTGTCTCGATGCCTGCACTTGGAGACGATTTCGCTTCTCTTATTCAGTGTACCTAGATCTGGCCTACATATGATTATGTACTTCTCTGCTATACACAAATTGCATCTCTTGTTTACGTTAGAGTATGGCAGTGCTTTCAGAACTATGTCCCATTTGATTTCATAGTCTTTCCCTTCGTCCTTTAAGTCCCATATATGTTTACTTAGCTCTGTTTGCGCCCTCTTGCTCTCGGATCTGAATGACTGCTTGTGGTTCGCCAGTCTCGCCTTGAAGGTTGTGGACGTCAGCCCGACGTATGCCTCCTTCCTGCCTTCGCTCGTGACGGTGGCCTGGTACACTATGTTCTTGCTGAGGCACTCCCCGTTCAGCGGGCATTCGGCATTGCGGGGACAACTGCATGTTCTACCACCGACGTCGTCCTCCTGTTTTACCTTCCGTTTGTTGATTGACTGGATCGTTGCCTTCATGTTCGGCATGCAGCTGTACGATAACTTTACTGTGTTCCGGTTGAGCACTTTGTGAAGCTTATGTTCCTTGGGGAAGCATTTGTCTATTATCTGAAGGAATTTCTTTCCAATGTTGGTACGTACGTTCTTGTTGTATGGCGGGTTGTACCATGTCACCTCCCTTTTTCTAGTCCTTTTCCTGGTGTTATTGCCCGGTGTGTATGTCAACCGATACTTGTGCCCGCTTTTTTGCAGAGCCTCCTGGTAGGCCGGGGCAGCTTTCTCGAATGCCTCCTTGCTCGACGAGATGTTGGAGAGTCGCTTGTTAATTCCCTCTGGTATCTGTTTGATGACGGCGGGTGGATGGTTTGACTGGACATGTACATAGAGAGGTACATTACCTGGTTTCATGTATGGCTTGTACCCTCCCGTTCGCAGGTCTAATGTGATGTCAAGGAAGTTTACTGTTGCCTTGTTGGCTTCGATCGTTACCTTTAAGTCATTTTCCCGGAATACTTGGCATATTTCCTTCTTGATGTTTTCTATTTTCTTGGGGGTCTCTTTGAATACTGCCAGACCGTCGTCCCTGTATAGTCCCACTCTATTTCCGTACTTTGGTTTCAAGATCGACAGTAGATATGCTACGACCAGCTCGCATGACTCCGCGCCGTCGAAACTGCCCATCGTGACATCGAATTTGCTGTCTGCATTACGCTTTTTCCACGGTACCTGGTCGTTGAATACCACTGTCTGTTTCGCGTGGATCGTTGCCTTCATGTTCGGCATGCAGCTGTACGATAACTTTACTGTGTTCCGGTTGAGCACTTTGTGAAGCTTATGTTCCTTGGGGAACCTTTTGTCTATTATCTGAAGGAATTTCTTTCCAATGTTGGTACGTACCTTCAAGGCGAGACTGGCGAACCACAAGCAGTCATTCAGATCCGAGAGCAAGAGGGCGCAAACAGAGCTAAGTAAACATATATGGGACTTAAAGGACGAAGGGAAAGACTATGAAATCAAATGGGACATAGTTCTGAAAGCACTGCCATACTCTAACGTAAACAAGAGATGCAATTTGTGTATAGCAGAGAAGTACATAATCATATGTAGGCCAGATCTAGGTACACTGAATAAGAGAAGCGAAATCGTCTCCAAGTGCAGGCATCGAGACAGATGTGTTCTTACTTCAGTGACGTAAGCGCGTACTAACTTCAATGACGTAACGCGCGTAACGCGTGCGCGCGCTTGATTCGAAATAAGGTAAGATGCTACTTGTATTCTATTTTTCGTCATTCTGCTGATGAGTGCCTTATGGTACGAAACAGTCTGTTCAGAAAGAGATATGCCAAAGTTTGTTTAACTAATATTCTGAATTTATTGCATATATATATATATATATATATATATATATATATATATATAACATTTTTTAGGCCTATGTCTACAATTTCAGGAGAGGAGAGAAGGCGCCGCACCAAAAAAATCTGAATAATTATTAGAAATACATAGATTAACCCAGACCCCTAGGATGCGTGTAAAATTACATTAAAAGCACAGGACCCATTACTGTCAGGGTCAATATAACAATTGCAAGGATTTTATTACAAAATGTGGCGATGAGTAACAGTTAGGTTGAGTTGAGCTGATTGCTTGTTCTCTAGCATCAATGAGCAGACTGGTCCAAATTATATGAAAAATTGTTAAAGCAAAATTTTGAAGGAATTGGTTTTAGCAAAGGGGATTTTGAATTCATATTCGGTTATTGATTTCATAATTCAGGATGGGGATGGTGATTAAAGTCATATCGTTTGTGAAATACGTGTACATGTATAGTTATATCTTTTGCATATGTTGAGATGAGTTGCAAAAGGACATTAATACACATTTTTATCACAATAATGAGTTTGAACCGGCACTGTTTAGTGTTTGAATAATGCCATCAGGTAACGTAATATTGATATATTGCAAAAAAGGGATTACATCCCACTAAGGTGCTTTTACAGTGCAAAAGAAATACAAGAAATACATGATCCCCCCCTCCCTAAAAGAAGATAATTGATGAAAGTCTCGTAGGATCTACGGAACCTCTATAGAGGAGCCACTAGATCCTGAAGTACATCTGGAGCTTACCAAAGATCTCATCACTGGGCCCAAGTGTGGATGCTTGACGGAATAGATGAGAGGATTAATGGAAGAACTGACGAATAAGATCAAGGCGCCGTACAACTCGAACCGGTTGTTGCCAGTGATATCAATGATGGCATAGGGAATGACGCACACTATGAAGGCTAAAACTATCAGACAGAGGTTCTTGGTAATTGCCAGTTGTTCACTCCTGATACGGCTCAGTTGACTTGCACTCTGGGTGTCGATAATCCTAGCGGGCTGCGGGGAGCTACTGGTGTGGGCATCGTCGACGTCGCTCTCTTGCTGTGAAGAAGACGACGGGCCAGGGCGACTAGCGTTAACGTTCGGTACCTGCAGACCGTGTAGGCCTACATCTTGTTGGCGCTTCTTGAAATGACGTCTGACATGTCGCCAAATCAGGAGATACGAAGTAGCGATGACAAGGAATGGTAGCGGGAAAAACACGACAAACTGAAGACCGTCGTACTCGTCAACTCTCGGGTGAGTTTCAATGTCTTTGCAGAAGCGTGTCTTAGGATCAAAACCGAGGCCACCGATGCCGGACAATGGCGGTATGATGGTGGTACACACGGGGATAAGCCATGAGCCGAAAACCATCAAGGCAGTCTTCCTTGGTGTGTACAGCCATTGGTAGGTCTCAATACGTCTGGTGATCAGGATGCACCGGTTCAGGGCGATGTTTGCCAGGGTAAAAAGGCTGCTACTAAGGGTGATCTGGGCAAGAGCAGCCGAGACAACGCAGGGGATGTCAGGCTGCAATGGGTAGCCTGGCGTTTTACTCAGCATGCCAGGTACCATCCACATGATTGCCAAACTGGTAAGGAAATCAGTTACGCTCAAGTTGACTACGAACACGTTAGTGACGTTCTGAAGTTTCTTGGTACGGGCCAAAGCAACCAAGACCAGGCTGTTGCCGCTGATTGCCAGGACTATCAGGATAGAGAACCCAACGGCACACAAGACCAACTCGGGGTACGTGTATGGAGCTTCAACTAATAAAACAAAGGTTGAGTTCAGCTGAGGAGTTGAGTTTGTAGAAAACGCCATTCTGCAAATGTCTGTGTTGTTTTACGAGTGTGCTTTTAAAGGTAAGTGTTCAACTGTGTTAAACAATACCCCGTGTATGTATAGTTCAAGATCAAATCCTGGCACAGAATGAAGGTGATCTCACTTGCCTTAACAATATAAACCCATTTCATTGTACATTAAAACAATTTAAACCTATTTCATGGAAATGGCCACAATGAATTGTCCATGTGTTTCCATGACTCATGAGAAAGAGCTAGTGGTTGGAAACAGGATGTCGGGGACCTGCCATGGCAATAATATTGACCAACACCGACGGTGAGTTGTGGTCAGTGTTTTTTTCTTACATGTATAAAGGCTCCTGTAGTTCAATAAAACAAAAGTCGTCACTGATTTTTTCATTTCCTACCAAGTTTTTTTTTTTACTTCCCTTTCCATATAAGGCCCACATTTTGATTCAAAAGAAAATTTTAGGAATGAGGAAGCCAGCGTGAATCCGGGTGTCGCAATAGAACAAAATACATCATTTGTCGTGATACCTTGTCATGGATTGGCCAATAAGAACTGTGATGTCATTTGTAACCGATGAAAGTATAATTTTGGTTATAGATGAACAACGCCCTCGAAGTCCGTGTATAGTGTCGGATGATACCGATCATTGTCGTCGTGTCACATTTTAGAAGTATAGGAATTATATAGCAAAACGTACAGTTTCACAGCAAAAGATGTGCCAATCAAATAATCGTGCCACAGCACATAATCGTGGGAAAATTGGTCAAAGAACCTTTTTGTTTTTAAATTGATAATTTTTGCAATAATAGTCAGCTCGCGTATACTTTTTTTGGCATATAATCTCCCTTTATTGGTTATTTCTTTCAAGTATGTTGATAACATCATTGAAATAACCCACGGGTTTCATGCCCTGCTATTCTTGGATCAAAATGGCGTCCAAAATCAGTACCTCTCACAAAGCGCCATCTTGTGTCAGATATTGCCCAACCAATCTTCGTATGCCTATGCCTCTTTGAGTTTGTGTCAAATCTTTGATCCCATAGAACAATCGTTGCATTATCGTCTTTTCTCCACGCTTATACATTTATTTTGTTCTACAAGTTGTTCCCTCACGTTGCTCATACCCTTTTAGCCGTATAGAAATAACCTGAATTTTGAAAGGCGGGTGGAGTGAGAAATGTATGGTCGTCCCATTACGGGCTCTTTGCAGCGAGCATCCATCTCGGAGGATTTGGGCTATGAATAGGGCGGCGCGGCATTACGTCATCATCAGCCGAGCCAATGAAACCATCTTTTCATAAGCACGTGCGCTTTTATTGCCTGCTAGTTACCATTCAGCACTCCAGACTCAAGAAACGTTCAGTTTTATGAAAGTTGGTCGGAGAACAGAGATATTTATTCCTGAATGTCCACGCAAAAATAAATTATGTCGGCCTACTTGTAAAGTACCTTTTATTACGTGGCGTGGTCTAGCCGCCATCCTTTTGTATTAAGTTCGTAGATCCAATCAACGATCCATATCAATGGCTTTGCATATTTCTTTTTACAAATCGGATTCCTCAGTCAGCGGAGATACTTGTCACATTTTGCATATTGACTAAAGCACTGACTTCGTATGCGAAGTATGCGATGTGCACCTCAAACTTTGCATTAACAAAGAACCGGCCAATCAAAATGAATCGTTCGCAAATCCGATAATTTGCAAACGGAGGGCGTGGTCAAGGGCGGATCCAGAACACAATTTTTGGGGGGGCCAAAAAAAAATTTGGTCCCCCCAAAAAGTGGGTCTAAATAATTACGGCGTGGGGTTTGGGGCCCGCTAGGGCCCCGAAAATTTTTTGGATTCTAGATGCTCTGTGGTGCGATCTGAGGCAATTTCTGACCACTTTAACCAATATTTTTTGAGGAAAAGATGGTGGTGTACTCATTGCCTGCCTTTATTGCGATGTCACATTAAAAAAAAAATTGGTTTCGTTTTTTTGGGGGGGGGGGGGGGGCCATGGCCCCCTTTGGCCGCCCCCCTGGATCCGCCCTTGGGCGTGGTGCGGATGATTGTTCCAAACATTATGCCGAGAGACCACACCAAAAAAGGTGTAGCATTTCAGTGCAGACTCAGTTCTACTTGCCGTTTGTGTTGACCACCGGGACTCAAAGTTTCTCGCCAGTCTTTGTTTTTGTACTGGTTTCCCTCCCCAAAAAATGGACCAAAGGACAAAAATAGCCGATGAAGGCAAAGTCAGGTTTATGGGCCCCAAGAAATCCACGCTTCTTTTCGTATTGGGGCTTATTTTGGTGGTGGTTTTGCTCTTGGTATCGGCATGGTGTTTGGAATACTCCAAGTCCCCACTGAGTTTTAGGTCAGATTGTTCAAGCCCGCCTGTTTGTTCGAGATATTACAACTACTTCAAAAAAAAAACCCACCCGAATGTCTTTGTACTGCAACTGGTCAAATTGTGCAATTTTATGAATATGTGGTAGTTTTGGTTGCACCACCATGGACACTGACTTTTCGAGAAATTCATGCCCAAAGAAGACGACCCCTATTTTCCCCAAAGCGGAACGGTAGCCATCTTCGAAAAACAATCCCTCCACAACGTGGCAAAATAGCGCCACTTTCGAGCCCGGGCCAATTGCATCCAAAATACAGAATTGGAAGCCGCAAATCCCGGCCAGAGGTTTATTACCATATTTCTTCAATTCCCCAATGTTATGGCCTTCAGAACTCTCTAATATAGAATAGTTATGAGGGTATAACTTTTATTCATGAGCTCGGCGGATGGATTTAGGCCTATTTACCGGTGTGCACCCCTCAACTACTACATTGTAATACAGCTGAACACCCATTCCCACGCCCACCCGCCTTACCGAGAGTCCCGAACAGATTTTGATGCATGATTTTGCCAGGATTATTGACATGTCTTCCCGCAGCTTCTCCTGGGAAAATGGGGCCCCCGCCAGGGGCGGATCCAGAAATTTTCGCAGGGGGGGGGGGAGGGATCCGCGCCTTGGCCCGCCCCTCTGTCTAGAATATTCTTTCTACCTCGACCGAGAATTCGTCCCCTAGGACGGGCCTATAATGTCCCAAACAGGAAACGTTATTTTCAAGTCGGGGACAAAGACTTGTATTTCTTGCGACTGTATACAGACTTACTACCTCCATCGGCAGATGGCAAGTTGTTTTTGATCCGCGTGCCACTGTTTTAGTGATGATAGGAAAAGTGATAGCCTAGCTACTTCTGACACGTCGACGTACGTCCAATAACTTGAAGGCCCCACGCCTGGCCATTTCCACCAAAATTGGAAAGAAAATGAAAGATGACATGTTGATCATCATTTTTCTGTGCAGCTTAAATATCTGTGAGAGTTCTGAGTATTTTAAAAGGAATTTTGAAGTATGGGCATTTAGCAATAGTGTCTATGGGAATTTTAATGCAGGAGTTGCAACCCAATAGAGGGTTGTTTTCACCGCGGTAAACTCGTTTTCGAAGCTTCCAATGTTAATTGTTGACAAAATGCCTCGACGAAGAGCGCCACCTACTGTTCGAAAGTGTTCAAAATTACTTCCCACCAGGGTGACCGTAAGGGCATGCCCAAAGTCTGCTAAATGCACTTCAAAATCTGTCAGATTAATAAAAAAAAACCTGCCAAATTCCCCAGAATCACTCGAAAAACACTATAAACACTGAAAATCACATGCAAATGTTGTAGTATTGCCTTAATTAAGGTTTAATTTACAGTATTAACATTCTGTAGCCACATAAAGATGTTATGAGGTTGCATAAATTTCAGGCAAAATCCGGTTCCTAGTGAACCTCAGCAGCTAGACCAGGCAACCTGTCCCATTATGCAAGGGTTTGCTTGAATAGGTTGAAGCTTTTTTAAACAAATGTACCATTTTTTTTTCAAATTTGCTATATTTTTCTGTAAAATATGGAGAATTCTGCCAGAAATCTGCCAAAAATATCCATTCTGTCAAATTTTCTGTCAAACTCGTTTTTTACGAAAACTTATGTCAAATTTAGCCGAAATTCGGCTAAAACGGCCACCCTGCTACCCACTATGAACAAGCCCCCCCCCCCCCCATTAGTCAACCATGTGTCTGGTATCTGTATTCGTTATACATACTCGGATAATGAGTTTATTTGGTGCCAGACGTTTCGAAAAAAAGGCCGAACCGGAACTGGATGAAATCGTAAGGTAAAATTTCGTCGATTTGTACTTACTTTTCAAGATTAATTTTTTGGCACAATTGCAGAATACCCCGCCACTCAATCTATGTACCTCGTAGCTGGCTACGGAGTCGCGGTGGATTGCCCTCAATAAACCTTCTCAGCGCTACCTGTAATCCATTTGTAATCTGTAACTGCAGCGTCATGCTCCACTGCACTCCCACTCCGTATCCGATCCACGTAGCCGGCAACAGGGTGGTTGGTTTGGACCTCGAATTTTTTCAGAAACTCCGATTCCTTTTGTGTTGCTTCGTTCTCAAGCATTGTCAAGAGGACTCAGGGTAGCCCCATAAATGTGGCCAATTTACTGGACTACCTCCGTAAATACGAAGGTAGTCCAGTTATTGGCCACATTTATTTATGGGGCTAGCGACAGGGTACATGTAGTTGGTTTGGATTTACTGGACTACTAGGCCTATACCTCCGTAAATAAAGGCCGCACTTGGAACATGTAAAAAAAAACATGTAGAAAATTTGTCGAATTTTTATTTTCACATTTAGGCGTAGTTTGTAGTTTATTTTTGCTTTAGAAGCATACTTCTGGAAAGCAAGACAATGCACCAGATGAAAATTAAATCCAATAATACATCTGACATTATGTCATTTTCTTTATTCGCAGACGACACAAGTCTAATGTACAGTCATAATTATGTGGATACAGCTGTTAATATTCTTAATGGTGAACTTGTAAATATAAGCACTTGGCTGCTAGCAAACAAACTGTGTATTAATGTTCTTAAATTACAGTATATTGTATTTTGTCCCAGACAGAAGAAATACACACCAATGATTCCTTTAGTCATAAATGACATATAGCCTTGAAAAAGTAAACAGGACTACATTCCTAGGTATTATTATTGATAAAAATCTAACATGGAATAATCACGTTGATGACGTGGTCAGCAAAATATCTAAAACTATTATAATGAATCGTCGCAGATTTTTCTTACCCCAAAATATTTTAATAACTCTGTATAATTCACTTGTTCTGCCATACTTAAACTACATGTATTCCAATATCATCTGGAATGGGTCTTCATCCTTATGATAAACTTCTTATTTTACAAAAACGAGCTGTTCGAATCATTTCCAATGCTGGTTATCGAGATCTTACCACACCATTATTTGCCAATCTTAATCTTTATTGTCTCAATTTCGGTAAATTCATGTACAAATATATGAATAATTTGCTCTCTTTGTGTTCCAGCTCATGTTTTACTTTAACTTCAAATGTTCATTGTTATAAAACCAGGAGTATTGCGAAGAAAAATCTTCAGGTTGGCTTCAATAGAACAACACTGTTCAAAAATGGAATAGTTCAACGTGGCACGAGTTTCTGGAACAGTCTAAGCATCCCTCTTCAAACGTCTTTAACTCAATCTACATAAAAATTTAAAACACAAATTCATACATATTATTCATAGTCTATTTTAAACCGACAATAGCTTAATGACACTCCTGTTTGTCTGTTTGTCTGTCATTGTCCTTTATTCGTACTTAATTGTCCGTTAGTCTGTAAGTGTCTGTCAAGTCTGTAAGTGTCCAACAGGTCAGGGAACAAAAGGGATTGCTTCACCCTATCCCCGTGTTGTTAGTGGATTATGTATATACATGTACTTTCATTATGTTAATAATGGTGTTGTGTAAAATTACTTCATATTATATTTTGTATGCTTAAATGTTAACATAACGATTTAATGTTTGTAGTGTCATAACAACGTTGAAATAAATGTTCAGCATAATAAACTGTCTAGGTAATTTGAAAACGGGTTATTAAGGAAATAGCACGGAAAGTACCAAGAGCGGCCCTTTTTTAGCAGTAACAGTTAGCGAACGTTATGGGCGTTCCGATTAAAATTTGGGAACAATTGTTTTTAGCACCTCGGACCTTTTTTGAAAAATCAGACTTTTTTTCTCACCAATTTTTCCCCTCATAGCGAACATAGATTTTCGGCCGAACAAAAATTATTGAGATTACCGCTGTCTTAATTCTCAGCTTGGCATGTTATTCATCAGACCACACATTAGCTTGGTGCGCCGGTGTGGGATGGCAATTTAATGTCTTAAGAAAAGTCTGCATTTTGTTGCTGAAGTCTTAAGAAGCTTAAATTAAAAAGGTCATACCAACTGGACTTTCATATTGTGAGCCATGCACACACCAGCACATGTAAAAACCATTGCATTATGGCGGCCGTGTTTAAAAGATACACCATAAGCAGTCTGCTCGATTTGTGCATCTCTACTGACGAGGGAGCGCATTGTATTTTAACGTCACTCATATTTGTCTGATAATACTTTTTGACCATACAGGAACCTTTTGGTGCTCTCAGCTGTCTTCCTATCTTGAAAGCGAGTGCCATCTACAACAAAACCAACAAGCAGCACTGCCAACAAGAACGAGCTTCATCCAGAAGCAACAGAGTAAAGACCACATAAGATATCAGCGTGTCCTCACTCATGAGAGTGTGTTCATTTGTGACATTTGTGGCAGAGGCTTCTCACTGAAAGGCACCCTATCAATGCATCAGCTGATCGACACAAAGGCGAAACATTTGTGATGTTCTGATCCAGTGCTGCTTGCGGAAATGTCACCGTCAACAACAGAGAGTCCACACTAATGACAATTTGTGATATCTGTGGAAAAGGCGTCTCTTGAAGTTACAACCTATGAAAACATACGATGGTCCACACTAACGAGACACCATTTGTTTGTGACATTTGCAGCAAATGCTTCTTAGGGCAAAGTAAAGGTCGACAACATCAGACCCTGATCCACACTAATGAGATATCATTTGTTTGTGACATTTGCGGTGAAGGTTTCTTGCGTAACGGCCCCCTACAAAAAAAAAAAAAAAAATAGGAAGATCCATTGTGACAAATGGTTCTCCTGGAAATGTCGCCTTCAACATCATCGTTTCTCATGTAAAAGCCACCTAAAAAACACAACAAAATATCAATGAACGCCCATTTGTATGTGACATTTGCGGGAAAGAATTCTCACTAGAAAAGCACCTTCAATAACACCACAGGGTCCACACTATAGAGAAACCATTTGTGTGTGACATTTGTGGCAAATGCTTCGCCTGGAAATGTAACCTTCAAGTGCATTTGTTTGCAACACTTGTGGCAAAGACTTCTCTCAAGAGTAGCACCCTAAAAATGCATCATATGGTCCACACTAATGAGAAACCATTTGTTTGTGACACTTGCGGCAAAGGCTACTCTCAAAGTAACACCCTAAAAATACACTTGAGGGTCCACACTAATGAGAAACCATTTGTTTGTGACATTTGTAGCAAAGGCTTCTCTCGAAGAAGCAGCCTAAAAATACATCAGAGAGTACACACTAATGAAAAACCATTTGTTTGTGACACATGTGGCAAAGGCTTCTCTCAGAGTCACAACCTAAAAATACACCAGAGAGTCCACACTAATGAAAAACCATTTGTTTGTTACTCTTGTGGCAAAGGCTTTTCTCACAGTGGCACCCTAAAAATACACCAGAGGGTCCACACTAATGAAAAACCATTTGTTTGTGACGTTTGTAGCAAAGGCTTCTCTCGAAGAAACAGCCTAAAAATACACCAAAGGGTCCACACTAATGAAAAACCATTTGTTTGTGACACTTGCGGCAAAGGCTTCTCTCACAGTGGCACCCTAAAATTACACCAGAGGGTCCACACTAATGAAAAACCATTTGTTTGTGACGTTTGTAGCAAAGGCTTCTCTCGAAGAAGCAGCCTAAAAATACACCAAAGGGTCCACACTAATGAAAAACCATTTGTTTGTGACACTTGCGGCAAAGGCTTCTCTTACAATGGCACCCTAAAATTACACCAGAGGGTCCACACTAATGAAAAACCATTTGTTTGTGACGTTTGTAGCAAAGGCTTCTCTCGAAGAAGCAGCCTAAAAATACACCAAAGGGTCCACACTAATGAAAAACCATTTGTTTGTGACACTTGCGGCAAAGGCTTCTCTCACAGTGGCACCCTAAAATTACATCAGAGGGTCCACAGCAATGAAAAACCATTTGTTTGTGACATTTGTGGCAAAGGCTTCTCTCGAAGAAGCAGCCTAAAAATACACCAATGGGTCCACACTAATGAAAAACCATTTGTTTGTAACTCTTACGGCAAAGGCTTTTCTCACAGTGGCCCCCTAAAATTACATCAGAGGGTCCACACCAATGAAAAATCATTTGTTTGTGACACTTGTGGCAAATGCTTCTCGCGAAACCATAACCTGAAAATACATGAGAGGATCCACACTAACGAAAACCATTTTTTGTGACATTTGCGGCAAAGTCTTCTCATGGAAATACCATTTATTTGCAATATTTGAGACAAAGCCTTTGCGCAAAAGAGCAACCTACAAAGACTTCAACTGATCCACACTACTAAACTCCATTTGTTTGTGACGTTTGTGGCAAATGCTTCTCTCAAAGTAGCAACCTACGAAAACATAGGATGGTCCACACGAATGAGCAACCTTTTGCGGACATTTGTTGCCAATGCTTCTCTCATAGTGGCAATATACAAACATGGTCCACATTAACGGGAAACTATTTGCTCGTGCTGTTCGCGGCGAAGGCTTCTGACGTAGTGCGGACCTACGTGTACAACAACATCAGTGGGTGCACACTTATGAGAAGCCATTTGTTTGTGACATTTGTGGTCAATGCTTCTGCTGGAAAAAAAAGTCTTCAGCAACATCGGAGAGTCCACTCCAGTGAGAAGCCGTTTCAGTGACATTATAGCAGATGCTTATTCTATCAGTGGTAGTTTTGGTTGCACCACCTAGGGCACTAGCCAGGCGCAGGGTCTGAGCAGATGTACGTCGACGTGTCAGAAGTAGCTAGGCTATCACTTTTCCTATCACTAGAATAGTGGCAAGCAGATAAAAACAAAACACTTGCCATCCGCCGAGATGTGGATTCATTTATTATGGAGGGAGTAAGTCTGTATTATACAGACAAAAGAAAAACAAGTCTGAGTTCCAGACTTGAAAATAACGTTTCCTGTTTGGGACATTATAGGCCTGTCCTGGGGACGAATTGTCAGTTGAGGTAGAAAGAATATTCTAGACAGAGGGGCCGGGCCCCATTTTCCCAAGGAGAAGCTGCGGGAAGACATGTCAATAATCCTGGCAAAATCATGCATCAAATTCTGTCTTGGAGTACCAACAAAATATTCGGTGGGACTCTAGGTAGAGGGGTTGTGCGTTTGGGAATGGGTGTTCACCTTCATTACAATGTAGTAGTTGAGGGGTGCACGCCGGTAAATAGGTCTAAATCTATCCGCCAAGCTCATGAATAAAAGTTATACCCTCAAAATATTCTATATTAGAGTGTTCTGAGAGCCATAACATCGGGAATTGAAGAGATATGGCAATGAACCCCTGGCCCGGATTTGGGGATTCCAATTCTGAGCATTTTGGATGCAATTGGGCTCGAAAGTGGCGCTATTTTGACATGTTATGGAGGGATTGTTTTTCCAAGATGGCTACCGTTCCACTTTGGGGAAAATGGGGGTCGTCTTCTTTGGGCAAAAATTCCTCGAAAAGTCAATGGTCAACCCACCAAAATTGAAAAGAAAATGAAAGATGACACATTGATCATCATTTTTCTGTGCAGCTTAAATATCTGTGAGAGTTCTGAGTATTTTAAAAAGAATTTTGAAGTATGGGCATTTAGCAATAGTGTCTATGGGAATTTTAATGCAGGAGTGCAACCCTAGAGGGTTGTTTTCACCGCGGTAAACTCGCCTTCGATGCTTCCAATGTTGTTGACAAAATGCCTCGACGAAGAGCGCCACCTACTGTTCGAAAGTGTTCAAAATTACTTCCCACAAGGGAAACCGTAAGGTTATGCCCAAATTCTGCTAAATGCACTTCAAAATCTGTCAGATTAATCAAAAATCTGCCAAGTTCCCCAGAATCTCTCGAAAAACACTATAAACACTTAAAATCACATGGAGATGTTGTAGTATTGCCTTAATTTAGGTTTAATTTACATTATAAACAATCTGTAGTCACATAAAGATGTTATGAGGTTGCGTAAATTTCATGCAAAATCCGGTTCCTAGTGAACCTCACTCAGCAGCTAGACCAGGCAACCTGTCCCATTATGCAAGGGTTTGCTTGAATAGATTGAAGCTTTTTTAAACAATGTACCATTTGTTTTTCAAATTTGCTATATTTTTCTGTAAAATATGGAGAATTCTGCCAGAAATCTGCCAAAAATATCCATTCTGTCAAATTTTCTGTCAAACTCGTGTTTTTACGTAAATTCTGTCAAATTTAGCCGAAATTCGGCTAATACGGTCACCCTGCTACCCACTATGAACAAGCCCCCCCCCCCCCCATTAGTCAACCATGTGTCTGGTATCTGTATTCGTTGTACATATTCGGATGATGAGTTTATTTGGTGCCAGACGTTTCGCAAAAAAAGGCTGGACCGGAACTGGATGAAATCGTAAGGTAAAATTTCGTCGATTTGTACTTACTTTTCAAGATAATTTTTTTGGCACAATTGCAGAATACCCCGCCACTCAATCTATGTACCTCGTAGCTGGCTACGGAGTCGCGGTGGATTGCCCTCAATAAACCTTCTCAGCGCTACCTGTAATCCATGTGTAATCTGTAACTGCAGCGTCATGCTCCACTGCACTCCCACTCCGTATCCGATCCGCGTAGCCGGCAACATGGTTGTTGGTTTGGACCTCGAATTTTTTTCAGAAACTCCCATTCCTTTTGAGTTGCTTCGTTCTCAAGCATTGTCAAGGGGACTCAGGGTAGCCCCATAAATGTGGCCAATTTACTGGACCACCTCCGTAAATACGAAGGTAGTCCAGTTAATTGGCCACATTTATTTATGGGGCTAGCGACAGGGTAGGAACATGTATTGTTTGGATTTACTGGACTACTATACCTCAGTAAATAAAGGCCGCACTTAGACGTAGTTTGTAGTTTATTTTTGCTTTAGAATCATACTTCTGGAAAGCAAGACAATGCACGTCCAGATGAAAATTAAACCCAATAATACATCTGACATTATGTCATTTTCTTTATTTGCAGACGACACAAGTCTAATGTACAGTCATAATTATGTGGATACAGCTGTTAATATTCTTAATGGTGAACTTGTAAGTATAAGCACTTGGCTTTTAGCAAACAAACTGTGTATTAATGTTCTTAAATCACAGTTTATTGTATTTTGTACCAGACAGAAGAAATACGCTCCAATGATTCCTTTAGTCATAAATGACATATAGCCTTGAAAAAGTAAACAGGACTACATTCCTAGGTATTATTATTGATAAAAATCTAACATGGAATAACTATGTTGATGACGTGGTCAGCTAAATATCTAAAACTATTATAATGAATCGTCGCAGATTTTTCTTACCCCAAAATATTTTAATAACTGTATATTTCACTTGTTCTGCCATACTTAAACTACATGTATTCCAATATCATATGGAGTGGGTCTTCATCGTGTGTTAAACTTCTTATTTTACAAAAACGAGCTGTTCGAATCATTTCCAATGCTGGTTATCGAGATCTTACCACACCATTATTTGCCAATCTTAATCTTTATTGTCTCAATTTCGGTAAATTCATGTACAAATATATGAATAATTTGCTCCCTTTGTGTTCCAGCTCATGTTTTACCGGCTTTAACTTCAAATGTTCATTGTTATAAAACCAGGAGTATTGCGAAGAAAAATTCTTCATGTTGGCTTCAATAGAACGACACTGTTCAAAAATGGAATAGTTCAACGTGGCACGAGTTTCTGGAACAGTCTATAAGCTTCCCTCTTCAAACGTCTTTAACTCAATCTACATTTATCAAAAAACTAAAAACAAAAAATTCATACATATTATTCGTAGTCTATTTTAAACTGACAATAGCTTAATGACACTCCTGTTTGTCTGTTTGTCTGTCACTGTCCTTAGTTCGTACTTAATTGTCCGTTATTCTGTTAGTGTCTGTCAGTCTGTAAGTGTCCAACAGGTCAGGGAACAAAAGCGATTGCTTCACCCTATCCCCGTGTTGTTAGTGGATTATGTACTTTCATTTTGTTCATAATGGTGTTGTGTAAAATTACTTCGTATTATATTTTGTATGCTTAAATGTTAACATAACGATTTAATGTTTGTAGTGTCATAACAACGTTGAAATAAATGTTTAGCATAATAAACTGTCTAGGTAATTTGAAAACGGGTTATTAAGGAAATAGCACGGAAAGTACCAGGGGTGGCCCTTTTTTAGCAGTAAAAGTTAGCGAACGTTATTGGCGTTCCGATTAAAATTTGGGAACAATTGTTTTTAGCACCTCGGACCTTTTTTGAAAAATCAGATTTTTGTTCTCACCAATTTTTTCCCCTCATAGCGAACATAAATTTTCGGCCGAACAAACATGATTGGGATTACCGCTGTCGTAATTCTCATCTTGGCATGTTATTCATCAGACCACACATTAGCTTGGTGCGCCGGTGTGGGATGGCAATTTAATGTCTTAAGAAAAGTCTGCATTTGGTTGCTGAAGTCTTAAGAAGCTTAATTAAAAAGGTCATGCCAGCTGGACTTTCATATTGTGAGCCATGCACACACCAGCACATGTAAAAACCATTGCATTATGGCGGCCGTGTTTAAAAGATGCACCATAAGCAGTCTGCTCGATTTGTGCATCTCTACTGACGAGGGAGCGCATTGTATTTTAACGTCACTCATATTTGTCTGATAATACTTTTTGACCATACAGGCTGTCTTCCTATCTTGAAAGCGAGTGCCATCTACAACAAAACCAACAAGCAGCACAGCCAACAAGAACGAGCTTCATCCAGAAGCAACAGAGTAAAGACCACATAAGATATCAGCGGGTCCTCACTCATGAGAGTGTGTTCATTTGTGACATTTGTGGCAGAGGCTTCTCACTGAAAGGCACCCTATCAATGCATCAGCTGATCGACACAAAAGCGAAACATTTGTGATGTTCTGATCCAGTGCTGCTTGCGGAAATGTCACCGTCAACATCAGAGAGTCCACACTAATGACAATTTCCATTTGTGGAAAAGGCGTCTCTGGAAGTTACAACCTATGAAAACATATGATGGTCCACACTAACGAGACACCATTTGTTTGTGACATTTGCAGCAAATGCTTCTTAGGGCACAGTAAAGTTCGACAACATCAGACCCTGATCCACACTAATGAGATATCATTTGTTTGTGACATTTTCGGTGAAGGTTTCTTGCTTAACGGCCACCTACAAAAAAAAAAAATAGGAAGATCCATTGTGACAAATGCTTCTCCTGGAAATGTCGCCTTCAATATCATTGTTTCTCATGTAAAAGCCACCTAAAAAACACAACAAAATATCAATGAACGCCCATTTGTATGTGACATTTGCGGGAAAGAATTCTCAAGAGAAAAGCACCTTCAATAACACCACAGGGTCCACACTAAGAGAAACCATTTGTGTGTGACATTTGTGGCAAATGCTTCGCCTGGAAATGTAACCTTCAAGTGCATTTTTTCACAACAATTGTGGCTAAGACTTCTCTCAAGAGTAGCACCCTAAAAATGCATCATATGGTCCACACTAATGAGAAACGATTTGTTTGTGACACTTGCGGCAAAGGCTTCTCTCACAGTAGCCACCAAAAAATACATCAGAGGGTCCACACCAATGAAAAACCATTTGTTTGTGACATTTGTGGCAAAGGCTTCTCGTTAAACGGCAACCTACAAATACATCAAAGGGTCCACACTAATGAAAAACCATTTGTTTGTGACACTTGCGGCAAAGGCTTCTCTCACAGTAGCAACCTAAAATTACATCAGAGGGTCCACACCAATGAAAAACCATTTGTTTGTGACATTTGTGGCAAAGCCTTCTCTCAAAAAAGCAGCCTAAATACACACCAAAGGGTCCACACTAATGAAAAACCATTTGTTTGTGACACTTGTGGCAAAGGCTTCTCTCACAGTAGCTACCTAAAATTACATCAGGGGGTCCACACCAATGAAAAACCATTTGTTTGTGACATTTGTGGCAAAGGCTTCTCTCGAAGAAGCAGCCTAAAAAAACACCAAAGGTTCAACACTAATGAAAAACCATTTGTTTGTGACACTTGCGGCATAGGCTTCTCTCACAGTAGCAACCTAAAAGTACATCAGAGGGTCCACACCAATGAAAAACCATTTGTTTGTGACATTTGTGGCAAAGCCTTCTCTCGAAGAAGCAGCCTAAAAATACATCAGAGAGTACACACTAATGAAAAACCATTTGTTTGTGACACATGTGGCAAAGGCTTCTCTCAGAGTCACAGCCTAAAAATACACCAAAGGGTCCACACTAATGAAAAACCATTTGTTTGTGACACTTGCGGCAAAGGCTTCTCTCACAGTAGCACCCTAACATTTCATCAAAGGGTCCACACCAATGAAAAACCATTTGTTTGTGACATTTGTGGCAAAGCCTTCTCTCGAAGAAGCAGCCTAAAATTACACCAGAGGGTCCACACTAATGAAAAACCATTTGTTTGCGACACTTGCGGCATAGGCTTTTCGGAAAACAGGGTGCTGAAAGTACATCAGAGGGTCCACACTAATGAGAAACCATTTGTTTGTGACACCTGTGGCACTGGCTTCTTGCTAAACAGCAACCTTAAAATACATCAGAGGGTCCACACTAATGAGAAACCATTTGTTTGTGACACTTGTGGCAAGTGCTTCTCGCGAAACCACAGCCTAAAAATACATGAGAGGGTCCACACTAACAAAAAACCATTTGTTTTGACATTTGCGGCAATGTCTTCTCATGGAAATATTGTCTTCGACAACACCAGAGGGTCCACACTAATGAGAAACCATTTATTTGTGACACTTGCGGCAAAGGCTTCTCTCGCAGTTACACCCTAAAATTACATCAGAGGGTCCACACCAATGAAAAAAAATTGTTTGTGACATTTGTGGCAGAGGCTTCTCTCAAACAAGCACCCTAAAAATACATCAGAGGGTCCACACTAATAAAAACCATTTGTTTGTGACACTTGTGGCAAAGGCTTCTCGCGAAACCACACTCTGAAAATACATCAGAGGGTCCACACTAATGAAAAACCATTTGTTTGTGACATTTGCTGCAAAGGCTTCTCTCAAAGTAGCACCCTAAAAATACATCAGCGGGTCCACACTAACGAAAAACTTTTTGTTTGTGACATTTGCGGCAAAGGCTTCTCATGGAAATATTGTCTTCGACAACACCAGAGGGTTCACACTAATGAGAAACCATTTATTTGCGATATTTGAAGACAAGGGTCTTCGATCACAATCCAATCTGGTGGTACCTCGATCCTCCAGAAAGTTTGGAGACCGTGCATTCTCCATCGCTGGTCCCCGTAGCTGGAACTCTCTCCCCATTACTATCCGGAACGCTTCATCTGTAGAGCAGTTTAAGGGACTCTTAAAAACACATCTGTTCAATTGTACCTTCTAATTTGTATTTGATTCTGTTGTAAGATTTGTATATATATGCTCTTTTTTTGGATAATCACATTTTGGTTTTGGTTGCATTCTCCCCTAGCGCTTTAGGCGCTTTATAAATACGGTTATTATTATTATTATTATTACTATTATTATTAAAGCCTTTGCGCAAAAGAGCAACCTAAAAAGACTTCAACGGATCCACACTGCTAAATTCCATTTGTTTGTGACATTTGTGGCAAATGCTTCTCTCAAAGTAGCAACCTACGAAAACATAGGATGGTCCACACGAATGAGCAACCTTTTGCGGACATTTGTGGCCAATGCTTCTCCCAAAGTGGCAATATACAAATATGGTCCACATTAAGGGGAAACTATTTTTGTAATAATGTATCATTCCGAAAATCAACGAAATAAAAATAACTTGCTAGAGCATGTCTTCCTCTATCAGAATCTACTAAAAATCAGTTGGGGTCTTCAAAATTTACAACTTTATGACTATTTTTGTACAGTTGGTAGGTTACAAATGAGTCAATTTATAGACTTTACATAAGAAATACACCAACACAACTTACTATTCTGTTTCTAAGGTTTCTAAAATATATCTTGGTTTGTGAATTTCTCATTCTGAGGGCTGATGAGGTCTAACCAGACTCATAGTGTAAATTATCAGCAGTGGCGCACCCAGGATTTGGCTTTTGGTGGGGGGGGCGTCATAAAAATTTTTTTGTTCAAATTTCTGTAAAAGATTGGACCAACAAAACTAGCCTAAAATCAAACAAACAAATTGACAATGTTGGGGGTGGGTTCAAGCCCCCCCCCCCCTCCTGGGTGCCACTGATAATTAGTTATCCCACGAGCGCGCTTGGAATATGAAATAATGCAATGCTGCCGTGACCCATATGCCACTCGATGCACTACATAATTCCGTGTTTTACGAGCGCAAGTGGGATTTATAACCAATTTATCTTCAAGCAAACTTGATATCAAATGCGTACACGCAGTGAAGATGTACGTGCATACATGTAGTGTATTGGTCCGTTCTACAGGAAATAACACAACATATGTACACGTACATTTTTAATATCTGGGGTGCAATATAGCTGTGCAATATTATATAAAATCACACAGTTGTTGCTATAGATGGACTAATCAGGGTCTAGGATTCAAGTTTGCTTGAAGATAATACTTAATATTACAATCAAAGTTACCTTTACTCATTCATCACTGTGCTTCTTGAACTTTAATGACTCTCACAGACTTGGCATTTTGTTCCTTTGAGATGAATTTCACCTGGACGTGAGTCCGCTGTACTGGGTGAAGGCCTGGTTACTGTTAGTGGTTAGCACACTTCCAAGTCCAGATATTCTGATTAAACAGTTTCTTTGGAATCAGAAGGTAGAATTTTGTTTTTCCTGGCTTTGTACTTTATACATAAAAATCTAGATAAATTAATAACAGAATAGTAAGTTGTGTTGGTGTATTTCTTATGTAAAGTCTATAAATTGACTCATTTGTAACCTACCAACTGTACAAAAATAGTCATAAAGTTGTAAATTTTGAAGACCCCAACTGATTTTTAGTAGATTCTGATAGAGGAAGACATGCTCTAGCAAGTTATTTTTATTTCGTTGATTTTCGGAATGATACATTATTACAAAAATTGGGTCAAAGGTCACAATAGCACATTAAAGGTCATGTGACCTACTTTTCACAAAATTTAATTTTGACAAAAGAAGTGATTTGAGCATGCAATCCTCATTATTTTAATACCAAATTCACATATATTCGATGAAAATTGCAATAGTTTTGACATATTTATACCAAAAGAGTGGTATTTTACTCTAAAAATGCCATTTTTTTTGTGGCTTCTGCCCTGACCACATGGTAGGTCGGATCGGGCTAAAAATTGGTGTGCATTCATTGCTCATTAGGACCTACAAGCACAGCAATTTTTATTAAAATCGGAAGACATGAGGTAAAAAAGTGCGTTGGTCTGACATGGAATGACCCATATACAACAACATCAGTGGGTGCACACTTATGAGAAACCATTTGTTTGTGACATTTGTGGTCAATGCTTCTGCTGGAAAAAAGTCTTCAGCAACATCAGAGAGTCCACTCCAGTGAGAAGCCGTTTCAGTGACATTATAGCAGATGCTTATTCTATCAGTGTAGTGACCTACATAAGAAAAGGTACAGAATAGGTTCAGAATAAAACATAACTACATTGTAATTATATTTTCAGGAAGTATTGTACAATTGTGGCAAATCCTTGAATATCACAGAGTACTAGTTTATAAACAATGTTTAAAAAAAACCTTTCTGCTTGACATTTCATGGATGACAAACAAACCAGAACTGTTTGTGTCATATTTGTGGCATGGCCCCCGTTTGCCCTCCCCCCCCCCCCCGGATCCGCCGGGCCCTGTATTGTACCTGTGTCCCCATCGAAAAAAAACGAGTTTCCTTGTATTGCGACTGGTCAAATGTAATTTTGTGAATATGTGGTAGTTTTGGTTGCACCACCAAGGGCACTAGCCAGGCGCAGGGTCTGAGCAGATGTACGTCGACGTGTCAGAAGTAGCTAGGCTATCACTTTTCCTATCACTAGAATAGTGCCAAGCAGATAAAAACAAAACACTTGCCAACCGCCGAGCGCGAGATGTGGATTAATTTATGATGGAGGTGATTATTAAGTACGTATTATACAGACGAAAAAAAAAAAACAAGTCTGAGTTCCAGATAGAAAATAACGTTTCCTGTTTGGGACATTTTTGGACTGTCATGGGGACTTATTTTCAGTTGAGGTAGAAAGAATATTCGAGAGAGGGGTCGGGGCCCCATTTTCCCAGGAGAAGCTGCGGGAAGACATGTCAATAATCCTGTCAAAATCATGCATCAAAATCTGTCTTGGAGTACCAACAAAATATTCGGTGGGACTCTCGGTAGAGGGGGTGTGCGTTTTGGGAATGGGTGTTTACGTCACCTTTATTACAATAATTCAGAGTTGTTTTCACCGCAGTCTTCGAAGCTTCCGACGTTGTTGACGAAATGCTTCAACAAAGAGCGCCACCTATTGTTCGATAGTGTCCAAAATAATGGATAAATTGCCTACGCCGGCCAAAGCACGATTTGCATGCCCTCAAAATTTGAGCATGCTGTGGGCCAATGAACTATAGAGGGTTTGTAAAAAAAAAAAAATATGGGTGGAAACCGTGCACAGGACTTTGAGCTTGTAGTTACGTTCAATCTTGATGAAATTCGGGCCCTAAAAGCGCTCTATTTTGCAATGGAGTGTAGGCATCGTTTTTCAAAATGCATAATGGCGATGGGGCTTCAGGACTATTTTAAGAGGTGATCATCTTTGGTTGGAAATATCTCCTAAAAGTCATCAGTTGAACCCCCCCCCCCCCCCCCCCCCGTAAATTGACAAGAAAATGAAAGCTGATGTTTGGTGTGTGTCTCAAACACCTTGGAGATCGAGTTGTGAGTATTTTTCCGAATTTCTGAAGTGGGAGCATTTATCATTGGGGTCAATGGAAGTTTATTTACTGGTCTGCATGCAACCACCCCTAAAACGATTCTTAATCCCAGGGCCCAGCTCCAATTTCACGGCGCTACTAAGCACAACAATTTGCTTAGCACAAAAAAGACTGGCTTATAAAAGCAGGTTACCAGATGAATCTGCCAAAGATTACTGACGAAAATATGCTGTGCGCAGATCCAGAAGATTTTATTGTCTTGTACAACTTCTGACAGTTTTGGTAGTCGTACACTTGTCAGGCTCAGGTATAGGCACAGATTGACTACAATAAATAAAATGGAAAATAAAATGTATGTGTTACAAGAAATAATCCCGAGTTTGTGTAACCTAATTAACAGAATCAGCTGACTGAATTACATATCACCTACATGTACATGTACTCTAAATACTTGCACACAAATGTCCAAACTAAAGGCTAAATACACGTACACATGTGTGTAGGCCCCTACAATGTACAAGGACAGATGAGTTTATCGGCCATGACCTAAATGCAAGAAGGGTTTATGTACACCCTGTATGATACTTGTACATGTGCTTAATAACAAGATCCAAAATAACATGCGTGGAAAATACATGTACATTTGTACAACTTTTAGGCTTACAAGATATCACTAAATCTCACATTATTACTGACTCATTGATATAAATTATTTAAGAGTAACCAACCGTTTAATAAACCTTGGCCAGTTAATGCTTTGGGCGAAGAATTCCACAGGTTGCAAATTCTGTCGTCATTGACATGATTGAGCTGAAGCCATGTTGCTTTTTGCTTAGCTCCCGTATTCCCGCAACAGCGCCCTCACTTGGCAAAACAAAAATAAGAAATCTATCTGAGTTTGGCCGCTACATACCGGCCCTCTAATTGGTTATTAATCAATAAACAATTACATAATACCAATAAACAAGGTCAAACTTTACTATTATCTTTAAACTAACACTTGAAATCTTGGTGGATACAACGCATAACAATATGTCTGTAAATACTGACAACTACTCAACACTGCCTTCAACTAGAAGACAAAGCTTTGTTACAGGGCGAACTAAAGTAGAAGTTTTTGTCTTCAACTTGACACTTCTAACAAATCCGTTCTTGTCCTTGACAACTTCAAGTACTCTGCCAAGCGCCCATGAGTTTCTTGGCGAAGAGTCAACCACCAACACAATGTCTCCCACAGTCACATTCCGCTTGGGGTGGGTCCATTTTTGCCTTTCTTGAAGCATAGGCAGGTACTCCTTCGACCATCTGTTCCAAAAGAGGTCTGCGAAATACTGAACTTGTCGCCACTGCTTAACAGGATATTTATCATGCTTGTCAAACAACCCAGGAGGCAGACTCTCGCCCGACCGTTGAAGAAGCAGATGATTCGGAGTCAGGACATCTAGGTCGTTGGGACTGTTAGGGCATTCGGTAAGTGGTCGTCCATTCATGATAGCTTCTACCTCACACAACAAAGTTTGGAGAGCTTCATCACTCAGATGAACATGCTGTTCTCGCATCAGAGAGTAGAGGATCTTCCTGACGCTTCTAATCAAACGCTCCCATATTCCTCCAAAATGTGATCCTGCTGGAGGATTAAATTGCCAGGATATGCCCTTCTGTAGCAAGTTGTCATGGATTTTCTGTTGGTTCCAGGTTCTCATCTGCTCACGCATCTCACGTTCTGCGCCAACCAAATTGGTTCCATTGTCAGAGAGAATGCTCTTTACTGATCCACGACGGGCACTGAATCTGCGGATTGCATTGATGCATGAATCCGTGTCAAGTGAATGCGCTAACTCCAAGTGGACAGCTCGCGAAGTCAAACAAGTGAATATGACCCCGTACCTCTTCACCATACTTCTACCACGTTTCACCTCAAAGGGACCAAAATAATCCATTCCAACCTTGCTGAATGGAGGTTCATTCAACGCAAGTCGCTCTCGTGGCAGGCTGGCCATTTTCTGCTGCTCAGCCGGGGCTTGGTATCTCCTGCAAGTGACACACCTCGAGACGATACCCTTGATGATAGAAGGTGCTCCAATTATCCAGTAATGTCGTCGAAGCTCTGCTAGGATGGAATTTTTGCCCAAGTGTCCAACTGACTTGTGTATATGCTGAAGAATAAGCCTGGAGACAGGTGAGTCTCTTGGCATCAGTACCTGGTGCCTGGACTCAAAGTCGAGATCTGCTCTACCAATCCGACCACCAACACGTAGAAGTCCATCTACCAGCTTAGGATCAAGCTTTCTCAATGAAGAAGACTTCTTGACTACCGAGGATGGTTTTCCCTCCGTCTCGTTGAGCAATTTGATTTCGTCCTTCCAATGTTTCTGCTGGACATGGTACACTAAAACCCTCTCAGCAGCCTCAAGGTTCTCTGTGGTAAGTCGAGTATGGTTAAGACTTTCTCTGTCACCTGATGAAAGAGTTTGCTTAACTCTGCTCTGCTCTGATTCGAGCTTCTGTGAACGGTGCAACGCATTGGGTTCTTGCTGTTCTAACTCTTGCTGTGCTGGCTCCTGTTTCAACCTCTCGCTTGCAGCTACTCTATCTTGGAGGCGCTTCATCACAACCAATATCCAAGCAACTGCCCGTTTCAGCCTGGTCCAATCTGAATAGTGCTCCAGAAGTCTGTCAACCGGACTGATAGGTGTCTCTGCTGTCATCAGCACAGTCTTCTTCACCTCAGCATCATTATCTGGTAGCTTGGTAAGATCGGCATCTTGCTGAGGCCATTCTGTTTCTGGCTGAGACAGGAAGCCTGGACCCTCAAACCACATGGAGCACTGAAGAAACCTTTTCACTGACTGACCACGTGTTGTGCAATCAGCAGGGTTGACTTTGGTATTCACATACTTCCACTGCTGCAAGCAAGAGGCATCTCTGATTATTGCAATGCGATTTGCAACAAAGGTCTGGAAGCGACAACTCTCGTTTGCGAGGTACCGCAATACCGTCATACTGTCTGTCCAGTAGTAGGTGCCATGTATGTCGCAGTCCAGCTCTTGAGTAAGCACTTTGCCAAGTCTAACTGCGATGGTTGCTGCTGTCAACTCCATACGCGGGATAGTCATCTTCTTTAAAGGTGCAACCCTTGCTTTGCCTGTAACAAGCGAACAGCTGATGCGCCCAGATTCATCACAAAGCCGGAGATAGGCAGCCACACCATACCCTACGTCACTAGCATCTGCAAAGATGTGAAGCTGACAGCTTACAACCTGCCCAAACCCTGAAGGCTTGTAGCATCTCCTGATCCTAAGCTGATCCAGGTCTTTCACCTCACTGAGCCACTGATTCCAGATTCTAAGATCTTCTCCCTGGATCTCTTCATCCCATCCTATGTCTCGTCGACAAAGACTCTGAAGGAGAATTTTGGCCTTCAACACGAAAGGAGCTGCGATACCCAGAGGATCATAAACTGAACTTGTGATAGAAAGTATTCCTCGTCGTGTTGCAGGTTGCTTTGGCAAGTTGACTTTGAACCCCAAACTGTCTGATTCCACAAACCAATAAACCCCCAGAGCTCGCTCATTGGGAAGGTTCTGATTCTCCATCGACAACTCTCTGATGTCTTTTGCCCGTTCCTCTATTGGCACCGTCTGTAGAACATGATGGCTATTTGACACCCACTTTGTCAGATGAAAGCCGCCTTGTTTGCACAGGGCTGTGGTACTCTGGATCAAATGAGCAGCTTCTTGTTCTGTACCAACCGAGACAAGACAGTCGTCTACATAGAAACTTCTCTTCACTATGTCACATGAAGCCTCTCCGTAGTCACCAACATTATCCTCAACAGTTTGCTTAAGAGCAAAGCTTGAGCAACTCGGTGACGACACTGCTCCGAATGGGTGGACTTTCAGACGATAGGCAACCGGCTGCTCTTTGAGATTGGCATTTGGCCACCAGAAGAATCGGAGGCAGTCACAGTCTTCACTGGGAACTCTTACCTGGAAAAACATTGTGGCTATGTCTCCCATTATAGCTATCTCCTCTTGACGGAATCTCAGGAGTACACCCATCAGACTGTTTGTGAGATCTGGTCCTTGGAGTAAGACGTTGTTCAAAGATGAACCCAGGTATGTAGCCGCACAATCGAAGACTACTCTAATCTTATCGGGCTTGCGGGGATGATAAACTGCATGATGCGGAATATACCACACCCTGCCGTCTGCCCGATGTAGGTCTTCTTGTGGGACCTTTTCGGCGTAGCCTTCACTCATAATCTTGAACATGAACTCTTTGTAGTCACTGCCGAATTCACTGTTTCTCTGTAGTTTGTGTTTCAGACTATCAAGGCGCTTTAATGCCATTGACTTGTTGTCAGGTAGCTTTACATCTTCTGCTTTGAAAGGTAGACCAATACAGTAGTGACCATCTCTGTGAGTGATAGACTTGTTCACCGACGCCAAGAATCTGATGTCTTCTTGAGAATGCTCTTTCTTGTCGTCAATGAGCCTCTCGGGGAAATCCATGTTGATGGTCTCTCTAACTAATCTATCCAGATGCTTGAGCTGATCTACCTCTGCTACTGCTGTGACCTCAGCCTTGTTTACAGAGAAACTACAACTTATGTCACTCTGTACTTCTTCAGCGTCTCTCATCACATTCCAAACCACCCAACCGAGCATAGTTCTTGCAGCATGAGGGCTACCCGCTGGACCAGTTTTCAGATCAAACGGGGTGTAGGCATCTGCCACATTGTTACCAATCAGGAGTCCAATGTCTGCATCTATTTCAGGCAAGCTGATGTCTTTAAGATGGTCCCACCTGGAGATGTCATCAGTCTTTGGAATATGGTGCTGGGAAACTGGTATTGTGTCTTTGGTATACATGACTGGAAGATCAATCTCGTTCGTCATGTCTAAGTCGCTGACCTTCAGCCCGTCGATGAGATACGTCTTCATGGAGTAGGGCTTACCCATGGTGTCCAATGTAATGGACTTACATGGACCACTTGCTCCCAACTGCCGGGCTAGACTCTCACTACAGAAGGAAACGGTGCTTCCAGGATCCATGAATGCATACGTTGGTACAGCCTTGATACCATCTCTCAGCCGGACTTTAACCGGTACAATTGCCATGGTGCATTGACCCTGCTGACCGGCCCTCGTATTACCACCTGCATACTTTGCAAAGTTTGCACACTGCCCACTGCTGCCATCTGGATTAGGCTTTGACTCGGGCTTGGGAACTCTGTTCTCATCGTGGAGGCAGGTTGGATGTCGACGTTTGCAAATGTCACAAGTGGATCTATGGCGACACTCCTTACTCTGGTGACCACGCTTCAGACATCCGTAACATAGACCTTTGGATTTTGCAAACTCTGTTCTTTCAGACAGAGGCAAACTGGACAGACGCTTGCACTTGTCAGTATGATGGCCTGTGTCAGTGCAATATATGCACACGTTCTTCACTTCATTGCCAGACTTTACTGCTGTTGACCTGTTGTCTCCTTCTCTGTTACGCCATGTCTGCTCGGATTGGCCACTTGAAACCTCGGTTGCAAAGCTGCCCCTTGAACGATTGGTGTGCTTGGTGACGACCTTTGCCCCTGTGCCTTTTACATCTTGGCTCAGGGCCTCTCTGCCGTACATGGGATCCATCACCTTCTTTGCCTCCATCTTTACAAATCGAACCAGTTGGCTAAATTGGACAGTGTCGCCTTTGTCTGAGGTCTGCCGAACAACATTTCTCCACCTGTCATGAAGATAGAATGGTAGTTTACCCACCAACTTCCTCATGTTGTCGGGGTACTCGAGGACCTTCACTGCTTGAATGCATTTTACAGCATTTTCACACTCAACCAGCAGAATTGAGAAGTCATCAAGTGCCTTCGGGTTGTCCGGACGAACACATGGCCAATCGAGTGCTTTCTTGATGAAGGAGTGGGCCATGAGATGCACGTCTCCATATCTAGATGCCAATTCTTTTAGAGCTGCAGGGTATCCTTGCTCAGCAGGAAGATGGCTGAAACCTGAGACAACTTTATATGCCTCTCCAGTAGTGAACTGCTCCAAGTAGCTCATTCGCTCATCGTCATTATCAGTATGTACTGCCACTTTAGTGTTGAACTGCCGGATGAATTTCCGGTAGTCGACTGGTTCCCCACTAAACCGCTTGATCTCAGGAGTAGGCCTTTTTAGTTGTCTGACAACTGCAAGAAGAGCGTTGTCACCTGACATGCCAGTTTCACTTCGGTTGCTGTCACAGTGCTTGTCACCTTGAGCTGAAACAGAATGGTCATTATTGACATGCAATGGCACTGGTACACTATGGCATGATGAACTATTACAACTTTGTTTACCATGTACTTGTACACTACTACTTTGGTTATGACTTTCTGGTGTAAAACTATGAGCATTCACATTTAGTGCAGATTGACCACTATTTGTCTGGTCTACCAAGTGTGACTGGTTATTGGGTTGTGCTACAATGGACACAGTTTCATTATTCAACTGCTTAACTGAATTTGAATCTCTAATTGAAACAGCATTTGATTGTAATTCAAAACTGTCCAAAACTCTTTCCTTGGCATGAACAATGTCCAGTTCTGTGGTCAAATTCAGCTCCTCTTCTTCCAACCTCAATTTCAACTTGGCCATCTCTATCTCTCGTCTCCTCTTGAGTGCCTTCATTCTTGCCTCCAAAGCCGCTTTCTCCTGCTCCGCCTTGAGTCGTGCCGATGATACAGCGCTGGCAATGGAAGCTCTAGAGCCCCTTCCACTGATGCGTGATATGCTTGTCAGGTTTTCGCTGTCAGTGGTGCCATGGCGTTGGCGTGGAACTCCGACATCTTGCTCCTTCTGTGACCGGACCGTTTCCCAGTTGGAGTAATACACCTTGAAGTTCTTCAGGTAGGTATCTCTACTGTCCCAACTATTGTCCAGATACTCCTGTAATTCTTCCTTGGACAGCAAAGTACAGTACTCGCTGTTCTCTTTGAGCAAGTCCTCGTAAGTTGACATCCATTCCTTATATTCAGCGCGTACTTCACCTTGGTCATGCTTTTCATTCATGAGAAGTTCAAGCCTTTCAGTTTTCGACTTTATTTGCCTGAACAGCTGTGACACGCGCTTTGCTTTCATGTCCTTTTGGTAGGCAAGTCCCTTTTCTGTGTGCATTCTTGCCCTCGATGATTCATGTAAAGCAGTTTCTTCACTGTCCATGTCAACTTTCTCATGGTCATGACATGTAGCTCCTTGCGTGGTAAGGTCTTCTGCCCCTTTATCCATCCTGGTAGTAAACGTCAATGATGAATCTGCCAAAGATTACTGACGAAAATATGCTGTGCGCAGATCCAGAAGATTTTATTGTCTTGTACAACTTCTGACAGTTTTGGTAGTCGTACACTTGTCAGGCTCAGGTATAGGCACAGATTGACTACAATAAATAAAATGGAAAATAAAATGTATGTGTTACAAGAAATAATCCCGAGTTTGTGTAACCTAATTAACAGAATCAGCTGACTGAATTACATATCACCTACATGTACATGTACTCTAAATACTTGCACACAAATGTCCAAACTAAAGGCTAAATACACGTACACATGTGTGTAGGCCCCTACAATGTACAAGGACAGATGAGTTTATCGGCCATGACCTAAATGCAAGAAGGGTTTATGTACACCCTGTATGATACTTGTACATGTGCTTAATAACAAGATCCAAAATAACATGCGTGGAAAATACATGTACATTTGTACAACTTTTAGGCTTACAAGATATCACTAAATCTCACATTATTACTGACTCATTGATATAAATTATTTAAGAGTAACCAACCGTTTAATAAACCTTGGCCAGTTAATGCTTTGGGCGAAGAATTCCACAGGTTGCAAATTCTGTCGTCATTGACATGATTGAGCTGAAGCCATGTTGCTTTTTGCTTAGCTCCCGTATTCCCGCAACAGCGCCCTCACTTGGCAAAACAAAAATAAGAAATCTATCTGAGTTTGGCCGCTACACCAGCCAAAACTCTATAAGGGGCCTATGATTGTATATTGCCCGGCCCGTGATTAGCATTCAGTTGTTGTTTGCTTAGCATGAAAACCACAGTGGAGTTTTGGTTGATAACCTGCTTTTATAAGCCAGGCTGTTTTGTATTAAGCAAATTTTTGTGCTGAGCAGCGCCGTGAAATTGGGCCCTCAATATAACCCCCCGCCTAGTGAAATAGACCCACAAAATTTAAGTCCGGCCGCTTTTTTTAGGGAAAAAAATCACCCAAATGCGGCCACAAGTCACAAATATTTGAGTGACATAAATATTTCTACAATCCATCCCAATTATAGGCTGCACTGAGGACCTCTTATTCAAAATTAACTGTGGGGTCACAAAATATTTATGAGCTCACGCGCACTAATTTAAAGGTTTATGGTGGCGTGCACCTATGATAACCGAGCATTCGTACTCTACTGCGCCACCATGCATGTTCAAATTGCAAATACATGTACAATGTATTGCCTCTGGATGTGGAAGTTTTCCAAGTGTTTCTCAGAACATGCTGCTGCTGAGCTTCTCTTGCTTTAAAAAGAATTCCTTATACCATTCATTTTGCTTTCACAAATGTAGTCAGGTGGCTTAGACCAATTGTTGCAAGGTATTGTTGCAAAATTAAAAGCACCAAACTTGGCAGAGATATTCTTGTAAAAAGTCATAGAGAAGATATTTAGAAGGGGTGACACCTGAAATTCTTTTGGGAAGGGTGCCTAGTTTGCATAAAGCATACATATCTGCCGTGTAAGGCCAAATAAAAAAAAACATGTTTAGCGTCCTCACCCACGTCCTTTTTTGGGAGGCCACCTCTTTTTTTTAACCGAAAAAATTAAGGATTAATTTTAAACATTAACATCGTTTTGACCTCTTTGTCTGTTGCATCTAGCCCATATAAAGCTGGTATGTCATTCTCAATTTTATTAACATTTATTGTATTTATTTTATTATAGTACAAGGCCTACTGCCAAAAGTTTCAACTGCCAGGAAGCATAGTGGATGGAACCCAATTCAGTTTTTAAAATTCTTTGTGAGCTCTTATCTGTGAGCACATCGTGTGACTTAAACAAAACTTTACATTACTTTATTAGTTGTGGAATATATTTGAAAGTGATTTAAGTCAAATGATTGAAACCAAACAAATGAATGTTAAGTTATGAACAAGTGACACCTGAGAAAAACAAAATGTTAATTGCTGTGTACCCCGAGCAAGCCTGAACATAATAATGCTTCATCTTGAAACCGAGTCTCAATACTCAGTTCAAATTGTTACAACCACAAGATCATGTACATGTTTCATTGACTTTGTCAGAAATGAAACGTTTGGTGAAACTTTAGTATCTGTATCTTTCTTAAACTCGAATCTAGAATTGCAGCCCCCTTCCACCCCCCCCCCCCCCCTCCCGGCCGTTCTTGACATTTTGATCAGCAGGCGTACTTTCTTAGTTTTTATTTTAGCAATTACTAATTAGGCATGTCCCACCCCAATTTCCTTCAAAAATCATAACCCTGCCCTCTTCAACTTAATACTTCTACTTGTACTTATTTTTAGTGAGCTATTTTCCAGTGAAATTTATGTCTGTGTGTGGAAATTTCCTGCATCGCAACGAAGAGCGCCACCGTATCTATTATTCGATGGTGTCGTCGTCCGCGATTAACACTAACAGCGCCCCCAATAGTCAACCAGTTTAGCATGCGTCTGGTATCTGCTATTCGTATGAGGTATTTGGGCGCAGAGGTAATTTGGTGCCAGACTACAATTCGAAAAAAGGACTAGAGAGCAAGAGAACTTTGAAAGCGGGTTATTCAATTTGTTGCATATCAAAATACACCGGAATTTAGAGGTAACATTGAGTCCATTTGTTTTTATTTTTAACTCGACTTTTAGTGTCTTCATATATAATGATATATTGTTTGGAGACAAGTTTGGATATTAACGTGATTCAAGTATTTTTTTCAGGACAAAGAACACAGTCGGTGACGGTGTATTCTTGCTGCTCGCGTATCGTACTAGCCCCATAAATGTGGCCTATTTACTGGACTGCCTCCGTAAACATAGGCCACACATCCACATGTACAAAAATCGTGTCGACTTTGCCAAATTTTGATTTTCAAATTTAGGCTTAGTTTGTAGGATTTTTTTGCTTTAGAAGCATACTCACCCTCTTTATAAGCTAGTCAGAAAGTGCTGCCTTTTTCAGATGTCTAATTTTTGTGAAATTTCATGTTGAAATTTTGATACGCAAACGTGTAAAATGAATCTGGAAATTTCACGAAAAAATATACATCTGAAAAAGGCAGCACTTTTTGATTAGCCTATAAAGAGGGTGAGTATGCTTCTAAAGCAAAAAAACCTACAAACTAAGCCTAAATGTGAAAATCAAAATTTGGCAAAGTCGACACGTTTTTGTACATGTGGATGTGTGGCCTATGTTTACGGTGGCAGTCCAGTAAATAGGCCACATTTATGGGGCTAGTATCGGCCGGCGGTCGGTAGTCTGGTTCCCAGACCAAAAGATGCTGACTATTCCTGATGAATCTTAGGTCAGGTAGCCTTCGGTAATACATGTACATTGTATTACAATTTACGTCACGTGACTAAAACGGAAGGCATTCCTCCCTTTTCCGAAACTTTCCGACGTTGTCGTTTGTCGAATTCGTTTCGTCGACAATCGGATAGTGCCCATCCGCCCAAGTATTTCCGAGTATAGGTTTATTAACTGCTAATTGCTCATCAAAAACTTAAAAAAACGAGTTGTTGATTAATATTCATTGCTTTAAAAATTAGTTTAAAAATTTGAAATTCAACGACGAATTTGTACTTGGATCGTGTACGACATGTACGAGGGGAGAACATTTTGCTGCATCATGTACTAAGTACATGCATCATGTAAACCACGGTATACCGTGGACGTGCAAGGCAGAAATGTGGACTAAGCTGTTGACATGGTTGATTGATCATATTTTGATGAAAATTATATAGTAAAATTTGGCATCATTACAGTGATTACACAACATGCAAACAACACTTCTTGACTTCTTCCTTTCTTAAGTTCTACTTTTATCCCTTTCTAATGACGAGCAGCAATGGAAGACACAGCAACAGTGAAAGCTGTGGTCCTTGCCGCAAACCAGTACAGCATAAATCCCAGCGATAGCAACTTGGTTCAACTTCAACGAAAACTAGATGTAAGTATGTCCTTTAGATTGCTTGTTTACCTTATGCTTGGTGTATAAACACCTTTCAATCTTGAGTTTATAAACCTTAACGTTTTGGTATTCAGATCACTTTGATCAAGTGATAATAAAAGTAGCTCATCTGCTACTGCCAGGTGCACAGTTCCTAAACAGATAATAAGTTTGGAGGTTTTGAGAAAGAAATCTTCAGAGAGTTCAGAAAGACATTAAACCCTAACCACCCCAAGCCTTCACAATCCAACTGCATTTTTTGTTTGATTCTGTTGGAGTGAGGACTGCACCAGTAAACCGATTATGCTTCACATGGGGTCAGGCATACCACCATAATCAGAGTCCAACAGTTTAGGTGTGGAGTTTACCACGTGGCGTTGGATTTTGCAAGAGTAAATTTGCAGCCACAGAACTTAATTGTATAATTGTCTGTCTCAGTTAAGTTGTGTGATAAAAAGTTGCAACTTCCTGACTAGTTGCGACTATTTGACGTATTACTTTTTAGGAAATGTCTCTGAATAAAAGAGCATACATCTGGGTCCATGCATGCTAAACAAGCATTTAGGACAACATCCATCCATCCGGTTTTTTGGTGGTGGAGTTTTACTCCAGTTCTTAATTGCCACTGAAGTGGACTCAAAGTTAGAGACGCAGACAAACAAACAAACTCCCTGATGTTTCAGCCTCGCAGTAAGTACTACTAGTGTCACCTTGAGCAGTTCTTGTCTGAGCTGTTTGTTGTGTTTTTCCCATGTTTTTTATAGACCTTGATAGGCATCTGCTCCAGGGGGAAGCCTTTGGTCTTCTTCTCTACGAAGCAACTCCTTCCGACAGAATGCCTGACATGTCTGGTAGACATCCTGAATGAGCAAACCACACCCACTGAGCTGGCCCAGAGGACAATGGTTCTCTTGTTTAGTCTTGGTGAGTTGATATTAACCACTCTGTCATGTACATATAACGTCTGCATGTATTCTACTTTGCTTACGATCAACTGCATTTTTCATTTTGACTCCTCATGTTTGGCAACATTGTAAAATTGAAGATAAAAAGTTTTTTTTTTAGATGTGCAACTTAAAATTTGTTTGTGTTTTTTGACTTTCAAGTTGAATTACTGAGTTCGTCATTTTATTGCAATATTTCATTTGCTCTACTACTTGAGTTCCACTCTGAATTTAATTTAATGACATTTCTGACATTTTCTTTGTAAGACTGCACTTGTAAGCATTTATTAAGGGCATTGTGGGTTTGAGTCTTGCTCGGCTAATGCTGTGATTTTTTTTCTCACAAGTGCTTTAAAAGCACTGATGATTCAGTGGTAACGTTTGTTAAGACTAAGAGGAACTTATACTTATTTGTACATTGACTGCAACCTTGTTGACAAATGAGTGTTTCTCCTGGAAACAGGCTTGGCGCTGATCAAACGACAACATGAAGGTACACTTAGTTTTGCCAACAAATTAATTCTGCCGTTCACATTGAATCGGTTGGACTGTTTGTTTTACAGCTGCCGATTCTGAGATTCGTGAGACGTTACAAACAACGTACAATCTGCCTGTTTCCCTGGCCTCTTATCTCAGAGTCAGTATGGACTCAGCTGGAGAACAGGTCATTATGCAGGTCAGTAGGAGACTAACCCTAAGCCCCTGGGCCCTTTTGGCTAGGAACCATCCCTAACAGTCCTGAATCCTGCAATTTTAATACGATTTTGCACACCCCCTAGGGAGTTAGGGTTAAACCTGCAAAAATCTTCCAATTCAGGTGATTCACAATGCTGTGCGCCACCAAGAATTTGCCCAAAGATTCCATTTTTCCCAGTGCATTGTTGGAGATAGTCGGCAAATTCGCAGCGCTGGACACTTGAAATTGTTCGTTTTTCCTGCCAGTAGTTTCGTAAGCATATGATTTGAGTTTTTTGGTTTTTTTTTTTGCCCTTTTCATTTCTTTTTATCAATATGGTGTTTTTTGTAAGGCAGCTGAGCGCTATGCCCCTATCAATAAACAAATTAGCTTAAATTTTCTGCAGACAATCCTTCAAATGGGCGATGTTTTGTTGACCGTAAGCTGGAAAAATGGACTCTTTGTGGCAAACTCTTGGTGGCGCACTGCATTGTGAATTGCCTGAATTGCCACCATGTCAAACTTGGATTCAGCCTCAATCCTCCAAAATCATTGTTTTATGAATTTGCTCATTTGTCCAGTGGAGGGGTTACCATTGCCTCAATCCTTCAAAATCCTACAACAATCACTGTTAATATGTCGAGACAGTGCCGATGACATTCAGAAGCAGTGCGGATGATATCGAGCATAATGCAGGACTCAGTTATGAATGGCTGAACATAAACAATGCTGGGTACAGCCTACGAACTCTACACAATGCATCCTCCAAAATTAACCGACACTTTTTTGCCTGAATCCTTCAGAACTGTCCAGAGATTGAGGAGATATCAGTCAAAAGAAAAAAAGTTGGGAACGGAAGTGGATTTTGTTGGCTGTAATATTGCGTAATAAGTTAGCTCAAGCATGGCCATTGTCGCAAAGCTTTTCTTTGTATTAGATGATCAAGAACTGTTTGTGTAAACTGTTTCACAGTGTGTGCAACTTCTTCAACGGGTCACCTACAACTACCACATATCGTACCTGAACAATACAATGGAGGACCTGGTCCGGTTCCTGATCTCCAATGTGTAAGTTTAGGTCTTCATTTTTAAGGGAGTGCTGTGGCCTCGTGGTTAAGGGCATTGGATTCGTGGTCTGCGGGTAAAGCTGCAGGTTGTGGGTTCCAGTCCAGCCCGGGGTCATGGTGCGTGTGCCCTTGCGCAAGGCACTTTGTCGCACATTGCTTCTCGCCACCCAGGAGTAAGTGGGTACCTGTGAAGGTACGGGTCATATGCGCTGGTATTGAGCTGCTGCAGCTAGATGTTTTCTCATGGCCTGATGAGCTGGGGTAATAATTGTGAAGCGCTTTGACACCTTTGGTTTAAGGTGCTATATAAGCACCACATTATCTAAGGGTTAGCACTTCGTCAGCTCACCCTTTGTTTGCAAACCAGTTCTTAATCATAAAAGCACATGGGAATTTCACATTAACACTGGAACATTTATGTATAAACAAATTCACTTCTGTCTTCTCCGATGAAAAAGTTTATTATTTTCAAAAGAACCAACATTTTTGCTGACTGGCTGTGTTGTGGTTGAGTCCATCACAAGTCCGCACAAGTGAATCAGAAGTCCTCCAGTCCCAAGTCAAGTCACAAGCTATTCAAATGAACTATGCCCTCCTTGGTTATCGTTCATCCACTATTACTTGTGACTGGACTTGGGAAAGTGATTTTCGTTTGGACAGACTTGTGATGGACTAGTCTACAACACTGGCCAAGTTCGCGCAAGGACTATAGTTGACATGGTTAACTAACGTTTGCCCGAACTCTGTCTAGTCGACGGTGGTTGACTACGCTAGTCGACTATTTGGAACCAGCCTACTGGGGTTGGTTGCTTCGCTGGTAACCAATAGCCACGGGCATTCATAACGCTAGCAGAGAGCCAGGATCCAGAAGTTTTGCGATAACATTTTGACCAGCGTTTGACTAGAGACGTTCGCACGTTGCTATCAGTGCGCAGGCGTAAGGTACGTCACAAATCAACCACTAGTCGACTAATGGTCCTTGCCCGAACTTGGCCACTGCTGACTGATTTTGTTTTCATTTTCATCTTCTGTTTGCAGCCAACGAGGAGAGAATGAGCTGACCATGCCATGTCTTGGTCTACTGGCCAATCTGTGTCGACACAACGCGTCAGTGCAGGCACACATCAAGTCAATAGTAAGCACAAACTCAAATTGTGACTTCAAAGGTAACATACAACATTTGCTTTTGCTGTAAGTTTCAGAAATGGATGATTTTGGGGGTAAGTATTTTTATAGCAAACATTGTTACACTGAACTGTTTCAAGTTTTTGTGTTCATAGATGCTAAAAAAACAAAGAAACAAAATGCTGTTCAAGAAAAAATATGCTGTTCTTGTGGTCTAATTCCCTGACCCTACATCAGAGGAAACGGAGCAATTTAAAGACGTCAGGGAATTGTAAGGTCAGGGAACCAGACTAACTGACTTGCACCTGTTCATGGATGTGCAAGCCATTGCAAAAAAAGGGGACTGACTAAATTTGTTATAAAATTGGGCAGCATTATTTTAAAAAAGCTGATAGTCAGCTGACCATCATCAAAAATTCCACTTTTCTTGAAAATGACAATTCACCAGGTTTCCATGATTTCACAGGATGCTTGAGACTGTTATTCACTTACAGTCAAGTGAGGTATTTCATAATAACTTGGTAGTTTCGTTTTTTCCGTGTTTGCAAATGTTGTATATTACCATTAATAATATTCCCTATGATATGCATTTTCACAAGAAATTTACTTTATTTGCCAAAATCCAACAGCATCAAGTAAAACCATTGTAGATCCGAAATACTATATTTCACATTGTTATCACAGAGGATGAGATATATGCACTTCTTCCCAAAGCCGCACTGTTGTTGTCCCCGTCCAATTCCAACAATAGTGCTAGTCAGATGTAGTCTTCACAGAGGAATGATACAGCAGGACAGCGTATAGGGCAAAAGTCATTATCGCAAGTGCCAAAGTCTTGATCGTGAGTGCCAAAGTACTAATTGAACAAAAGGCACTGGAGAACACTAAGAGTGCGTTCGATTACTTCCCTCAGCTTACTCGCGCCTGCTCCTCGCGTGATGACAGACATGCGCAGTGGAGCTAAATAAACAAACGGTTTTGGGTAAAGTTTCGTGCAAGAGCTGGAAAGTTGAACTTTGACTTGACACATGCTTCATCCGAATATCAACTGTCTAGAGCTAGGTCTAGGTCCACGCCATTGAAAGTACGCGGGGACGCGCTGACAATAGGCGTATAGCTATAGCCGTAGCTCTGGAAGCCCGTTTTGGACATGGCCTGAGGCACCCGCTGGACGGCACGTTGGCAGCCATGTTTATTGCATGGCCTTATGGGATTCTTACCCAAGTAACCGGCTCGGCGAGTCGGTTACTTGGGCCAGGCTTGAGTTAGCACGAGAAGTCAGGTGAGAGGTAAATCGAACGCTGTCTCGCTTGCACGAGTAAGCGCGGGGGAAGTAATCCAACGCACTCAAAGGCTGCTGTTTTAAGACCTCAGATTCATGTTCGTGCCTTTGTGCCAAGAACACAGTTTCAAGTAATCTGCTTGAATCTTTACAAGTTTCACACATTTTCAAATGATCAGGAACTAGTATTAGCTAAAATGTGAAGTTGGTGATGACAAAAATAGCAGGGTGGCAAAATTCTATCAGGGTGGCATAATATTTGATCAAGCAGCCTGTTCTACAAACCCCTCGCAAAACACTGATCAAGATGTGTGTGATAGTTTTTGTGTTCAATTTGCGGTTGCATGTGTTTTTCTTGACAGGACAACTTGAAAGCATTCTACAGGACGTTGATTCACTATCTGTCCCACAGCAGTCTGACAGTCATCGTCTTCTCGCTATCAATCCTCTCTAATCTCTGTCTGAATGAGGAACTTGGAGAAAAGGTACGACAAAGACAACTGCCAATGGCCAAATGTGCTCTGCCATACTCTCTTTTATGTAAAGAGGACTTTAGTTAAAGAGAAAGCCAGTTGCACTTTGCAATATGTAACAAGCCATGAACATTGTCAGCACCCTCACAAGTTTAAGCTGAATCGACTTACGAGAAAACCTTCAGCGATATTGCAGTACCCGATGCCAACCGTTTTGTTTTCTAGTAAGCTCAAATATGCCACGGATGCTTCTAGCCCCGTTACGGTTGTACTAGTAAACACCATCTTAAGGGCATTACATTTGGCTGTTGGCCATACCTGTTCTGGTAGATAGGCAGGACTTATTCCTAACATGCCATGTACTAAACTTAGTACAAATATATGGGAGTCCAGAGAGGCCACATAAAGCTTATTCTCGATCATAACCCCATCTACAAACACGTTGAAATTGCGCAGCAGCAGAATTCCAGTCAAACCAGTGAGTTTGGCGGTTTTGAGACATCATCTTTCATTGAAAAAAAACCTTTTTCATTTTGCCGACGCGCATGGCTATGGCGACGCGCGCGCATACCAGAAACCGGAGACTATTTTTTTTTGGCCTAATGAGTGCCTGCTACATCTGTTTATCCTCCAGAGTTCAGTTGATAGTCAGTCCTTAAGTTAACCCTTGCTGTCTAAGCAATTTACATTGGACTTTTCATAAGTTACTTCATGAATTCTCCACCCCAAATGACGCAGTCGGTGTACTTTCATTTGAGGGCCATTAAGTTCTATGTTAAGTAGCACTGGTTGATAACAACATTCCTCATATTCCCGCAGAATTCTCCAAAAACTTCCTGGAAGAATAGCTCAAAACTCTACTCAAGTCACACTCGTTAACTTCCCATAACTCTTTGGACTTAAAGGGGAGGTGTAGAGTAAGCCAACATGGCTATGTTGTATAGCGCCCTCTTGTGTTCACCATGTTATGCACATGTGATACCTTGCCATGTAAGTGGCCATCTTGGAATAAACACATTGCATTGTCTTCCCATAAAACCATCTCTTGTCTCATTACTACATGGTGGCAGTGGTAGGATCGAACCCACGTTAGTTGAGGGTGGATAAAAAGTAAACACTTTTAAGGAAGCTTGTTCCTTGTTGCGCCTCCAGTAAGCCTTGCAATTATCATTCCAACTCAAATGTGTCCCTTCTGACAGCTCTTCAGCGCCAAGAACATCAGTCAGACATTCCAGCTTGTCTTCAACATCCTGCTGAATGGTGAAGGCATCTTGACGCGACGTTACGCAGTCGACGTCTTTGTGGACTTGCTCAAGAGCCCCAAGATCCAACGCTTTCTGATTGTGTAAGAATCTGCGATCTGATATCTAATGGTGTTGTAGTCAGTCCTCACAAGTCCATTACAAGCCCTCACAAGTCCAGTCTTAAAGGGAATGTACATCATTGGCTTTTGCTGTAATTTTCAGAAATGAACTATTTGAGGGGTTAGTATAATAGATCAAATATTGTTACACTGATATGTTTGTAGTTTTGTGTTCGACAATGCTGGAAAACCAAGAAAAAACAAAAATGTTCAAGTAGTCTGGCTCCCTGACTCCACTAAAGATGAAATGGCTCAATGTATAGATGCCGGAAAATTGCAAGGTAAGGAAACCAGTCTAGCTGGCCTGCACCCGTTCATGAGCATGTAACCAATAGCAAACAAAATTTGGGCTGAAAAAAGGTAAATTTGGAGCAGAAGTTGAAAATAGTTAGGTTTTTCCAACGGTGATCGGCCGACCACCGTTGGAAATTGATACAAACATACCACTTTTCTTGAAAATGACTCCACACCAGGTGCTATAATTTTACATGATGCTTTAGACTGTTATTTACCCACATCCTAGTAAGGTATTCATAAAAATTTGGTAGTTTTGTTTGTCAATGTTTGAAAATGTTGTATATTCCCTTTAAGTCAAATCACAAGCCATCCAAATGAACCAAATCCAATTCTTTCTGATTGTTCATTGCTTGTGACCAGACTTGTGAATAAGTTAAAGGGAAATTACAACATTTGCAAACATCGAAAAATAAAACTACCAAGTTTTTACGAAATACCTTACTAGGATGTTGGTAAATGACTGTCTAAAGCATCCTGTAAAATTATGGCACCTGGTGTGAAGCCATTTTCAAGAAAAGGGTATTTTTGTATACATTTCCCATGGTGGTCGGCCGACCATCGTTGGAAAAACTTTTTTTCAACTACTGCTCCAAATTTACCATTTGTTTCAGTCCAAATTGTGTTTGCTATTTGTTACATGTTCATGAACGGGTGCTGGCCAGCTGGACTGGTTCCCTTACCTTAAACCTTTCTGGCATCAATAAATTGATCCATTTCATCTTTAGTGGAGTCAGGGAACTAGACTACTTGAACATTTTTGTTTTTCTTGGTTTTTCCAGCATTTTCGAACACAAAACTTCAAACATGTCAGTGTAACAATATTTTGATCTATTATAGTAACCCGTCAAATAGTTCATTTCTGAAAATTACAGCAAAAGCCAATCATGTAAATTCCCTTTAAAATTGATTTTGCCAGACTTTTGATGGACTGGTGATGGACTCAACTACAAAGCACTGAAAGAAAAAAAGAAAAAAGAAACACACTTTACATTTGTAACTTTAAAAACACAAATTAAGCAAGTCGCTACAAACCTATTTATCTTGAACAAAATGCAGTCATGTAAGTATAAGAGATATATCGTGACATAATGTTACGTTGTAACAGCAGTTGTTATGTTGCAGTTGTAGAGAACTCCTAGAAAAAGCTATTCATCTCAACGTTTACTTTCTATATTTTTGGCCATTTAATTTTTCCCGACCAGTCACCTGTTAATATAAACAGTGTCCTAAAAAAATAATAAACCAAGTGACAAGGCCTTGTGAATTCAGCTGTTCCTGTTTGTCTATTGAAATATCTTTAATTTTTTTTCGTTTATTGTTATATCTTTAATTTCCTTTTGGCAGATATGAGCATTTTCCAGTGTGTCTGCAGCAAGTGTTGAAGCTTGTGACCAATCAAGAAGCAGAAACTGTCAACAAAGTTAGTGTTTATAATAACAAATCATGAAACCTCAGTCCTTCTGATTTGAAAATCACAGGTGTGTGGAAAAACGCAAACCTGGATTTTTCTAGGCGTGTGATTTTTCTAGGCGTGTGATTTTTCTAGGCGTGTGATTTTTCTAGGCGTGTGATTTTTCTGGGCGTGTGATTTTTCTGGGCGTGTGATTTTTCTGGGCGTGTGATTTTTCTGGGCGTGTGATTTTTCTGGGCGTGTGATTTTTCTGGGCGTGTGATTTTTCTGGGCGTGTGATTTTTCTGGGCGTGTGATTTTTCTGGGCGTGTGATTTTTCTGGGCGTGTGATTTTTCTAGGATTCTGTGGTCCAAGTTGGGACTGAACAATCTGGTATTTTTTTCATAATATTCATCTTGGTTTACGTTAAAGCCGTTTTCTCTTCACCGACATACTTTTTTCCCCACAAATTATGAAGTGTAATTATGCCGTAAATGTATGCCGAGGTGAGCGGTACTGAGGGATTCAGGCGTGCGATTATTCACACTTCTCAGGAAGCATTTAGGCGTGTGATGGCGTGGGGGTGTGATCGCACGCCTCAAAACAGAAGGACTGAAACCTGTGATGCAAGTACAAGCAAAGAAACAAGACTAGGCTTGGCTAGTTGAGCTGGACCTAAAAGTCTCAGTAATACTCAGTGACTCAGTCAGTCAGTGACACGGTCAATCACATGTCAATCACACACCAATCACAAGTCAGCTCAAAAGTCAATCACAAGTCAAATCCTCAGTCAATCACGAGTCAATCGCAAGTCAATCACAAGTCAATCACAAGTCAGTCACAAGTAGATCACAACTCAAACACAAGTCAATCAAAAGTCAAATCACAAGTCAATCACAAGTCAATCACAAGTCAATCACAAGTCAATCGCAAGTCAATCACAACTCCATTCACAAGTCAATCTTAACTCAATTCACAAGTCAATCACAACTCAATTTACAAGTCAATCTTACCTCAATTCACAAGCCAATCACAAGTCTATCAAACGTCAAATCACAAGTCCATTACAAGTCAATCAAAAGTCAATTACAAGTCAATCACAAGTCAATTGCAAGTTAATCACAAGTCAATTGCAAGTTAATCACAACTCAATTCACAACTCAATTCACAAGTCAATCTTAACTCAATTCACAAGTCAATCACAACTCAATTTACAAGTCAATCACAACTCAATTCACAACTCAATTCACAAGTCAATCTTAACTCAATTCACAAGTCAATCACAACTCATTTTACAAGTCAATCACAACTCAATTTCAAGTCAATTCATAAGTCAATCACAAGTAACAAGAAATGAGCAATGACAAAGGAATGCTTTAATTTAGCCACAGTTAATGAGAGCAATGTGTGTCTTGACTTTAGAATGGGTGACTTGTGATTGACTTGCGATAACTTGTGACTGACTCGATTACATCTCTGCGTCGTTCTGCGTTTAAGCATTTTGTTTTCGTCCTCAGATCTTTGAGCTCCTGCTGGCGTTCTGTGCGGTGACCGACCTCCGTCCCACCGTCTGCAAGAACCTGATGGCCACACCTCCCCTTCAGAACGTCGACGCCCACAGCAAGGGGTCCACCAAGCTGTCCACGTCCGAGCCATTCCTCGCTATCGTCACCTGGGCCTCCCAGCCGGTCGACTTACACGAGAGCGTGTCACTTCTAGCTGTGGAATTGCTCAAAGAAGTTTATGAGGTTGGTTGGTTGGTAGCAAAAATCCACTCCTCTTCTGCTAGGTCCGGTTTAATTCCTCTGACTAGATTAACGCAAATCCTGAACAGTGTAATGATATCAGTATTATTATGTAACATTCTGTTGGACCTTTCTGCATTGGGCGATCAACATTTGTGCATGATATGCCAATTCTGTGACACTGAGATCTGGTTCCATTGAAAATGCCACAATTGTATCCTGCTGCAGCTGGTGACCACAGACTCTGACTCTGAGGCAGTTTGGTCTTGAGACTTTTTGACCTGATGGATCTTTCAACACTGAGTAGGCTTGTCATTTTGACAAGTGTTGCATGTTGTTGCGTTTTATGTGACCCGCGTGCCAACGCGTCGGAGTCGACTTTAGAAATTGTGACATCATTTCGATCAGATCAATTTGGCGGACATGTTTTTGTAATTAACCTATCGTGGTAGAATCACGTCAATGCAGCTTGTGAAATATTGTCCAGTTACATGATACACAAATGGACGCGGAACGCGCAAACTCTGAGACAAACAAAACTTAACGTTCAAAATTCCATAGGGTTGTCCAAGGGGCGTGGCTCACTCGTAAACAGTGATAGGTCAATACAACGGTTTACAGAAGACACAATGCAAGGCACCCACTGAATGGTCAGAATCTTGAGGTCAAGACATAATCTGCTCGCATATCAAGGTCTATTCCATAGACTAAGCCAGTGTCCGCAATAAGCGGTATCGCATCGCAATTTGCGACACATTCGAGGCCGACTGCGACGCAATTTTTAAAGTGCATTGCAAAACTGCTATACAACATTTTGATCATGAAAAGTTGACACAAAGTGTACTTGCCACCAATTTCGGTCCACTGAATTCCACAACTATCGGACATGGTAAACATCCATCATGTTTTGATTTAGTTAAGCTTAAATACTGAAAAAGAACGTCAATTTTGTTCAGCTGTATAAAATCTGTACGTGTTTAGTTTGTAAACAGGCGGCGTCTGATTGGCCAATAACGAGACCACGTGATAAACGCAGCTAATAATTTGGAATCGCACCTATGATCCGGACATAAGGAATGCCGGAGCGTCAGTGCGATACCAAATTATCCGCAGCATGTATCACGTGGTAAATCACGTGCATGATCGGAGGAGGTTGCAGGACGTACGTCGAGATTTTACCTCGTACTTTGAATCTGCTGCGACTGTGCGAGGAATAATTTGTGGATTTATAAAAGAAATAACACGTTTGTACACTATCTGGTCAAGTATTCAACAAACTTTATTCTTATTCTCACTCACTGGTAAATATATGCATGAAATGAGTATTTTGGTGGCTAAAAAAGTTACATGCATGTCGTGCATGCTCAGTAAAAAATCTTCATGCACTGGTGCATGCGTGCACCCGGGTAAATCGAGCCCTTTTCTCATCACTATAGCCGAGGCTAAATTTGAGTATAACAAAACTGCTATGCAAAATTGGTAAACTGCTATGCAAATCAAAATTTGCATAGCAGTTTTGCTATACAAAAAAAAATCCTTAAGGCCTGGACTAAGCTATCACATGCATTTAGTGGAACAGTGGAAAATTGGTCAAGTCTGTTGTGTACATTGGGCTTGCCTGTGATGTGAGCAAGACAGTGCAGATGCAGTGTGCCCTCCTTTGGCTCTGTTTGGTGCAGGAAGTGGGTCAGTCCCTAAACGTGGGGTCCAAAAGTGTGACATTTTTGTGTCCCTCTTACTCCTGACCTAGGTTATTTGCCATGTAAGTATCATTAAATTGACTTAAAAGTGCGTTTTTATTTGTTTGATTTTGACTTGCCATTGACTTGTGAGTGTCTTGTGATTGACTTGTGATTGACTTGTGACTCGACTTATGATGTTGACTTGTCATTGACTCATGATTGACTTGTGATTGCCTTATGATTGACTTATGATTGACTTGTGATTGACTTGTGATTGACTTGTGATTGTATTCTGATTGATTTCTAATTGCCTTGATTACAAACTCTGCAGATGCTCCCAAACGGCTTTATTTTTTTTTTCTTGGTGTCATCCTCAACGATTTTTTTTCTTTTTTTTCTCTAATCTGCAGGAGATGATAGACTCGGGTCTCATCAGCCAGCTTTCCCCACGCATTGACCTGTTACTCCCCATGGCATCGGAACAGCTGACCACACCCACCGAGATGGACGGCCCATTGATGAAATACAGGTGCAACAAACTCACTATGGTCATCAATCTACTCATGGATATCCTTTTCCTACTAAAGGTCATATTAGAGGTCAGAGTTCACAACAGGTCAACTTGGGTAAAGGCAGACAGATTAGATGCGCCCCCATGATCCTTACTCTAAAAGCTTAGGCAAAAAAAATAGTTTTGCTTCCGGTTCCATACCCACCCTATTCTGACAGCCCCTACCCTACTTTTTTCATGGGAAAAATGAGGGAAAAAAAACACCCAAAACCATCAAGTTGTACCTTTTATCTTGACCATACGCAGACGCCTCCATAGGATTGTACACAAAACAAATTGGCCCTACCTACCTACCCTATTTTCAAATGCCATGTTATCGGAAGCAGAAGTATTTTGTTTGCCATACCTTGTTTTAAGTCTTGTATTTTTTTGTTTCCATTAAATTGATAATTGGTTCAATGCCCATAATTATCTGGGGTGTGCATTACAAAATAATTTCCCCCGCTACATTTTAAGTAATATTAGATGCATTGTCTTCTCTCAATGTAATTATTAATTGCCTTGTATTATAGTAATGAATTTCACTTTTAAGGTTTCTTGGCTCTTTGTGAAAAATAACTCAAATAAAAATATTTTATTTTAAATGTGACCATTGAAATGGGGGTGGGGTTGCTTCTTCTTGTTGTTGTTTTGTTTCTGTCCTTTTTTCAATTTGCATTTTTCTTAACTGGAGCCTTACCTCTCAGTGGAGATTCAAGCCTGAGGTCAGAGGTCGCCGGGGTTCTCAATGTCCAGGAGTGTTTCCAGATACTGGAGCATCAGTATAACCATAACAGGATTGGTTTGACCATGAGCAGGACCGCTGTGGATTCAGACTGGAGGTAAAAGTGTGTGGGCGGAGCAAAGAAGCGAGGGGTTGCCGGTGCTTTCAATGTCCAGACTCATATGTAGCGCGATATGAGACGGAGGGAACCCCCCTCCTTTGTGTTGGTCATTGTGTTACCAGAATCTCAGGAATTCTTTTGAGATATCTAGGGGGATGTGTTAGGTAAACAATAGTCTAGGGTTTGCACTGGTATATCCAGACTGAAGGTAAAAATGTGTGGGTGGAGCAAAGAAGATGGGGGGGGGATGTTGTGTTATTTTTTACTAATGTTTGCCAGGCTGTCAGTGTCCAGGAATGCTCTCGGATACTGGAGCATCATTCAACGATAACAGGATCAGTGTGGATTCAGTGTGGATTAATAACACTTGCTCGTAGTCACTCTTACTTGTTTTGAACTTCAATTAATTTTTTTCACATTTTCGATAAATATTTGGTTTAACATTGGAGCACAATTTTGAAATTGTTGTTTTGAAAGGAATTCCAAGCTCTTAAAGGCTAATGAGTGAGAGGTTTGCAGTGAATAATATCTCTTAGTGAGTTGTGTGGTTTTGAGAAGAACCAGCTGGTTTAACTCGACGTTTCGAACAGTATGCTCTGTTTGTCATATGATCAGGAGACTGTCGGAGTCTCGCTGATGTACTAGTTTAAGAAGTGGATGCTAAGTTCAGTGGACCATGGACGGAGGCGTGGAGCAGGATGCTAAGTTCGATGATCAGCGCATACTGCAAACGTCAAGTTAAACCAACCACACAACTCACTAAAAGATGGTTTCACTTGGTGTTACCGCAAACCTCCCAATCATTGATCATGTCCACCGTGCAAAGCCTTAAGTATTATCTGAAAGGTGGTTTAATTGGACATTCTCAAACAATCATTTGGATTTGACAGTCTGGAGATTGGCAAAAACTGTCTCGCTCTGTGAACTAGCATTTCTGAGCAATTCAAATGTCAATGTCTTTTAGAAAATTAATAGTAACTAGAGTTTCGCGTTTGTTGAGTTACAAACGCAGAGTGGTCGGGCGGACAGCCTTCTCATTATACAATGCCAGTTAAGTTAGGAATATATGTAGAAAAAAGGATCACGAAATTAAATCCCTTCAAGTACAATCAATGTTTCAAAAAGGTATCTTTAACGGTGTGATAAACTTCAGTAAACATTCTATGTGCACAAAAAGTTATTTCTAGTTTGATGACGTCATCAGTCAAAAATGGTTAGTGAATACTGATAAAGTTCGGAGAGGATAATTTGTCATTTTAAAAATAAATAACGTATGAAAATATGGGAAATATAATTGTTTGTATTAATATCACCTAACTTCCGGTTTGACGACGTATTTATAACACCTAACTTCCGGTTTGATGACGTCACAGCATTAGAGATCCAAAGGTGAACATTGTAATGGATATCATTATTTGGACTTCGAAGATATGACAGGGATCAAATGATAGAAATAAATTTAAACTTTGATCATTTTCGAATTCTCCCTAAAGTAACTTCCGGTCTGGTGACGTCATGAATTTGAAACCTTGCCACCTTATCTGTGATTAATCAGAGAATGTCAAGGGGCGATTTGGTAAAATTTGGACGGATAGTTTTACAATTACAGAAGGGAAACTATATTTTATGTGCCGATAGGGGGCGCCCTTTCGGATGATGACGTCATCACACCGTTTTTTGCGTCTTGCATTCCTCACTATACACTTTCATAATATATATGTCTGTAGTGAAATGCTTCCGCTTTTGAGTTATATTCAGTTTTTATTGCACTTCCGGTAACACCGGAAGTAAAGGTCAAGCGGTTTTGCGTTCGGGAACATGAAATGTTTCTCACGGCATAGTCTACAACCTCACGAAAAAACGAACACGATACTCTATTTAGTTCAAAAGATATAACGCAAACTATTTTGTCAAAGTTTGCCCTTAAATCGCTTGTAATTTGATACCTGATTACGTCATGATGACGTAACAAAATGTACAACATCTTCGTAACATGGTACAAGTTCACACAAGGTTTTGTGATCATACCGTGAACCGTGCGGAAGAAATGCTGCTTTGTTTTGATGTCAGGCTAACGTCTTCATTTTGAATTCACCTAACTTTGACCTTCCGGTAGACCCGGAAGTAAAGGTCAAGCGAGTTCACGTACACTACAAAAACTGTTAAGCGATTAATGGTCTATCTGATTACAGAATACAAACATCATTGATTGTTTAGTTCAAGAGTTATAGGTGAAAGTAATTGGTCACTTTTTCAGATAAAATCACTTGTAATTTGACACCCGATGACGTAATCATGACGTCAGAGTAATATGCACCACTTCGGATAAGAGTCGATATATATTGAAAGTTACAAGTTCCTACCATATACCGTTTAAGAGAAAACCCGCGGAGAAGTATTGTCCGGAAAAAAAAAGAAAGAAAGAAAGAAAGAAAGAAAGAAAGATTAATCGTAACAGATCCAAAGAGTGGTCGGGTTGTGCCCGACCACTCAATTAAACACTAGAGTAGGTTCTGTGAAAAAAAAATTATGGCATAAACATGCACAACTTGAAAATGAAAGCTGAAAATTAACCTACGTAAAAAGGGTGCCATTTTCATTAATTGAACATGTTGATTTCTCTCCCCCTCCCCTCTCGTTTTTAATCTCCCTCAGCGAGGCTGGTGTGAACACAGTTCTTCAGTTATTGGATCTCTTACTCAAGCTAAGGAGAGACATTTCTCAAATGGATCAGCAACTGGTCAGAGTTTTACAGGTAGCCATTGTTGCCTTTTGTCCCCCAACAAGATATGATTCTACAATGGAACTCCGCTATAACGAACATCGCGGGATCCACAAAAATTGTTTGTAACAGCGATTGTTCGGTATAGCGATTTGAAGCTGCTGGTGCTCCGGTACTCACTTTTCAATAAAAAGTGCCCTTCAGAACTTCACCCTGCACGCCCTGGTAGTTACTGAAAGACGACTTTGAACACGTGTCAACTATTGAATTATGTAAATTTTACACTGTTTTGGAGCTTACTACCTACAGCAATGGCTGGCTTTCCCCTTCTTTTCCCAAGGGAAATGATAGCCACTTGTCCCTCTTCTGTTGACATTTTTAAACAACAATATTTTGGTACATTTTGTTCACAAAAATCAGGAGCCACGGACAACGTTTGGTGTGATCCGTGGACAGAACTTTAAAACGGCGCTTGTGTTCAAAATCCCATAACTTGCAAAGTACATGAGTGATTTGATTAATTCTTGTACTAAAAGAAAGCTTAATGACTGGGCTTTCATAACCTAGATTTTGAAAGTGCTTCAGGTAAAACTTCATTCAAAACTTGGTCCTGCCATTTGGGTTTCGTTTTTTTTTTACTCGCCCTGTAGACTGCTCAGGCTGTTTAAGGCGCAACAGGGAGTAATTGGCAGGGCAGTTTGGGGTAGTTCAGTGAATACCGGGTTAGATTTATATGAACAATTTGAATGTTTGTGATTTCAGGATGAGCGTCTGGTACCCTTCCTTGCCCATGCAATTACCACTGATCAGCGAGTCGGTGTACAGACCGCCCTCAGGCTCATCAGCACGGCATCTACTCTGCCGGAATTCCCTTCCATTGGGTAAGTTCAAACATTTTAAACACAACTTAATCATTCTGCATCCACAACTTTTCTCAAATATTTAAATGGAACCCATACCATTGAGTAGTCTGGAGCCCAGCCTCCTGTATAATGTCTGATATAACTAAGCATGCGTGACGACATTTTATTCCGAAATCAGGACTAAGATTGTGATTGGTCAATTTCGATGCCGCATTTTTGTAATACAACAACCTGTACAAACATGCTACTCATTGTGGGCATAATGTTAACGCATGCTGGGAGCTCGAATTACGTGGGTATAGAAGGCGCTGCTGATTGGTCAGTTTCTCGAGGTCATATGCAGTCTAGTTGCATAATTAACCACCGAATCTGTTTATGTATGATAGACTATGGTCGGCTTTGCCAGGGCCTTTTGCATAGACTAACCATTGAGTTCGAATTTCAGGAATATGAAATGAATGTACATTTAAAAGCATCTTCATAAATACCTGAGAATGAGAGTGTTAACCCATTCCTATTGGTCGAGGCCGCCACGTGGGTGGTTTTAAACCGTCATTTAAACACCGGTCAGTTTAAAACTGCGCGCCGTGTCACATGCACGCACACATGCTACCGCCAGCTGCTTGACAGCCACCGATATCATCTCCATATAAGGCGCGATGTTGCAGCACATCACGTGCACGTCGCATACCACAGAAGTGGCCTGATCTGAACATGAAAAAAAATGGTAGAACAAAATTGTAAAAATTTTGTAAACTTTCGACTTTTTATTGCTTTCGATCGAAAAAGGTATTTATGAATGGGGATAATGACATGCGCAGTTATAAACGCCGACCAGGCCCCAACCTGGTTTTAAACCACACATTTATAAATTCTCCATCACACTATTATCCCCTTAGTAATGTCTAGCTTCCTGACTTCAGACGTACAGTTACAACTGTAACGTCAAATTGATAACAGTCCACATCAACAGTTGATGCGACAATCAATATTTGATTTCTTCTCAGCCTTGGAGAAAGTATCGCTGCCAGAAATTCCTACAAGAGTGAGGAAATTGAGACACTACGAAGGCCCCTGAACATGGATAACCCAGGAACCCACGCCATCCTGTCTCCAAGGAGACCACAGCCGTACCATTATGAGAGGAGGGGTGGTGCCCCTGTGAATGGGGCCAAGGAGGGGAAACAGATGGAGACCAATATTCAGAGTTTGATCGACAAAATGCAGTCAGGACTTGATGTAAGTCTAACCTGAGATATTAAACCCCTAACACAGGCGTTTTTGCAAGGACACTTCTTGAACCTCACACTGTGGAGTAACCCAATCGAACATATTTTTACCCAACTTGTCCCCAGTGCTTACTTTATTTCCAACCTCGTTTCCAATAGTAAGCCCTGGATAGGAAACTTTTTCCTGTATCCTGATTCAATACCGCAATTGGTTAGTAATGGATTTATATCGTGTAGTTGGTGTTGTTATTTCCAACGTGCATTACGTGTTTTTACGATCATTGTAATTATAACATCCACGCCTTCTCAAAAATTACTCTTTTCATTTGCAATTTGCTTATGTTAATATGAAATGTGATACTGCATATTGGCGGGATAAGATTGTAACATTTTAACTTTGAAAACAATCGTGTTTTCATAACTCACGGCGCGACGAATTGATTGAATTTTTGCCCCAGACACCGCATACAAAAACAAACGCTAATGTAACGTACAGGCAGGCACCAGACTATTCCTCATTTGCATACATGTGCAAAAATGTTGCACAAGCAAATGATCCAATACCAGGGTGAGAGAGCAGGTAGTGGTGGGCGCATACTGCTCAACACCTTGGGGATGAGGTTGATTTTCACCCTTAAAGGTAGAGTAGATCATTTGCAGCTATCAAAAAGTAACTGACCAATTTATTGTCAAAAAGCTTATTACTCCGTTTAAAGATAGTAATGGCACTAAAATCCCTGTGAAATTATTCCTTCTGGCATACTGTCGTTTTTATTAAAAAAAAACAGTGAAAGAAGGTCATTTCCAAAGATGTGTCAAGTAAACATTTTTGGACATTTCCGTTAGTAGTTAGTTTTGTAATTGGGCGAATCCGTAAATGGATTCGCGCAAGCGTTGACATGACACACGCGTAGATCATTTGTCAAAAAGCTTACACACGCGTAGATCATTTGTCAAAAAGCTTATTACTCCGTTTAAAGATAGTAATGGCACTAAAATCCCTGTGAAATTATTCCTTCTGGCATACTGTCATTTTTATTAAAAAAAAACAGTGAAAGAAGGTCATTTCCAAAGATGTGTCAAGTAAACATTTTTGGACATTTCCGTTAGTAGTTGGTTTTGTAATTGGGCGAATCCGTGAATGGGTTCGCGCAAGCGTTGACATGACACACGCGTGTGTGGTTGCTATTCGTCGGTTCAGTGCATGACTTCGCGTAGGTGCAATCAGCTGAATGAGGACATGTTCCATATGCTGATTTCGGGCGCAATTCAAAATATGACTCGGCAACTTTTGAATTGAAATCAAGATCTTAGAATATTGTTTTCTTGGAATATACATCATTCACAGAGCTTAAACTTCATCAGGATGATGTTTAACATCATCCTGATAAGCACCTGTCTTTTAATAGATTTTTCGGGCGCAATTCAAAATATGACTCGGCAACTTTTGAATTGAAATCAAGATCTTAGAATATTGTTTTCTTGGAATATACATCATTCACAGAGCTTAAACTTCATCAGGATGATGTTTAACATCATCCTGATAAGCACCTGTCTTTTAATAGATTTTGAGCACTTTTGTTGCTTCAAAAAAAAATGCACCAATGATAAATGATCTACCCTACCTTTCAATAATTATTTCCAGATATGAAGCCACATTTTAGTAGTCAATTTCTCTAGTCCTGATTTCATCAAAATGCTGCAAAAGCTTGGGAGTGCATTTCATGGATTTTGGGTCGCAGGGGTTCAAAAGTGTAAATGCCAACATGATTGATAAGGCTTGTCTGAAACTGAAATTGATAAATATTACCTGGAGCCCACAAACTTTTGTGTTTCTACTCAAACAAGCCAAGATAGTTCCAGATATGAAGCCACATTTTAGTAGTCAATTTCTCTAGTCCTGATTTCATCACAATGCTGCAAAAGCTTAGGAGTGCATTTCATGGATGTTGGGTCACAGGGGTTCAGAAGTGTACATGCCAACATGATTGATAAGGCTTGTCTGAAACTAAAAGTGATAAATATTACCTGGAGCCCACAAACTTTTATTTTTGTACTTAAACAGAACAAGGCTAGTCTAGTAAAGCAGGTCCCAGAGTGCACTCAACTCTCTTCAATTGATTCAAAATGACTATTCACTGGAAGTCTTTTCATGCATCTGGTCTACACAATGGGCGGGATTTAGCTCATTCACTGGTATTACGGAGTGACCCTATATGATAGTACTGCCCGGCTGACAAGTGACAGTCAGTCAGTCAGTCAGTCAGTCAATGAGATAGGTACGAAAAGGACACTAGGCTGGCCCTCTGGGACCAGCACAAATAAATGCGTGGTTACCAAATGTAAGAGGTGGAAAATTACTTATCAAAGATGACTTGTCTTCACAGGTTTGGATGAAGAACGATTGCCTGGTTTCACTCTGAGTTTTGTGTTTTTGTTTGCAGCTCAAAGACATGCGTGCCTCTGAGATCATGGATGTGTATGAACACAAGCTGTCTTCTCTCGCTGTAAGTTCATTTCTTAAGATGCCTATCCCTTTAACGAATGGAAAACACTCTCAGTGCATCCTTGTATCTGTGTTTTTGAACTTTATATCAATTAGTATCCTGTGAAACACCAAATGAAGTCACAAAAAACACCTGTTTAATCACATCAACTGCTGTGTATGCATTTAGAGTTTTGGTCTTAAAAAAAGGGAGAGCCACATGTACTTTTACCAAAATTTTAAATATAAATTTTGTTTCTCAATTTCACAGGAAAGAGCAAATGTAACGGCAGAGTTGTAACCAATCACAAGTCAATCACAAGTAACAGAAGGCAAACCACATCATTAACCTCGTTGGTATTGTGTTATTTCTCATTTTAGACCAAAGAGAGCCACCTGCAGGATTTACTTGAAGCCAAGGCACTTGCTCTAGCCCAGGCGGACAGGTTGATTGCCCAGTATCGATGCCGAAGGGCACAGTCAGAAGCAGAGGTAAGTTGAGTCTGAAGACCCGACTTCACAACACACATGTATATGAGGGCACGCAGGCACCACTCTCAGCGATCTGAAATCTCATTGGTTGCTGCGCACCTTGCCACTCTTGTGATTGGCCTACTTCTCCAGCACATCTTATGTCAAAGTGGGACGCAATACCTTGTTAATAATTGTATTGATATTTCAGTTAAGTAAGCAGGAGGTCGTAAGTTCCAGCTGAGTAAGCTTGTGATTTTTTTCTCACAGGCCACAGGCAAAACTGTCACAACTGTCAAAGGAAACTCTATCACAAGCCAATGTGGCCCGTCTGGCCGGCCTTTATCTCCGGTTTCAGTTGCATGAAACAACTGAGAATATTTCCTCTCCCCCTGGATGGGATGCTAGTCCATCGCAGGTTACTCCCCAGCTAATGCCTGTACCCATTTATACTTCTGGGTGGAGAGAGGCAAGTGGGGGTGAAGTGGCTCACCCAAGGACACAACATATGACCAGCAGCTGGATTTGAACCCCTGACATGATCCTCTGATCATGAGTCTCCAATCCTAACCACTAGGCCACACTCCCCGCAAAACTGAGTATGGAATATTTTCAAAATGATGTTTGCGAAAGACAAACCCAATATTGAAAAGACCATCATCATCTCCTTTCTGAGTGTTAATCAGCTACTTCTTTCACCAGGCAAGAAAGCTGCGTTCACTCTTGCAAGACTCTGAGAAGCGAAGCGAGGAGTACCGGGAGAACCTCTTTGAGACCAGGTCCCTTGAGCAGAAGATGGCGTTGGAGATTGAGAAAGTGACAGCCAGGAATAAACAGCTGCAGGACAAACTGGATCTGCTTGAGGTCACCCACACTGAACAAACACGCAAGTAGGTGCTCCATTGATGTTATTTCAGGCTTTGCATTTTGGAGTGTACACTATGGAAGAAGTTATAGCTTGACGCAGCAGTACTTCTTGCCATCCACCTCTGTGGCCCGGTTTCGAATGCCGCCCAAACCGTGATGAGGATTGGTTTTTCAGTCCCTGCCTGATTCCATGGCTTGTCCCCAGTATATTCTTGCAGGGTTTTCCTCCCACCTCTAAAACTGAAATTTTTTTTTACTAACTTCACCCTCTAGGTATCTTCAGGCTTCTGAGTTACAGTGCCTGCGCACTCTTGGAGAAGCCTTGGTTTTATAACCATAAAGAATTAAAATGAATAAATAATAAACAATAGGCTAAAAGTAAGTAGCAAGTAAAGTCTGTCGCGAGCCAACGTGGCCTATCGGGCCAGCCTTTATCTCCGGTTTCAGTTGCATGAAACGACTCCACCTGGTTGGGATGCTAGTCCATCACAGGTTACTCCCCAGTTAATTCCAATACCCATTAATACTCCTGGGTAGAGAGAGGCAAGTTAGGGTGAAGTGGCTTGCCCAAGGACACAACATAATGTTAAAATAGCTGGATTTGAACCCCTGACCTCTGATCGTGAGTCACGAACTGTAACCACTAGGCCACACTCCCCAAATAACAGGCTACAAAACTTAAAATGATAGTTCTGCATCTCCTCAGGTCCACACGTCTCTTTTCGAGTAAGTCCCTTCATTTATATTCACAATCTTTCCCATATCTTTTGGAATTGGTGATAATCTCATGAGACAGATAAACACAATAGGTCTTCCTTTGCTTCCACTTTTGGTGACCCTGGTTCGATTTTTATAAGAGTCACTTTGTGCACTTTAGCAAGTATCTTTTCTTCTTCTTTTTTTCAGAAATGTGCCCTGATCATTAATTTATTTGTTATATATGATGGATTTTTTTCCATCATGGAGTTGTTAATTTAATAAAGAGTGAAAACCAAAAATCCAATATGAAATTGATATTTTTTTTTCTGATTATAGTAAATGGAGCATATTTGTTGAACATGGCGAGGATATAATCTAATTGTACAAAATTTGGACATGGGTACTTCCCTTCCATTTACTTTTAAGGAATGGAATTTTCTGTACTACTTCTCAGAATATTATACTCTTCATTTGAAATTTACAGTTTGGAGACCGTCCAGCGAGCTCTGAGTACACTACGCTCTGAACACCAAACACTGAAGGAAATGCACGAGGTGTTACAGCGACACAATGAAACATTGAGAGAACAGCAAGAAAAGTAAGTCACAAACACAGCCAGGGGGTTTGGGCATTAGGCCGTCCCTTTTTATTTCTATGGTTCTCATATTTGTTGGCCTCTGAAGTTGGGTCAGTTGGTCTGCAAAAAATGAAAATCTGAATAAAAGAAAAAAAATGAAGTTAACCAGTAGAGATGGCTAAATTGATGATGCCAAGTGTGTACTGTCTCTTGTTTTGTTTATTGAAATGAGATCATGAGTTGATATCACCACGGATTCTCTACACAAGAATCATCTACACGCGTGATATGCCACGTCCGCGCATAGAACAACGAATAGAACATGTAGAACAATGCTCGCGCCATGATCGCCGGCAGCTGGCGTCCTGACAGAAATAAAGACTGCAGTCGCGCGCCGAGTCTCGCGCACCCGCACGCAAGTCGCGCAAGTGCCATATCACGCCTCTTACCAGGAATTTAGGGAAGTCGTTTATCCTTGTGTAGAGGATCCGTGATATCACTGAACAAAATAATAAAGCCATATTTGGCAAGATCTAGTTGACTTACATTAGATCTGCGCCAAGCAGCTCACTAATGTTTGGCTATAGTGGCAGCCATGACGTAACAGTAAAGGTATACTATAGACCCCTGAAATGATGAGAGGCCACACCCTCGCATCTTCTGCTGGGATTACATTGTTGCTGTATGCTGAAATTCGCTTAAAATCAGATATTATCTTCCATAGCTTTTCAAACAACACAGACCCTGACTGCCTGAATTTGATATAATTTTTTTTTTATTAAATTATATTTTGTTAGTGAGGGTTTCCAGACAGGGTCGAAGGTAATTACATTTTTTTTTCCTTTGGTCGGTCGGAAATGAGAACCAAAGAATAAAAAAGGGATGCCCTTACTTGTGATAGACAAGTGAGAAAAGGGCAAGGGGAAAGAATGTAGTGCATTTTTACAGATGTTTTGAGGGAGATTTTTTTTCCTAGGTGATTTTGCAAACTTTCCCAGACATTATTGCTCCGAATCTCTTTAAACCCTTGAAAACCACCAATGTGGCAAAACCCAAATGCACGTTCTTTTATCACGTGATGACGATATGGGTTTGTGATGAAAATAAGTTGTGAATACCTCACGCTGTATGCGAATGAACCGGTGCACAAACGCAATGTATCCCAGCTCCGACAGGGCTCTCACAGGTACACACACTAAGCTACATCTTCAGATCTCTGCTCATTGATGAAGTCCTCCTTTCACTCTTGAGCTGATCCCTTTCTTGACAGATCCACAGTGAGACTCGGTGAGCTCGAGGACGAGAGAGACAATCTCCAGCGCAATCTCCGAGACAAGGAAACCCGACTGACCGACACCACGGCCACCCTGGAGCAGACCCAGGAGAGACTGGCCAAGATTGAGAGGGAGCGAGATGAGTTTGAGAAGGCCTTGGATAACTTGGGCTTGGAGCTTCAGAAGATGGACGGCAAGAAAAAGGAATTGACGCAACAGGTGGGTCAAAAAATATTCAAGAAGGTATTTGGCAAAGTGTACCATAACTGGGATGCATTCCACTCACTGATTTCTACCAAATTCATATATGTGAAGCATTCTGGCAAAATCAAACGGAACTGGGCATAGGCCGTAGTGCAGTAAAATGCAGAAAACCAAAGGGGTGATTTGTTTTCGATTTTCAGATATTTGTAATCTTTGATATTTCTACTAGACATATTTTAAAGAAATAGCATAACAATAAAGGAATAAAAGTGTTTTTAAGGAAAAACAATTGGCATGTTTCATTTTTATGACTATAAAACTTGAAACTGAAAGGCCTTTTTCTCAGTATTTTACTTTTTTTGACATAAATGCAAACTTTGATCAGTGATAAATGCAAACTTTAAACAGCCATTACTTGTCAACTGAATGTCTGATTGAAGTACAGCAAACAGTATTGCAAGGAGAACTTTATTCTCTTTCCTGATACCCGCAAACCCTCATTTCAACCTCTGCCCATTTCCGTCTCATTTTTGCCAGAACGCCTTATATATTACAAGTAAATTTTCACTTCCAATCACACTTAACTTTTTCAAGAATTTAAGAAGCTGCTGTCCCCAACTTGACACTTGTGGCACTGGATGCTGCCATTTTGACTTCAGTTTTTTCGATGGCGTTATTTTAATGGCAGATGCCTTGCTGACGTTCACACTAATGTTCTTGTGAGTGAAAAGCAACACTAAAATTAATTTTTTTGTTCGAGTGTGGTGCAGCAAACATTAAGACAGTCAAGTTCTTTTGAAGAATAGCCATATTCCCGACAGTCAATTTTTTGATTTTGACTTTGTCATAGATGTTTCTCTATATGATGTGTATGATTTTTTTTTCTTTTAAAAGGTGTCTTCATTTGAGGTTCTGTGTCGCCAGCATGAGTCAGACCTCCGAAAGAAAGAGGCAACCATCAAACAGTTGAAAGTAGAGGTGGATAAACACGCCCAAATCACTCAGATGATCCACAGCTTGACCGGGGGTAAGCCGCCATCTTGAAAAACGCACCAGGATTCGAACCATGGACACAAGTGTGGCATTGGCAGATGAACTGTTATTTTGCTGTGCGAGTGGGGGCCGATTGGCATATTTGAAATATTCCTGAGGGTGAGTTCGAACCACGGGCTACTGTATGGATGCTGCAGGTCATAAAGATGTTTGTTTGCCATACTAGGCTACCCGGCATCTTGGATTCAGCCTCGAAGGGATGTGAACCAGTGACCATGATATGGGAACAGAATTTTCACTATCCAGGCATACAGTTTTGCTCTTGAATTAGCAAGACAGTTGTTCTATGTAAAAATCAACGCATCAAAGCTCCCAGATCTTTGTGAAATTCTAGAACTCACCCTGACAGACTCAAACCAGCTCCTCATGCAGTGCAAGACACAGGATTATGCAATGATGTGCCATGTAAATGAAGTAAGACTGATGCCAATGACATTCTAATGACTGTAAGAGCAAGTTAAGATTTGCAGCACGAGAGCACTTGGACATCATGAACATCTCGAAGACTGCAGTGAGTAAATTAAAGTTCTTTGAAATATTCAACAACATTCTTCCATATTTTCCACAAACCACATCTCACAGTAGGTTTCAACAAGTATTTAGAGTTTATGTTCTCAAGGAATATCATTGGCACTGTTTTTGTGCCTCGGTCACCGCTTTCCAAAGTTTGTTCCACTGGCTTTTATTTCTGTGAAAAGAAAACACTGCCCTCTATAGCTCATGATTGGTTATTGCTTTCACACTCAAAATTGTAAGGCAGACTCGGTGGTTGTCTATTTTTGAACCATCTCTCAGGATTTACTGTCAAATCTTGCACATTGTGTTGTACAGTTTTTACTTTTGAATAATTGTTTATTGTCAGTTTCTTTGTTGGACACTAAATTAGGTTAACTACATTGTAGATATTAAGAATGCATATTTAATTCAATTCTGATTTGCTCCTCTGTTTATGTATTTTCCACAAAATTTAACCAAATTATTTTACTTTAGCTATAGATGACATATTTCTTGTATATATGAGCAGTAAATACTGAGTGCTATAATAAGTTGTTTCTGTTCCTAACCATGTTGTAGTCTCCAGAGTATTAAGAAATCAGTGAAATTGTGACTAAGAAAAATATGAGAACACTGATATAAAAATATAAAAAATATAATCCATCTTAATGATTTTGAGGTTTTGGAAAAGAGCCTAACCATTTTGGGGCTTGGTGCCCGTACACTAGTACACTAGGGAGACAGGGTAAACAAGTCAAGAAATTAATCAGTTTCTATTGGGCATGTATATCTCAAGAAACATCAACCTCAAAAGAGGTTTGCCTTTGTTTTGTTCTTTGGGCTTCGTGCATAACTGTGCACTGAGTGGTGAAAGTATAAACATTTACAGCATGTACGGACGGCATGTAATTTTCGTCCTGCGATGCGCCTAACGGTTGCAGACCAGTAAATAAACTGCCATAGACCCCAGTGTTAAATACGCCCACTTCACAAATTCAGGAAAAATACTCGCAACTCTCCAAGGTGTTGGAGACACACATCACATTAAAGCTTCTTTTATTTTCCGTTCCACTTTTGGGGGGTTAACCAATGAATTTTGGAAGAAAATTCAGTCCAAAGATGATCAACCCAAAAAGTGGTCCTGAAGCCCATCGCCATTTTTAAAAAGGATGCCTACGCTCCATTGCAAAATAGAGCAGTTTTATGGACCAATTTCATCCGAATTTCACAAAAACGCGAGCTCCCAGTCCTGTTCACGGCTTCCACCCTTCTTTTTTTACAAACCCTCAAGTTCAAGGCCCCACAAAATGCTCTAGTAGCAAAAAATGAGGGCATGCAAATCGTGATTTGGCCGGCGTAGGCAATTTCGGGCCTATTTACTGGCCTGCACCCCTTAGTGCAACTTTAACAGATTTTTTTTTCTACGTCACATAATTAGTGCTGTACCAATCAGTTCCGTGGTTGGTTGGCACATCACAGAAAAGCAAAATCGCAAATCTTAATCTCAAAGGTAAAATTCAATTGAGCTATTAGAAAGATCGAGTTCAACGGTCGACGACTGAAAACCTAAATAAATGCCTCCCTTTAAAGTTTAATATCAAGGTTGTAGATCTTTTCTGACGACGGGCAAAATTTACTTGACTGCGTGCCGCCCATTCAAAATAACGTCAATGGTGATTATCTCACGGAAAAGTCTCGACAATGTCACACACGGAGATAAATTATTAACAACTAGTGCAAACCATAAATAGCAGACAATCGGTAACCCTTCCGATGTCTGGCAATTAACGCCTGTCAACTTTTGACAACGCAATAAATTTCTGCATTTTACGCATTGTCAACATCCTTTTTCAGCACATTGCACGGTCCGTAATACGCAAATATTTGATTATTAATAGGTGTCATTATTAAGGACTCGGTGCATCGTGGACAACATTTTCTGCCTGAAACACTTTTTAGTTTTAATAATTTGTGGTGGCGGGAAACCGGTTGCCATGGAATGCCTGCGTCATGTAGTCGACAACAGCACACCTCAAGCTTATTAGCTGCAGAAGAAAGTTCTCGCGGAAATACACTTTGTTGATAAACATGTTTTTGTCTCGCACACAGAAACAGCTCGTGTTTGCAAACACCGACATGCTATACCTTCTGTTTTGTCTAATTCGCTCCTAAAATCTTATTAAAGAGCGTATGTTACCTTGAACAGGCGACAGAACCACGTACCACCAACATCGTGTGTTTTAGTTTGCCTTAATTTTAGGCGGTTTGTAGGTCAGCACTAGTAATACAGTTAACGTGACCAGAATGCATTTGGTACCAACCTTGCTCAACATGTTGAGTTTAAAAAAAGAAGCAGGAAAAAAAACCGAGGTTTTTATTAGCAATATTCGGTTGCGCAGTCACACAATAAGTGGCCACCTCCGGATGGGGAGTTCCGGGGCTTGTTTAGTAGGCTAGATTGACATTACCGCTCGGCTGGCAATACGCTAGCCGGAGCCGGAGACTTGAGTGCGCCTGGGCCGGTCATGTTACCGACGAGCAACCGGCGACGGCGGTTGCCATATGTCACGTTGGACAGGGGGAAGCCTTGATCACGAAGAGCTGATGAGAGACCATGGAACATTAATTATAGAAAATAGATTCAGGATGCATGGATGTAGGGAGGAAGTAATGAACGAGAGACTCACTAGGGCAGAATTCTATTCAATGTCGATCAGAATGACTATTCATTTGTCTTTCCATGCATGTGGCAAACGCAACTGGCCAGATTTAGCCATTCATTGTTTTGGGGTATTATTTCAAACTACTGGGCCAAGGTGAGACTGAAACAAGTCTAATTCACATGAGTCGGGGAGTCAGTCAGTCAGTCAGTCCCTTCGGGGACCAGCAGACATTTGAAATTGTGACTAAGATTGAAAACAGTACTTACTAGTTAGTGTGTAGACGAATGTTCATGACGTCACAATGACTGTCTTAATTTGTACGATAATTTATTAAGCAGCCTAAGCGAAAAATACACTCAACCAAAAAAGAAAGTCCCCCCTTTATACTGTTTTGTCTAGCTCAAAAACTATTGGGCACATCTTGCTCAAACTGCGACTGATAAATACATAAATTCCTTAACAATCCAGCCATACTCTTTGTTTGGCCCAAAACAGTGATAATGTGTACAAAATTATGCAATTTATGACAAATGACACTTTTGTGTACGTGCAAGGTGAGTGTGAACCACAACTTGCACGTATACAAAAGTGCAACTGCATGTTTTCGGTATCAATTTGTCATAAATTGCATAAATTCGTACTCATTGTCACTGTTTTGGCCAGTTAAAGAGTATGGCTTGATTGCTAAGGAATTTCTGTACTGATTAGTTGCTATTTGAGCGAAAGGTGCTCAGTAGTTTTTTAGTTAGACAAAAAAGTATTGGAGGGGGGGGCTTTCTTTTTTGGTTGAGTGTAGTATAAATGTGTACGGTTTGGTGGGAAGGCACTGGCTTCATAACACTCAAATGATTACTTCACAAATTAGGTCATTCTATCAACGACCCCTTAATCAAAAAGACGAGGAACAATTGCGCGGACCAGCTGCACGCCAAATATTACCGTGACGCCGAATACGGGTATCGCAGCGGAAATGATACTTAACTTATTTTTACTAGGTTATTTCATTGTGTTTTGCCCCTTCACTTCAAGTTCAGGATATGAAGAAAACGACCGTTCCCCCCTTTGTTATGCCTGGACAAGCAATCTACGACGAGCATTATCGAATGAGGCCAAGGCTAAAACAAAATTCGGGAGACGACAGCCCCACATTGTGATCTTTTTCTTCAATATTCACACACGGTGTAGTTAATAAATAGGTCGATGTGAATCCGGAATGACCACTCATAAAGGGTCAGAGTCTTTGCAATTGTTATTGGAAATTCGTTCTATTCAGTTTTGGCTGAAACCAATATTGCCCGTTTCACCTTATTTCACATCTTACTATATGTGATCTTGATAGTCATTGATTGGGAAAAGTGTGTAAGCCACAGTACAAGGATAGGCTTGGGGCTACGGCGTACACAAATCAGAAACAGAAAAGGGTAAAACGGTCGGTCCTAAAACAAAGAAAACAAAATTACAGGCAACCCTATACATAGTTAAGCGGGTCCCAGAACGGAAAATACATCCATTCGCTTGGTTCAGAATGGGCCTTATTCACGAGTCGGCCATATTGAATTGAAAGTTAGGTAAAATCTTAAATTTTGGAACTTGCGAAGAGAAATAAAGCAAGTTAATTTAGAATAAATTCAGTAATTTTGTTTTAATGAATAATTTAACATTTGTAATTAAACATTCCTTTATGTTTAAAGCCATATTTAGAAAACAAATGACAGCCTAGGCTGCATTGTGCCTGCAAAAATAGTCTGGCACCATCTCTTTCAACAGTTAACAATGAATGAAATACATTAAGGGAACTCGATAAGAATGGCCAACTCGTGAATAAAATTAAGGCCCATGACCATTCACTGGAAGTAGTTTCATGAATCTGGTCTACAATGGCCCTATACGATAGCAATGCCCGGCTCTCTGGCATTCTACAACTCCAGTCACGTCAGTAAATCAGTCAGTCAAGACTAAGCTGGTCTCTGGTGTGTAGTATGATGTACCAGCCAAAAATATCCTGCGAAAACCAAGGTGAGCGCTGCCAGCGATACGGGTGAAATATCTGCGCTTCTGTTGTTGCTCAGGCCTGCGCATATAGTGTAAGCATCGGAATACTTGCATTTTCAACAAACAAAATACCTTCGGCTCAAGGCGACACACTACCCGCCGTGTTGCTTTCCATTTCCGATCTGATCACATTGCAACATTATAGTCTTCGAAAAAGAACCCCCTGGCTTTGTCTGTTCTCGTCATTCGCGCCGTGTGATGAGACTTCTTCGTACCCAGGGGCGGAGTATCGATTGCGATATCGACAGCACTGACGGGGGAGACAACCTCGAGTCTATAATAACGTCTGTGGAACTCCAACTCATTCTTCTTCCGACAGGCTAAGGATCATATCCATTACAAGCAGCTTCTCTGTTTCCCTTCATTTTGTGTTTTTATTCGGCCGTGTCTGGCGGTTTTAGTCACGTCTACCTTCATCTCGTAGCACAGTTGACCTTTCTCTTGCATCTACTCCACTTTGACCAAAGGAAACCACGGCTGACGAAGACCCAGCCTTTTCTTCAGGATATATTCGCAGTGTATCTCATATTTTCCACTGTTGCGTAATTGAAGGCATAATCTATCAAAGTCTATTGACAGCCAGCTTTGGTTCCCTATCTTTTGAAGAAAATAAACCATTAACAGAAACGAGATCATCATTTTTTAAATTTTCTTTCCTTACGCCACACACGTAGTTAGCCAGTGGCACGTTTGTTTTTGGTAACTCGAGGAGTTGAATGTATACTCATACATCAAACAGTTCATTACTTTAGTCGTAAAACGGAATCATGCCTCATGCACCAAAATCTAAAATATAGTTTGAACAAGGTTTCTTGTATTATATGGGCCTACACAGT